GGGCCAAGAAATATCTCAAGACTGATTTTTCTAAGGTTTTATGGACTGATGAAATGAGAGTGAGTCTTGATGGGCCAGATGGATGGGCCCGTGGCTGGATTGGTAAAGGGCAGAGAGCTCCAGTCCGACTCAGACGCCAGCAAGGTGGAGGTGGAGTACTGGTTTGGGCTGGTATCATCAAAGATGAGCTTGTGGGGCCTTTTCGGGTTGAGGATGGAGTCAAGCTCAACTCCCAGTCCTACTGCCAGTTCCTGGAAGACACCTTCTTCAAGCAGTGGTACAGGAAGAAGTCTGCATCCTTCAAGAAAAACATGATTTTCATGCAGGACAATGCTCCATCACACGCGTCCAAGTACTCCACAGCGTGGCTGGCAAGAAAGGGTATAAAAGAAGAAAATCTAATGACATGGCCTCCTTGTTCACCTGATCTGAACCCCATTGAGAACCTGTGGTCCATCATCAAATGTGAGATTTACAAGGAGGGAAAACAGTACACCTCTCTGAACAGTGTCTGGGAGGCTGTGGTTGCTGCTGCACGCAATGTTGATGGTGAACAGATCAAAACACTGACAGAATCCATGGATGGCAGGCTTTTGAGTGTCCTTGCAAAGAAAGATGGCTATATTGGTCACTGATTTGTTTTTGTTTTGTTTTTGAATGTCAGAAATGTATATTTGTGAATGTTGAGATGTTATATTGGTTTCACTGGTAATAATAAATAATTGAAATGGGTATATATTTGTTTTTTGTTAAGTTGCCTAATAATTATGCACAGTAATAGTCACCTGCACACACAGATATCCCGCTAACATAGCTATAACTAAAAACAAACTAAAAACTACTTCCAAAAATATTCAGCTTTGATATTAATTAGTTTTTTGGGTTCATTGAAAACATGGTTGTTGTTCAATAATAAAATTAATCCTCAAAAATACAACTTGCCTAATAATTCTGCATTCCCTGTAAGGGGTCTGCCGCCCTCTAAGTAAACATTCCGAAGTTTTTCATTAACCAGAAACTTGTGTCTCAGTGTGATTTACTTCCGCAGATACGCAGTTTATTTTAAACAATCTGGACAGGGGCAAATACTCAAATAAACAAACACTTGGTTTGGTCCAGAACATGTGTTTGTGTGGTGTTTTTCGGTATATCTCTACCTACATGGAAACACCTGGGAAATCATGCCCTCGGTGGCAATGGTTATGTTTATATGTTAATTATATGTTATAAAGTGGTTTTAATTATTGTGATGAGGGTCATTGTCTGGGGTAGTATTGTTAAAGGAGTTTGGGTGTTATGTTATGTTTAATATGTTGGCAAAGACCACAATGACCTTTAAACTTTTTAAGTACTATATATATTATTAAAGCTGTAATAATTTTCCCAAAACAGAGGTGTATGAGTATCTTTGGGGGGGTTTTGGGGTTTGTTAAGCATATGCCGGAAAAAGCGACTATGCATATGTCAAGTTCTAAAAGGAGAAGGGCATGTAATTTCTCGGAAAACGTGGGGCGGCCCTTTGTTTTTCTGATGTTTAGTCGCGTAGCGTTCTACAGATATACAGCTTGTACTGGGGCTTAAGATATAACTGCCCCCAACAGCAAACCATATCTCTATCTGACACAACACCCCCTGACTACGTTACAGCATAAAGGGCAACTATACCCTACCCCCAATTCATTTTTTATGGAGAATCTCACAACTGATATACTGATTCCAATACCTACCTACCCAAAAACAGTTTAAAAATGCCATGCAGTACTCTGCCGTATTCCTTCAACGTCATTACCCCCAATACATACAAATAGTCACACTGATGCACAGTCATGGAAGAAAACACAAGTAGTAAAAATAAAAAATAAAATGGTGTATGTAATTTTTATTATAAAATGATGTGTGTGTGCGTCCTGTGTCTTTAATTATGCCTGCACCAGCCCCATTCTCAAACCGAGGATGCCTCAATCTTCCTTAGTGAAGAGTGGATATCATGCAGTGTCTCCCCTATCACAAGGATGCCAAGACACATTGTTACAGACTTAAGGCTGTTCTGCTGTGTCTTGCCAAGCACGATAATGCTGTGTGGCAACCACGGGTATGTGAAAGACAGAGCTACCACCATTACGTTTTGTTAGTTCCCTAAACTGTCACTAATGACAACTATAAGAAAAAGGCACTGTCTGTGGAGGCTCCCGTGATCATGCGGGAGCCGCCATAGAAAATAAATGTTGCATATGCAAGAGGATTCCCCAGAAGGACATGTCCTTGAGGAACAACTTCAGGTAAGTGAAACCTTTCCTGAAACTCCGGGCCACTGCACACCAAGTGGCAATGTCACCATCGGGGGTCTTTGCAAAATAGGCAAAGTCCCGAGAAGGTGACCGAGATGCTTTAATTCTTCTACTGTGATAGTGCTAGTTTAAATAGGTCGTGAGTATATTTCAATAATCATAACTTTTATAAAAGTTGAGCTTCTCTGATCCTTTGATTCTCAAGATTAAATTCAAATTTTCAAAGTGAATAATCTACAGCTTTTTGCCAATACATTAGTTTTAAACAAAAAGAGGACATGGAATCACATCACAACGAAAATTCTAAAAAGTGTGGCCACACTTATGTATAGCCAGTATTCTAAGTCATTGATTGGGTGCCAGGACAGCCATAAGGTAAGCAAGATAGGGGAAAATCTAAACCTTTCCCTTTTCCCCCAGCACACTCAGACATTATACACACAACACTGAGACATATTATTCTCCACCCAAACACACACAACAATCGGATTTCTTCACAAACAAAATTCGGATTACTTCACAAACAAAATTCAGCTATGAACACACATAGCACTCAGCCAGAACACACATCCTGCTTCCCACACACACATAACACTCAGCCACTACACATACACTATACTTACCCACCCACTACACATACACTACACTTACCCACCCACTACACTTAGCCGCCCACCACACATACACTAAACTCACAGACACAGAGCTTGTGGATCTAGGACTGCATACTGTCTAAAACCCGGTATAGAAAGCATTTTGCAGCTCATACAGTTTGTGTTGTTCCTGACAGGCATGGAATGTGTAATTACAGCTCACTACATCTGTCACTGAGGTTAAATTTGTCCACTGAGGCAGATTGAATTTCTACAAGCATCGTATGCAAACAAGTGCATTAGTATCCCAATGGGAAAAAGGAGTGCAGAAAAAGACAGGAGCTTTAGGAATCCCATTTCTGCTCTATGTGACAAACAAAAAGCTTTACATTTTCCCATGATTAAAACTTCACTGATTCCAGAATATAAGGAGAATCAGTGGAACATCTGTTCTTACACCATAAAGCTCCAGATTCCTATCAGAACAGATAAATCAGAGATGGCTACTGGTTAACCTTTCACCCCGCAGCTGTTGAGGACAGCCATTCCCATGACACTCATCCAATTGATACTCTAAGGGAGGCGGGAGATGCCTTACAGAAAGTAGGTTTCCCAAACCCTGTTTTACTATCTGCAGTTTCAGGTTTTTCAACAGTTGCACAGCTAAGCATTTTTGCAGAATTCTTTTGCTATTTCACTGTTTGTGGCCTTGATTATGCAATTTTGTTTCAAAACAAAAACAAAAGATAGAATTCAAATCTCATCAGTGCTGTTGCAACTGTATACTAGGATGTGGGTAAGGGATGGGACAAATTGCCACCTAGATTAATTTTCAAGGACTTTAACTCCCATCATCATCAACCAGACAAGTACTGTCATTTGTAAATACACAACTTGCATTTTACTAATGAAATTGTAAAAACACATCTGTCAGGTCACACTGGGTCAAAATCCCTTTGTGTCTCCTCTCTAGGAGCTCCAAATTGTTGCTGTGTGTACGTGTTTAAAGGGAGACTACAGACACAAGAACACTTCTTCTCAATGGGGAGAAACCTGGGTGGAAGGCCGCAGAAGCACTAATAATATAGGGACACTATACTATTAGGAATATAGTTTTGTTTTCCTAACACTATAATGTTCTTTTAAGAGAGCTCTATAGCAATAATAACACTTGTTTTCCTGGCACTATAGCTCCCCCGCAGACCCCAAGGCTCCCCCCTCGATGTGCAGAATGGGTTTAAAATGCCTTCTGTGACGTACCTGGGTCCAGCGTCGATGTCCCTCGGCACTGACTGGAGTTTGCCTTTGCTCCTCACCCGCTGATGTCAGCAGACGGGGAAGACCTAATGTGCGTGCGCAGCAATCGCGCGCTCACATTAGGAATATACAATGCTTTCCTATGAGGATTCAGGTGACGCTGGAACTCCTCATGCATTGCGTGAAGACGTCCAGAGTTAGTTGGGCGACCAAAAGTAGACTGCCACTAGAGGTGAAGTTAACCCTGTAAAGGAATTATTGCAGTTTATTAAAAACTGCAGTAATTAGCTTTGCAGGGTTAAGGGACCTGGGACAGTGCACCCAGACCACTTCAATGAGCTGAAGGGGTCTACGTGCCTATAGTGTTCCTTTAAAGTAACATGTCTTTAACCTATTAATGACATTATGATGTTACATGCTTTCCTCCGCAAAGTGGTCTAAACTCCAATTAATTGTATCCCAAATAACACATAATAAATATATAATAAACCATACACAATATATAACATATAATAAATATATAATAAACTATACACAATATATAACATTTATTACATATATAATAAACCATACACAATATATAACATTTATTACATATATAATTAACTATACACAATATATAACATTTATTACATATATAATTAACATTTATTATAAGAAACCCTTTTTTAAAATAAAGGCTTGCAAACCTCATATTCTTTTTCTTTGTTTGTTTATGACATTTTCCCAAGAGTTCATGTTTTGGCACTACCATGAAACCTGTGTGACCACAACAAAGATGGCGTCTCCAGCTTCCGCCATCACCATCAGTGATCTCGCGAGAGCCGTGGCTGCCAGGGCGCAGGCGCACTGGGAGACGAATGAGCAGCCTCCCCTCTTACGTCATCGCCGTGTCTGGCAGCTTCCGGAGCCCCCGGGGATGGGGAGAGAGTCAGAATCCTGAGCGAGCGCTGCTGCGTGTGTGGGCGATAATGGTGAGTGCGGAATGGGTGCAGAGCGTCACATGACGTCATGGTGGCTGCGTCATATGGGGCAGCTGTTTGATGACGTTGCTTGTTTCCCCCAGGTGTGCAGTGTCCATGCTTTCCATAGGAGGGTACAGTATGGCTCTTTTTAAAACTTCATAAACTTGGACCAAGGTGGGATTTATTCACTAAACTCCAATTAACGGTATTCTGTTAATTAATGGTATCCTGTTAATTAATGGTATCCTGTTAATTAACGGTATTCTGTTAATTAATGGTATCCTGTTAATTAATTGTCCTGTTAATTAATGGTGTCCTGTTAATTAATTGCATGTGGCCATAATTGCTGAGTGTGTAATTAACTCATTTTGCATTTTTTTTTGTTGTTCTACCCCCCTCCCCACTGCCTTAAAGGACCACTATGGGCACCCAGACCACTTCAGCTCAGTGAAGTGGTCTGGGTGCCAGGTCCATCTAGGATTAACCCTGCAGCTGAAAACATAGGAGTTTCACTGAGGGTTAACCCAGCCTCTAGTGGCTGTGAGAAGACGCTGGACATCCATAGGAAAGCATTGAGTAATGTTTCCTATGGACGTCCAGGTCTCAGGCCGCGCATGCGCATTCGGATCTGATGTCGGTGGGGTGGGGGGTGGAGAGTTTCACAGCACAGAGGGGGCCCGGTGCTGGAGAAAGGTAAGTGGCTGAAAGGGTTTTAACAAGTTTGTTTTCCTGGCACTATAGTGCTCCTTTAACACTGAAAGTTCTTCAGAAACAGGGTCATCTCACCAACAACTTGTACTGTTGTACTTTTTGTTAATTCACCTGTTATGCAGCTCCTCAGATTATGTTGTTTATAAGGCGTCGGCTAACCTTTCGGTTCGGCTACTCTGGCATTAAATTTGAAATTCACTTTGACTTTTTTTTTTTTTTTAGAAGATAATTGCAGGAGAGGAAGCAAGGGAAATTAATTAGTGAGTTCTGGGGAGGAAAAGCTGTTAAAGGACCACTATAGGCACCCAGACCACTTCAGCTCAATGAAGTGGTCTGGGTGCCAGGTCCATCTAGGATTAACCCTGCCTGCTGTAAACATAGCAGTTTCAGAGAAACTGCTATGTTTACATTAGGGTTATTCTAGTGGCTGTCTCATTGATTTTCACAGTGAGAAGACGTCAGCGTCCATAGGAAAGCATTGAGAATGCTTTCCTATGCCCTTGCCGCGCATGCGCAATCAGCCGGTGACGTCAGAAGAGGGAGGAGAGTCCCCAGCACCGAGGGAGCCCGACGCTGGAGAAAGGTGTTTAACCTCCTTCCTCCCCCTTCAGCCTGGCGGGAGTGGACTCTGAGGGTGGGGGCACCCTCAGGGCACTATAGTGCCAGGAAAATGAGTTTGTTTACCTGGCACTATAGTGGTCGTTTTACCATTCAGTAGTAACCTTAAAGGATCATCATAGGGTCAGATATACGAATGTGTATTCCTGTACCATTTAGGTGTCTCGCCGCCCCCTTTAATCCCTTAAGGACCAAACTTCTGGAATAAAAGGGAATCGTGACATGTCACACATGTCATGTGTCCTTAAGGGGTTAAAAAGGTAACAAACTTACCTTATTTCCAGCACCGCTCAGGTCCACTCGCCCTGCCCCAGATGCACCTCCTTGACTGACATCATAATTGATGATCTCAACCAATCCTATGCTTTCCCATAAGAAAAGCATCTGATTGACTGAGACCTTTAAGGAGGCGGGGTCAAATGCTGACTTGGCCAATCAGCATCTCCTCATAGAGATGCGTTGATCCAATGCATCTCTATGGGGAAGGTTGGAGACGCTGAATGTCACAGCACTGCCCCAGGAAGCACCTCTAGCAGTCAAGAAGTGGCCACTGGACGTATCCCTAAGCTGTAATGTAAACACTTATTTTTTTTCTGAAAAGGCATTGTTTACTGCAAAAAGGCTACAGGGACAGTCTATACTCACCAGAACTACATTAAGCTGAAGTTGTTCTGGTGACTGTAGTGTCCCTTTAAATATTTATCTGATCCCCTCCATATTTCTGAAGCTCCTAGTGTTCTTACTTGCCAGGAGTTGCATAAGTTATGTACTCTTGCACTTGTACATAATGGGCATCTATAGAAGATCCTGCAGGGCCCTAGGATCTATCATAAATCTTTAACTGCTGTAAAATGTCATCTATTGTGCATCACATGTTCCCATCAGCGGTCATGACAGAACGGAGCTCTCCTCCTCCGATCCTCCTCCGTTCCTCCCATTCGGCATTGTAAATGCTTTCCTATGGACGCTTGCGTGCTCTCACTGTGATTTTCACAGTGAGAATCACGCAAGCGCCTCTAGCGGCTTTCAATGAGACAGCCACTAGAGGAATTGGAGGAAGGATTAACCCATTTACAAACATAGCAGTTTCTCTGAAACTGCTATGTTTATAAAAAAATGGGTTAACCCTAGAGGGACCTGGCACCCAGACCACTTCATATGAAGTGGTCTGGGTGCCTAGAGTGGTCCTTTACGCAGAAATAGAGAAGATATTTAATACAATTTGAGCTATATAAAGAACTATTTCGAGGTAAGGGCTCTGAAGAATATTAAAGAGCTTACCATCAGTGCAGTAATTTGCTGTAACATTTATATTCAGAATAATAGGTGGAATACCATCTTAAACCACTCACTCTGGGTTATAGTTGAATTAATCTGCTTGATCTGAAAAGACACTCCATACACCATGGGGAAACCATAATTTATGTTCTTTGGTATTTGAGTGTGGATATGGTAGCTAACAGTTTTAAAAATCATTAAATTATACTTGCTAAAAAGAGACTGTCGGCAAAGCTGCCATAACCCATTCAAGGAGAAATTCTAGTAATGGTGGTTGGAATGTTTGTTTTTAATATGATGTCTGTTACCTTTTACAGGTAAAGAAGGTGTCAGACTACTTATTCAGCTAGTATAATTTTAATGGCATGCATCATACTCCATACTGAAACTTACTGGTAATGGCATTCTTGGCCTGTGAGTCACTGCGCATGACATACCTGTGGTTGCATTAGCAGAGATCTACTTGTAATTTTATGTAACTTTGAACAATAATTGTTCATTATATGTAGGGCGGACCCTATGCTTGTCCTCTCTAAACATAATCAGGGTTATTTCATTGTTGGGAATTCAAAGTGAATTTCAAATTTAAGGCCAAAATAGCTCTATTGGAAAAATTCTCCATGTGGATCAGCTGCTTTGATATAAAATGTGGAATTCACATTGAAATCACTTTGAATTCCTGACAATACTCACTTTGGTAAATAACTCTGTAGAAATCCCAATGCAAGTATCCAGCTATAGATTCAACAAGGAGAACATTCAAAGAACTTGTATAAATCTCAGCGTCACACTTTATTATACAATATACAGCAATATTATAATTTAAAATGTATATAGATGTTTGAGGAACTCATGACATCTGTACTACAGTTGTATGTTTATTGACATTATCATAAGAGCTCCAGTGCAAGTTAGACTAGTGCCCCTTGCCTCATTGCCCTCTAGGTTGAACAAATTGACAGGTTGTGGATTTAAAAGGACACTTTAAGAATCCAGACCACTTTAATCTCATTGATGCAGTGTTTCTTGGGTGAGTGTTTCAGACATATTGCAATGTCTACATTGTGGTTCTAAACACACCTTCAGTAATTGTCACCCACTAGAACCAAGTCAGATTCGGTTCTTGATGTTCAACATTGTCTCACATTGCTAGAAGACATTGAACGTTCTGTCAGTACAATAAATGCAGCTCTGATGTGAGCACAGTTGCAGTGCACTGAAAATCTTTTGATAGGCGGACCTACATGTGCCTTGTGTCCACAATGCTTCCTTACAGTGCTGCAAAGAAGAGGCTATCTCAGCGCAGATTTAGAGGTAAGTTGTTTTTTTCTTTTTTTCTTTCTAAAAAGGCGTGCACTGGAATCTAAAAGACCCTGTAACTATTTTGGTCAAATAATACCTGTTTTCAGGGACTATGGTGTGTGTTCCTTTAAAGGACCACTATAGTGCCAGGAAAACACTAGTGCCCCCACCCTCAGGGTCCCCTCCCGCCGGGCTCTGGAAGGGGGAAAGGGGTCAAAACTTACCTTTTTCCAGCGCTGGGTGGGGAGCTCTCCTCCTCCTCTCTGCCTCCGTTCCTCCCAGTCGGCTGAATGCGCACGCGTGGCAAGAGCTGCGCGCGCATTCAGCCAGTCGCATTTACAATGCTTTCCTATGGACGCTGGTGTGCTCTCACTGTGAAAATCACAGTGAGAAGCACGCAAGCGCCTCTAGCGGCTGTCAATGAGACAGCCACTAGAGGATTTGGGGGAAGGCTTAACCCATTCATAAACATAGCAGTTTCTCTGAAACTGCTGTGTTTATAAAAGAATGGGTTAACCCTAGCTGGACCTGGCACCCAGACCACTTCATTAAGCTGAAGTGGTCTGGGTGCCTAGAGTGGTCCTTTAATCCTGGATGGTAAGTACAATTTGAACACAATGCAATAAGATATACGCTAGAAGGTATACATTGGGAGAGAACAGTGGTTACTAATGCAGAAGAATGCTTGGTCTTGCCATAATTTTGAGTAACTTGGAGTAAGCAAGTTGGTGTGAGCTAGAATGATCCATACAAACAAAGCTGGCATAGTGAAGCAATTGAGTGAATGTGTTAATACATTTTGGCATTAGCCAGAGGAAGGAGTGTACTTTATATTGAATTGTAACTGTGATATGGAGGTGGAGTCATGCAGGTAGAACATGTTACTTGACACCAAGCACTTCCTGGAAAGGGTATGAGAAATATTCCTGTCTGTACCAGCAAACGTACAATACAGACCTCTGCGCAATGATTTAATAAGCTGGAAAAGTGGAGAGGATAATGGTACAAGGTGAGGAGTGGGGGCTTTAACCTGCAGGATTTGCTTTCAGTGATACCTTGAAGGTAAAGGGTCATCCATAAGGCCAGTACGTGTCTTACATTTAGCTGCAGATAATAGCCTGGTATCTATGACGCTTTATACATTATTTGTGTACCAAAAAGATGAAGCTAAAACACAGATCCCCAGCCCAATTCCTATGAACACTATATTTCATGTAATATTTGTAATGCTGTTCTGTTGTTCAGTGTGTCGATTGTTTAGAAAGGAAATAAAACCACTAACCATAATAATTCTCTGTTTTTACATGGTTTATTTAGCAACGTCTCTTGTGGGTTTATCGTGGTAATTTCTCAGTACAACCAGATCCCAGATTGCAAGCTCTTATGAGCAGGTCCTTGTTTGCCTCTTGTGTCTGTTAGTAACTTGTTAAATAACCCTATCGTTTAATTGTACTGCAGAAAATGTTAGTGTTATATAATGCTGCTAATAATATAAATGCTCTGTAATGGTGCCCTTGCTAGGCCTGACATTTTATGAAAACGCCCATCATACTATTCGTGGCTTTGACGTTGTTACTGTTTGTCCTGGTCGTAAAATGTCTAAATATTATTGTGTTGTCCTAGGCGGCTGTGTGTAAATATAGATTTGCTGTGCTGTGCACTGCTACAAGATCCCTGCTTAATGGGCACAGTGTGTCATCCACCCATTACTGTCCTGGGATTTATTTGCTAATCAGTGTGCAGTGTAACCCTTCCAGTGCAGGTCATGTTTGTGGTGTTTTTTTGTTTTTTTTTTAAATCTGTGACAGTGAGGTCAAGGTTTAGAACAATTTACAAATGTTTGTAAAAGCTTGCTAAAAAGGTGGTTTTTTTTTTTTTTTTTTGTTTTTTTTTAAGATTAAAAAAAATGTTTAATCTATTTTGCATTGGAACAGCATGCAACTTTAAAAGGTTTCTCCAAGCACTGTAACCACTTCAGTGCACATACAGAGTTTAACCACTCTGCGGCAGCATCATTAGGGTGTCATTAGCAGTGTTCCGGATGACAAGTGTCAGTTCTGTGCATGTTGGACGTCTGACATCAGCACGCTGGCAATAGGCACACAGTGGTGGCCGCTGCTGTCCCCTTTTATTTGTGTGTGGTTTTATTTTTATGTAAACAATTTGTGTGTTCAGCTGGGTTCAACGTCAGATGTTCTATCTGCAAATTCATAAAGAAAGACTGGAAAAAAGTGAAAGATAGCGATGACATTGAAGAGTATATTATTTCCTCCTTTTTCAACTGCAATACAGCTGGACTCGTGTATTTGCTCATTTGCCAGTGTAAGTTGAAATATGTCGGAAAAACATTTAGGCCGTTTAAAAAGCGCATTCAAGAACACATGCGATCCCCTAGGAATCCACTGGATAACCCTATCTCTAGGCATCTTAGGGAATATCCTAATGGAGATTCTAATGGGCTGCGTTTTTGTGGCCTTGAACGTGTGAAAAAAAAGTCCTAGGAGAGGGAACTATGACAAATTTCTGAGACAACGAGATTCCTTTTGGATATATAGATTAAAAACTCTAAGCCCAAAAGGTATGTTTTACTGGTTAAGCCCACATTAAAACTTTAAAGGGCTACATTTTTCATTTTTATTTATTTTTTATTGTTTATTTATTATTTTCACTTTAAGGATTATACCATCCCAACAGTTTAAGAAAGATATGACACAGATTTGATACAGATTTTTGCTTTTTTCATTCCCATTCATCATTCTCTAGTTATAAATGTAATATCAATTTCTAAGGACATAATATTTATATATTTTGAACTAATAACCAGATAGATGGAGAAGGAATTACACCAAATGATGCCCTATCTTGTAATTATGGATTATGTAACAGCCCAATTATACAGTTACTTTCAGCAGCTGTGACAATAATTTTTACCAGGTTTAATATCTCAAATAGTACAATTTTGTCTTAAGCCTTTAATAATAAGCAGTATATGATGTTACATATCCTTTAGAAATCAGATACTTTTATATTACCTTTATTGGCAACATGGCAATTCTGTATCCCAATATATCATTTACTATTCTATTTTGATGTTTCCACTTTGTTTACTAATATGCAGGATCCCAGGTTTTAGAACCTCTAACCCCCAAGGGTTAAGTAGACGTTAACTGCAAACCTAACATATTGTCTATACTTACCTTGGGCACTCTTGAAAAAGGCGCCTGAGACCGCTGAAACGCGCGTCGAGTTTAGACGTTTTCCTTTTTAACTAGGTTAGGTTTTTGATGCATCCTTTTAGTCTCTTTTAGATTTTGAGGATTTAAATACTTTTTCAAATGGGATTTGATCTTAAGAGGGGATCTATGTTTACTTGTTAATATATTTTTTCTCTATCTTCCCTAAGACTTTAATTTTAATTTGGGACGATCACAGGTCTTGCACAACTTAAGGCAGTGTAATATATCTAGCCTGCCTATTTTCATCTCTCTCTATATCTCTAAAGTGCAATTTCAAACAGATTAGACTTTGATCGTGTGTCTGCTATATGCTGAGGTCTTTTAAAGGACCACTATAGGCACCCAGACCACTTCAGCTTAATGAAGTGGTCTGGGTGCCTGGTCCAGCTAGAGTTAACCCTTTTTTTTTTTAATAAACATATAAATTTCAGAGAAACTGCTATGTTTATAAATAGGTTAATCCAGCCTCTAAAGCCTCTAGTGGCTGTCTCATTGACAGCCGCTAGAGGCGTTTGCGTGCTTCTCACTGTGAAATTCACAGTAAGAAGACGCAAGCGTCCATAGGAAAGCATTATGAATGCTTTCCTATGAGACTGGCTGAATGCATGGAGGCGGAGAGGAGGAGGAGAGCTCATCGCCCGGCGCTGGAGAAAGGTAAGATTTTAACCCCTTACTCTCCGCAGAGCCCGGCGGGAGTGGGACCCTGAGGGTGGGGGCACCCTCAGGGCACTATAGTGCCAGGAAAACGAGTATGTTTTCCTGGCACTATAGTGGTCCCTTAAGGTTATATATTGGGTTACTGTGTGCATCAACTCTGAGGAATCTTCATGGCATTACTATATTGCTTATAATTGTATTCCATTTCTACATGGATGTTAGCTACAGTCACCCTAATAAACCTGTCCTCTAATTGGCACTATGCCATTAATAAGCAACAAGTAAGTTTAGCTTATTATCATTATTTGGTGTTTTTCATTTATTTGATTTAAGCTAAAACTTATACCAGTATTGATAACAGCACTAAAAAGAGAGAGATTACCTGAATATAGTTCCATATATACAGGGAAGGTAGAGCGTACCTGAACATAGTCCCATCTACTTACTATAAGTGGATATATAGAGGCTTTACCAATCTGAGCTCCTATTAGACACTATCCAAACTAAGTGCAACATATTGACAGTTACTAGCTTTTGATCTTTATCTCTCAAATAGATTCCTGACTATTGTGTTTACGTATAAGTCAATTTATTGGTAACAACTTACAGTTAGTCACACATATATATACAAGAGACTGTTTAGACTGCTCAAGCCTTTCCTTTTTAAATTCACCAACACTGTGTGTTTCACTCATTTCACAAATTTTTGTCCTTAAAGAGATTTTTAAATTGAATCTAATAAACATAAGTTCTTATTTTTTAACTCTCATTCTATTCGTACCCCATGAGTTATCTTTACTATTGTGGGTATACCTGGGGGGAGTGTTAGAAGAAAGGCAGGTCGCCCTTCACTCTTTTATCCTCTAAGGCAACCTTTCTCGTGTGGGCTCAACGTCATACATTTTTGTGCAGGCTTACATTTATAATGTTTTATCTGCCTCTTTTAATTTGTACAGATTTCTTTGAAATGTATTCCAATAAAGTATCTGGCTGAAAGAACCATTTAAAATCTTAGTGAATTCCACATCCGTTTTCCCTGGCGCATCCCCATTGTAAGTCGTTGATCACTTTCAGTACGGCCTGATCTTTTACCTGGATTCTGCTTGGCTCTCTGCCTCCACTACATCCGCCAGAGGATCAGGAGCTCCTGCTTAGTTGCTTCCGTTAACTCTCCTGACCTAAGACCTGCAGTGCAGGGCTAACTCATTGGCTGAGAGCTTCAGGTTCTCTGCTGGCTATAGTGGAGGAGAGAGAGGCATTAAGTGGACAGCAGATAAGAAGTCAAATGGTTTGAATACTTGGTTGGGAGGCCTCCAGTTATATGAATATTACAAGCACCATAACGACTATAGTGTGCTGTAGTGGTTATGGTCCTTGTAAGTGTTACTTTTACTCTACCCTACAGCCAGTCATTGTCATCTTCTTACCTGTTTAATGGGGCTTAACATTTCAAGATCTATGCTACTAGCCAGGTTTCAAACACTGAGTAAAACCCGGAAGAAGCGCTGAAGGGAACCTATAGTCCAGAAATAACTATTGTTATTTGAAGAATCATAGACTCCCTTTAAAAGTTATACACCACTGCCTATTTTGCCAAGGTGCCAGTCTAACAATGTTAATTTTCCTCATGCCTAATGTGGTTTTTATATTCCTTTTATTTGCAACAGGAAGAACCGGTCCAACAATGAGGGAAGCTGACAGAAGAGACATTATGAAGTCCCATGAGAGGTATATTCTTTTTATTATGGCTGTTAAAATGCAAATTACAGTATAGTATGTGACTGCCGATTTTATTACTTCTTAATTATTTGCTTACCCTTAAAGTGTCTTCATAGTTTATCACATACTATACATGTCCATAACTACAATTATCACCTGTGTTTGTATTCTAAAATATTCTTTTAGATACCAAGTTACTGTTCTTCATGAACAAATAGACAGCAATAAAAACATTGTGCATTAAATGTGTTGAAATCCAGTAGGCAATAGTTATTAATGGGCTTACAGTCACCCAAAACACATTAGATTCTACCATGCCATCTCCAGCAATTCTCCTATTGTATCTGCCTGGGATGGAGTCAGAGCTTTTTCGGTATGAGTTAAGGGCAATCACATGGGAAGCCACATGTCACTATAAGCACCATGACCATTACATCGTGCTCTCAGCCAAGTCTGTATGATTTGGTGAACTTTTTTATCAGACCAGAATAACCCTGGACACCTCATACAGCAAGGTAAACAGTTTGACATATCAGAATGCTGCAGTCAGTTTGGGTTCTAGAGTGTCCTTCTAAAACAGAATGTGCTGGGGGAGAGCCAGATGCTCTAGTGCACTTCAGGTACCTCAAAAGATGTTATTTGTGAAACTGAATGTTTCATCAGAACTTCCTACAGCACAATTGTGTTGTCATGTAAGCTGTTTTTAAAAGGAAACTTTGATTATATTTTCTTTTCCTGATAAACAATATACATTGTATTAATATTCTTTTTAAACTGGTCTGAACTTGCAAAAAGAAGAGACACAGAAAACAGCAAAAACACAAGAATAAGGCACAAAATTGTAAAAACAAAAATTAGAGAGACATTTAAAAGAAGAAAAAAAACAAAATAAAACAGTTCCCAGAAACGTATTGTAAAATAGCGACAATATAACTTTCCCAATACTCTTTTATTATATTCCAAAAAGCAATGACCATGTGTTTCATTGTGCGATACGATTTGCTAGGTTACACAGCACAAACTTTACACTGGTCATGTGGCTTTTTGGATGCTTTTCTGGTCAATACAGGTTTGTGAAAATCTTTAGTCATTAAGGGGAAGGCTGCTTATGTTATATGTTGTATATTTCTCATACAATTTATTTATTTTTATTTATAAAATATTTTACCAGGAAAGATACATTGAGATTTCTCTCGTTTTCAAGTATGTCTTGGGTCCACAAATCATTGCATTGTTACATTAAGGTACAATACAAATACAAAAAACAATATTAATACACAATATATACAAAATTTACCATAAAACAGGTAGGGAATATATAATCACCCATGACACGTGCATTCTGTTTTGAGATATGTAGAGAGGGATCTCTTAAAGGACTTTAGGCTTGGGGAAGATTTTAAAGTGTGTGAGAGGCCGTTCCATAATTGCGGTCCTCTGTAGGAGGAGGAGCATCGGGCTGCTTTCTTTTTGTATTGAGGTAGACTAAATAAAGTGCTGGTACTGGATAGGAGGTTATAGGAGGTGGGAACAGCCGGGGAGAGCATTTTTTTTGTTCAGGTAGGGTGGGAGTTTCCCAGAAAAGCTCTTAAACACAAGGCTGGAAAGATGAAGGGTGCGTCTGGATTCCAGCGACAGCCAGTTTAGTTCCTTTAGCATGTCACAATGGTGGGTCCTGTAATTACATTGTAGCACAAATCGGCAGAACGAGTTATACAATGTACTGAGTTTATTAATGTGGGATTGCGGTGCAGATGCATATACATGCATTTGCTGTACAATGTCTTCCTTTACTGTAGGGCTTAGGCAGGATTTGTTTCTGTACAGGGCACCTAGTTTTGGATAAAGTTTAGATGCAAGTTTTTCTATGTGGAGGCCAAAAGATAGATTGAGGTCTAACATCATACCCATGTATTTGAAAGAGTGGACTGCGGTCAGTGTGCCATTTGAACTTGTTTTGATGGATAGGTGGGAATTGTGTAATTTAGGGACTGTTCCAAAGATCATGGTGACAGTTTTGTCAGTGTTTAGGAAGAGTTTGTTTTTTGCGATCCATTTTTCTACCTCTGTAAACTGGTCTTGGAGCACAGCCTCAAGCTGCGGTTGCTCGTATTTGCTCACATAGGTCACTGTGTCTTCTGCGTACCTGTGTACATTTGAGCATTTGCAGACATTAGGCAGATCACTTATAAATCATGTAAATAGTAGGGGGCCGAGAATGGAACCTTGGGGAATTCTACACGTGACTGGGAGAGGGAGGGAGTCGCTGTCAGATATGGACACATATTGCGAGCGATGCGATACATACGATCGAAACCAGGTTAGCGAACAATCACCAATACCTGAGTTTGAGCAGTAAATTGTCGTGGTCTACTGTGTCAAAGGCCTTGGCAAAATCAAGGAAAATAGCTCCAGGTAGGTTTCCTTGTCCCTTGCCAGTTTGGATGTCATTGCAAACTTTTAAGAGGGCAGTTGTAGTGGAGTGATTCTGGCAAAAGCCCGACTGATCAGGGGTCAGATAGTTTGATTGTTGTTAATACTCGCATAGTTGCGTATGGACACATTTTTCTAAGATTTTTGACAATACCGGGAACAATGATATTGGGCGATAGTTAGAAACCAAAGTATTGTCACCACTTTTATGGATAGGCACTACTCTCGCAGTCTTCCAAAGTTTGGGTATGTATCCAGACACCAAAGATTCGTTAATTAGGGTTGCGACTGGTTTAGCAATTGCCGGCGCACTGAGCTTCAACAGCATTGCTGGGATTTGATCAGGTCCGGACTGGTTTTTCATTTTTAGATTATTTTGGTGTTTAACGACACTAATGGGTACAGGTCTAAAAATTGACTTGTCCATATTGGGCCTTTGCAAATTTAATGGTGCCTGATCAACATTTGTAGTTTCCGGATGCGTGTCATTTATTAGCTTGGCAATCAGGGTAGTGGAGCATCCGACAAAATAATTGTTAAAGGCATTTGCTAAATCTAAGGGAAGTTGCAGGGTTTGGTTACCCACTTTGACAGTGGAGGGATGGGAGTGGATTTTGATAGGTTATTGTTAGGGATCGACCGATTATCGGTCTGGCCGATATTATCGGCCGATATTTGGTATTTTCGGCAATATCGGTATCGGCCAATTCAGATACCGATATTGCCGATAATATATAACAGGACCGCCGTGCCCATTACAAGCCCAGCGGTCCTGCGGGGGCCAGCAGCAAGCGCTGACTTACCTTGCATGCAGCTCCTACAGCTCTCTGTGTAAATCTCGCGAGACCCGCGGCCGCAGAGCGTTGCCACGGGTTACCATGGCAACGCTCCGCGCGGCACTAAGAGCCGCGAGATTTACACAGGGATCTGCTGGAGCTGCATGCAAGGTAAGTCAGCGCTTGCTGCTGCTGAGCCACCACTGTACTTAACAAGCCACTGGACCACCAGGGAATACTATATCCCCCTCCCTGGTAAGAAGCAGGGAGGGGGGACTAATTTTAGGGGCCAAAAGAGCATAGACAGCTCCAACGGTGGACCCTCAGTTGAAGTAAGGTCTTGTTCTATCTTGTACCATATCTCATTCTTACTATCATTTAGTTGAGTAATAATTGCGTGTGTAAAGGTCGCAGCATTTTGGAAGTCTTTTAGAATAGGGACCCCCAGTCCCCCCTTTTTCACTTTTAAGGCTAAGCGTTTTTGGGATATTCTTGGGGGCTTATGTAACCATATAAATTTATTCAATAAGGATTGAGCTAAGGTCAACCAGCTGTCCGGGCACGGTAATGCCACCATTCTAAATAGATAAACCCATTTTGGGATAATATAAGATTTAACTACATTGATACGGCCCCACCATGAGATCTCTAAATTTTTCCAATTTTTAAATTTCTTTGCCGTAGTTCTAAGAAGAGATAGGAAATTGAGTTCCATGATAATATTAACGTCATTTGCTATTTCAATTCCCAAATAATTAAAAGAAACCTCCGCCCAATTAAATTCATATCTCTGCCTAAGTATTGCCCTTGTATTCTGAGGGGTATTCATTAGTAATGCAGTCGACTTATTGACATTAATTTTATAGCCTGAGTGTAAAGCGTATTCATCTAAGGTATTAAAGAAAGCTATAGAGGAGTTTAAAGGATCTGCTAGAGTTAATACAATATCGTCAGCATACATTGTTAATTTAATGCAATCATTTTTGAAATTAAGGCCCTTTATTACCTCATTTTTCCTTATTGCTACCGCTAGAACTTCTATTGTCAATAAATAGAGAAGAGGTGAGAGCGGGCAGCCCTGTCTCGTCCCGTTTTTCAACGAGAAAAAATCTGAGCTGAATCCCGCTCCCACAACTCTTGCGGAAGGAGTTGAATATAAGGCCAGTATTGCTTTTCTTATATTCCCAAAAAAGCCAAAGGTTTGTAGGACCGCATCGAGGAAGTCCCACCTGACCCTGTCGAATGCTTTCTCTGCATCTAAAGACAGGATCAGGAGGGAGTATTTCCTCGATTGGGCCCAATCCACTACGTCTATAAGACGTCTGACATTATATACCGAAGAGCGTTTGGAAATGAAGCCCACTTGGTCCCTATGAATTATATCCATCATAATTCCATTTAATCTGCTTGCCATTATTGAGGAATAAAGTTTTAAATCTTCATTCAATAACGAGATAGGTCTATAATTGGTTATTAACTCTGAGGACTTTTGTGGTTTAAGAATAGGGACCAAGTTAGCACTACACACTACACAAACACACACTAGGGGGGGACTAAACAAAAAAAAAACATTTAAATATTAAAAAAAATCAAAATAAAAAATTACACAAATTACATCACTACACAAACACACACTGCACACATACTGCATTACATACACACACACACTGCATTACATACACACACTACACAGACAGACACACTACACACACACCACAAACACACACTGCACACATACTGCATTACAGACACACACACTGCATTACATACACACTACACACACACACACTGCATTACATACACACACTACACAGACAGACACACTACACACATACTGCATTACAGACACACACACTGCATTACATACACACTACACAAACACACTACACACATGCTGCATTACATACACACTACACAGACACACACTGCATTACATACACACACTACATTACATACATACACATACACACTAAACACACACTGCATTACATACACACACAAAAACACACTGCATTATACACACACACTACATAAACACACTGCATTATATACACACTACACACACTGCATTATATACACACACTATGCATCCACTACACACACACACACACACACTACACAAACACACACAGTTCCCCTGTCTAAACACACTTCATCCACTACATGTGGCATGTATATTTTGTGCATTTACCTTTCAAATTAGTTTATTTATTCAAAATAGTAAATGTACAGAATATCGGCAAGATATCGGCTATCGGCCTGAAAGTTCGCAGATTATCGGTATCGGTATCGGCTCTAAAAAATCAATATCGGTCAATCCCGAGTTATTGTTCAGATTTTCACAGAAATATTTGCTTATTTATCTAAACATAAATACATTTACTACTTGGAGTACTCTTTTATGAAAGTAAACCCTCTCTGAGTCTTCTTTTTGGTCTTGATTTTAATGCTACAAGTCTTCATATTACAGAATTTCTTATGCCATATTTGTAATTTCCTTTCTAAGGATGTCCAGATCGGGGGGCAGGGGCATTGAACGCAAACGTTGCGATTCGTTTATCAACAGCCTCTTTGAAGAAGCAGAGGATGGTGGCGGACTAAATGCCTCTCCAGAAGATGTTGAGAGTCATGTAAGAACACAGCATCATTTACGTTATCTTATTAATTCTATAATCCGCAAACAACATTTCTACTACTATGCTACTACACAGGCTTAAGGTACTCACCACAGCAAGCCCGAGGAGACACATTTACCAGGGTTGAACTTCTGCCCAGCACTGCTGGTTCTTCACTCGTTGGGTGTGGAAATTGTGAGCCATGCTAATTGTAAATACCAGACTATAGCTATTTATCCTTCGCCCCCTATTTCTTTTTTTATCCCTGACATAAAGTGCCAGAACCATGTGTTTTCTGAAACAGACCACGGTGAAGATGTTCTGTTAAAGTGACTGTTACCTCACACCTACCTTTCTGCTATTGCTTCCTCTTTTCTTCATTTCTGATCTAGGGACCACTTTGCCTTATGTAGTCTTGACAAAGGGTGGCGTTTAAGGCATAAGATAAGCTTCACTTCCAAGATAGTAAAGCTTCCATTTCCAAGACAGTGAAGCTTTCTTAAGCTCTACCCGTTTTCAAGATTTGTCAAGAGGAATAGATCAGAAATGAAGAAAAACCAAAAGAGAAGAGGAAACAATAGGACAAAGGAAAGTCTGATGTGACAGAGCCACTTTAACTCCTTGCTGTTGGACCTCGTTTGATGTAAGACATGTGGTGCCAGTCTGTGGCTCTCTGTGTAGACCATGTGATGGATAGACCTCTTATTGGAAGCCACTGGTTGCTTTGCTCTGTCTTGGAATCGGTTGTAATTTTGCTATATGTATTCTTTGCCAGAGTTGTTCATAAAAGTATTGTCATTATGAAGTACCCCATTGTTGTGTCCATATTACTATAACTGTGTTTTCACGTTGCCCTTCCCTTAACAATAACTAAATAAAAATGATTTCTGGTAGGACCGAGAAAGTTGGCCATCTTCTTGCATTGCTCCAGAAGAACATGCTCTACAATCTGTAATACAAATCCTGCTGTTTATGCATTCGGACAAATTAATTAATCAGCAGGTGGAGCAATGCACTTGAGCCTACATTTGTTTTTTTACAGTGGTGACTCCCCAGGTAAAGACTATCCCTGCTTCGAGTGTTTACATTGCCACCTCTTGCTGATGCCTGTCTAAGATGGTGTCTGTTCTTTGTCCCACATTCCTGTCTACTAGGAAGCGTGATGTGATATCTCACAATTTCTTTTTTCTCGGGTTCAAGTGCAGGTTACCAATTTGTTCGATTAACATGGTTTCTGCTACTTTTAATGTATATTCTCCTGAAATGAATAGTGCAATGTCAGAGCATTTTGAAAAAACAAATGGTCTTACTGTGTGAGAGTGCAGACAGGTGGGTTCTCCTCTAAATAGACAAACAATACATCTCTAACACCGGATCCTGCATTCCGGACTTCCATCAGTATTCCATCAATCAGATTAAAATCAGCCTTTATTCAAAAACAAATTTTATACTTGAACATAATGTGCAGGGGAGAGGGGGGATAGAGAAGAGGGATGATAATGCATTTTGTGGTTTGCAAGACACAGCCATAACCACCCCTACCAATCTAAACAGCCAATCAAAGTGTAGACTCACTTTAAACTGGGAGATTGACATACAAATTGTGCAAAATTAAGACTATCGACTAAGGAGTAAACTTAATTTATTGGAAGACATACTGTTAGAACCATTGTATGCTCTTCACACACAAAGCACACAACAAGCTAAAGTGCTTTAGGTGTTTGGAGTTTTCCTTTAAATCTAAGCCCTTTCTTCTTCCTACAGGTAGATGTTGTTATTAAAATGTGGAAAAACGGCTTCACTATCAATGATGGCCAACTCAGGGACTACGGAGATTCTGCAAATCGCCAGTTCATGGATGCTATGCGGAAAGGGCAAGTGGAACAAAATATCTTCTCATGGCAAATTAATAAATATGAATTATACTTTAGAGACTCTGCAATGCAGCAGTAATACCATGGCTTTAGGCCTGTTTCCCAAAAGTAAAACGTACACAATTGACAGGTAACAAAAGTGTAGCTTCCACTGTCAAGCTCTGTCAACTCCCACAGTTGTAGGAATCTGGTTTCCTCTCACTCGTCATGAGAATTGCTCTCTGGAAGCTCCCACACTCTCATAGGATCTGTCATAATCATTGTTCTACTTTCATAAATGCACAAGATTAAACAACTGATTTGGCTGTTGGCAGATGTCTGATGGAACCTCCACGAGGTAAAAAAAAAGCCTGTGCCTGTGGTTACCATATCCCAAGCATGGAAGTCACTATTGGGGATCTTTACAAAATATGCCAAGAACCCTGAAGATAACAGAACTATTCTTGCAGATAGTAAGATGTTTATTGGCAGGGCAATAAGGAGTGAACAGTAAGGCATAATGTGTAATACTGGGATTTAGGATGTTTTTATGTCATTTGTGATTGACAGCATTGTCTTTTTACATTACTGGTCACTTAATTTTAATGTTTATATTACAAAATCACTTGTGTGTGTGTGTATATAGCGGGACAGAAAATAGCTGTTTTGAAAACCTTGTTTAGAAAAGATGCACCTGTTCAAATTGCTATATATATATTCTGGTGATATGTTACAGCTGCCAGTGTTACTATAATGCTAAGTAAAGTTTATATCATTATAAACAAAGGTTGCGAATTAGAATACACACAAACCTAGTCCCTTTTATTTTTTATTTTTTTATCCCAGTGATGCTCTGAAACTAATCATTTATCACATCCTTGTGAGCACTTACCCTAAAGTCTTCTAATGTCACTGTGTAAGTAATATTTTTTACTTTTTGTGTTTGGCAATATCCAGGGAGTTGCCCACTGAGCTGCAGAGAACATTTGAGAAAGAAGAGTTAGCTGTAAATGTTGAGGACAGGAAAACTGAAGACTATTATTTATGGAAGCTGCAAGTTAATCCATTCTCTGGTCTGGGTCACAGACTTGGAAGGTAAAAACACGACCGAATGCAGTACTAAGGGAAATATGCTGGCTCTCCCTGCTTATTAAAGCAATCTGTATTGTAGTGTGGTTGCGGTAACAGGGAGCAATGGACATTCATGTAGGAGGGTTCTCCTGCTTTCACTTGTGGTTCAAATATTTGGCATAAAGGTCTATGCTGCCTCTATGTCAAAGAATTGATTAACAGGTGGGGGATGGGTCTATTTTAAAATAATTGTGTTTCTCCAATGTAAACATTGGCTAGAAATTCTGGAAGCACAATGTAAACACAGAATTCAACTTTAAGGTTTAAAAAAACTACTCATGTACCGTGACACGTATGCTTTAAGGAAATATGCAGGTGCTTCCTGGCTGTTAAAGCAATATGCTGGCTTCCTCCAGGTATTTGGACAGTGTGCAAGCTTCTGCCCTGGTTATTCAGACAACATGCTAACATCCCCCTAATTAGTCAAGACAAAATGTTGGCTTCCCCTAGTATAAAAGTAATTTCTAGACATTGCCTATCGATGAAAACAATTAAGTTAAAATTTAATTCTGTCCAATTACACTCACAATGTAAAGGGATGAGGGACAAATACCCAAGGGAGATATGGGAATAAAGTGATTTGAATGTTCCTGAGGATGAAAAGGTGTTCATGTGGAGGGAGCACAGTAGGTGGGAGACTGCAGAACGAGGTTGTAGGGGATGAGGAGTTAAGGAACCTTATCTAAAGAAGTGTATTTTTAGGAATGTTTTTGAAAGACTCTCTGGAACAGTTAGATGTCCTGACTGAGGGCATTCGATAAGGAGAGGGCAACCCTGCAGGAGAGAGTCTGGGGTGCTGGTGTGAGAATTGAACAGTAACAGGTCGTTGGCTGACCAAAAAAGCCGAGCTGGAGCATATCTGCTAATCAGGAAGGAGATGTAAGCAGGCGCTCAGTTATGGAGAGTTTTGTAAGTAAGTTTGATGAACCAAGTCCTAAGTGAAACATGTAACCAGTGTAGAGATTTACAGAGGGGTGAGGTATGAGAATTCCTGGACGTTATTTAAGGTAAGGAGTCTGGCAGAGGTATTCATTAGGACTGTCTGACAAACATAAGTTTTCAATAATCAAGGTGAGGAACAACAAGAGCACGAACAAGGGTTTTAATTGCATAATGAGTGGGAAAAGGGCAAACGCAAAAAAAAAATGTTTAAGGTGAAAGTGACAGGATTTGGAGATTTTAAATAAAGGAAATTTCTGCATCAACAACACATCACGGCAATCTGCCTGCAGAGTAATGGTGATGATAGATGTGTTGAGCTTTTAAGAAAACGGGAACAAATCTAGCTTTAGAGCGAGGAAAGTTTGGTTTTGCATTGGTTGAGTTTTAGGAATCGGTAAGTCATCCAGTCAGAAATAGAGAAAAGGCAGTCGATGACACGATTCAGAATATCGAGCGAAAGATGAGGAGAGGTAGATTTGGGTATCTGCATACACGTGATATTGAAAGCCGTAGAATGGTATTGGGTCACCAAGGCATGCAGTCTAAATTGAAAACAGATCCTCGAGGAACTCCAAACAGGAGAGGTACAGAAAGGTAGGATGCACTAAAGGAGCAGTCAGCGAGGTAGGAAGAGAACCAAAAAAGTGTCACCATGGACAAGGTTAAGAAGGAGAAGCGGGTGGTAAAAAGTGGCAGAAAGATCAAGCAGAATAAGGACTAGCCTTTGTATTTGGCTGTTGCCAAGTCATTAGTCACCTTGGTCTGCCTGGTCTCAGAGGATTGTTGGAAGTGGAAGCCAGAATGCAAAAGGATGTGGATGTGGGGTAGTCTGTAAGGAGAGTATTAACAAGTTTTTCAATGTACTTGTAAAGCCGGAGAACATGTAATTCTATTAGTCTTAATAAAAAAAATGACATTTATTGGATGAAATTCACTTGATCTGAACCTCTCAATGGATGAAATTCAGCTTGGCCAAATTATTATTGTTTTTTCAATTGGACAAACTGAATTTTTCTCACCCATACAAAAGTCATATTGTACAAAACCAATACGCTATTTAATTTAAGCGCAAAGAGATAAAGAAACTGTTTTCCTGCGGGTAGAAACCTTCTTGTTACTTTCTCTGTCACAGTGCCACCCCCAAGATCATCACCAAAGAGTTTAATGGCTTGGAAAATGGGGATATTCTGCCATCTGTCGAAGTGAATGAATTGGAGCCTTTGACCAGCTTAAAGATTTGGTTGGCAGATGGAAAGCAGATTGTGCAGAGGTTCAACACATCTCATAGGTAATGGAATACTCAGTTACATCTAATTACTGATAATTTAGATCTAAATTAAATTTATAAGCAATATAAACAAATTGTCTTGTGAGCCTGATGGGAGTTGCAGTCTGAGCTTCTCCACTGCATCTCTATGGTGATCAGCAGCATTTCCTCTTCCTTTCCCTAACCACCTCTGTTTGCACACCTTCCCCCACTACAATAGCAGCCTGACATTGGTAAGTTGTGACCTCAGCGGCCCAGGAGACCGTTCATTCCTGTAACCTTACAGAAGCATTTTCATTTATGCAGATATTCATTTTGAATTGGTCAGTTGGCTGTTTAAATTTTTAAGGGATTCTCTTAGATTTAAAAACATTCTAACTTAGTAGTACCGGTTGTGGAGCATAATCCCTTTTCCCTCTCCGTGTAAAACATTGCTGTTTCTAAGAACACTAGATCCTCTTCCTCCCTAAGACCTTGAAGGTCTTCATGTCCGATTTCATCACACACAGCATAGGAGAAGCATTGGATTGGTCACACAAGTGCCATTGAAAGAATGCATCCAAGGCTTCTATGCGAGAAATATTAACAATGTTTGGCATCATTGTCCTGTGTGTGATGACTCTCTGAAGGAGACGACTATCAAAAATCATAGATCTTAAAGGGATATTCTATGCACCATAACTACAGCACACTGTTGAGGTTATTGTGCCAGCAGTCTTTGGGCACCTCTACCCACAATCTCTAAAACCATATAATAACTGTTTGACCCTTACCTTGTGTCAGGCATCCGTGGCTCTTCTGATCTGTGTTGACATTCATGCTTCCTCATTATCATACCAGGCAAATCGTGTTCACTGGCTGAGAGTGTTGGTCTTTAAGGAGGAAGCACCTCTAGTGACTGTCAGTCTGACAACTAGATACGTGTTCTAGGCAAAATGTCAGTAGTACTGTTTCTCTGCATCCACAGTGTTTTACATTGCCAGAAAAAGGAGCAGAATCTAGGTACCAAAACCACTGCATTAAGATGTAATTGTTTTGTTGATTAGTGTCTTTCCTTTCTTTTTCTTTGTTCATTTGTTTTATTTTATTGGTATTTTTAAAGGGAGGCATTTCAGTTTTAATACATTTTTTTAGGTAAGTGATTAACCCCTTAAGGACACAGCTTCAGAAGCTGAACATACCCTTAAGTACCCAAGCAATTTTTGCATTTCTTGCTGTTTGTGTTCAACTGCAATTTGCATCTCTCTCATTTATTGTACCAACACATATTACATACCGTTTTTTAGACAACAAAAAGGGCTTTAATTAGATGTGTGGCATATACATATTGTGAGCGTAAAAGTGGAATTGTGGTTGATGGAAGATACATCAGGCCTGATTTGTTAAACAGCAACCTGAGAATTTTCAGTTAAATGCCCCAGGGAGAGATGTTACAGTTTGCAATCTACATTGCTGAGGTTCTGCAAAACATGGTATGGGTCCCTGGGGCGGAGTATTTGGAGAGCAGGGTGGGCCAATGCTCCAACAGCATTAGTTGCTGTGTAACAGACCACTATTTGGATCTGACTTACGAGTTAGTTAATTGGCACTCACCTGTAGCCAGTCAGTTAGTAGACAGGCCTTTAAAAGAAGAGGGCAGCCTGCTGTAGAGTGAGGAAGAAAAAGACAGCTAGGAGAGTGAAAGACAATTGTGTTTATTGCAAAGCCATTTCTTTTGGAAAATTGGTAAGTGGGAAAGCCACCCAATTATAGAGAGTAATTACTGTCTAGTAAGAGCTCAAGTAAGAGCTCAAGGGATTTTGTTTGTTTTGTTATTATTTAAAGCACCTGTTTTCTTATTGAATAAAAAGGAAAACCGAACTGAATGTGTCCTGGACTTTGTATACCCTAGAAGGCTGTGGTTACTGCAAGATCTGTGACAATCCTACCTGTAAAAGAGGTGGTTTGGTACAATATATACATTTTCATTTATTACAAAAAAATGCAAAATAATGTGGGAAAAAAACAAAAAAATGCTTTTTCCCCCCAAGTTTTGGCAATAATAATGTGTGCATAATATGTCCAGCTTAGGAAAAGTAATTCAAAATCAATTCATTTATGTGTCTTGATTTACAAAGTACATAATATGTGTAGGATTTCAGTTTATTTTGAAAGTTACAGGTCACAAACTACACGGTCTAAAATAAAATTTCAATGTGAAACAATTTTAGAAGTTGGTATGTTTGTCTTGGAAGTTTAACACCCATTACAGGAAACAAAATTGCCACACAAAAGTATATATTTATATAAAGTAGACATCACAGGCTATTTACCTAAGGTTAGTTTACACTTTTTGTGTAGCCATTTCACCGCCAATCTCTGCTAAATATTGGAGTAAAATTGTGTTTTTTCTCTATTTTGGCATTTACACATATAACAAGGTTTTTGTAATGTGTATTTCGTAAACCTAGTGTGTGCTATCCCTGTACAGAACCCCATATTGTGTTCAGCTACATCTGCTGAGTACACCGATACCCCCATTGTATACCTTTGCGGCTATTCTGTGAAGCTTCAATGCCACCATTTTTTCACCAATTTATTTAAAATTTTGTGGTGAGAATTTTTTAAAAAAATTTTTTTTTTACATACATGTTGCATTTTCGCTGGGTATTTCTTACATTTGATAAGTGCCACTGTCATAAATTCCCCCTAAGTATGCTCAGTTACCTCTTATGAGTAAAACAAGTCCAATGTATGACCTAGACGCTATTTTGGAAGTTACAGTGCTCTGAAAGAGACGTGACAAGTTCAGGTTTTTAAGTGTGAATTTACATGGAGAGTTTTAGTGGGACCGTATTATATTTTTAAATATGTTAGCAGGCTGCTTTTTCCAATTACCCCAAAAAGGCGTACTATTTCTTAAAGAAGATGCCCGAGGGTATTTTGAACCTTAGTGTGGGATAATTTTTCCGTTAGCTTGTATCAAATGTCGTGGTTATAAGCATTTTTTCTGCCTTTTTGACTCCGTGCGTTTGTACAGTATATTTTGCAAACCTTATGTGTGCTATGGCTTTATAATACTTTATATGTTGATCAGCTATGTTGTCTGAGTACAGCAATACCCCCGTATGTACCTTTGCAGGCAGTGATCAAAGGGCAGTGAAGGGGTTAAATTTTATTTGAAAGAGGTGAGGGGGGGTAGGATTTTATTGCTTTTTTTTTTACAAGGAGAGACAGATCAGCACCGATCTGTCTCTGTGCAGTTCACAGCTCACACGGAGCTGCAGGGAAACAGATCGGGTTTTACTGCAGCACATGTGATCGCTCTGACTCCAGGTCAGTGCGATCACATGGACTGAATCAGTGAAACTGCCCATGGTAGTGTGCCTCCGATATGGAGACACACTACAGGAACATTAACCTCACGATTGCCAAGATTGTGGTAGTCAAGAGTTAATTTTCATTTTGAACGGAAATTTTCAGTCCAGCGTCCTTAATGGGAGTGCTTCAATGACGGAAAATTTCCGTCCAGCGTCCTTAAGGGGTTAAGAAATATTATTTGTGTACAATGTCTATGTAAGGTGAAACAGTGCCACCTAGTGGAGATATGCCAGTGTTAAAGTTCAGTCTCACTGTAATGGTGTTACACCTTCCTGTTTTTTTGTTTTCATTTTTATTTCTCCCTCATTACGTTTTAGCATTTCATATGATTTGGCAGCCTGTGGCCGGGCCAGTCAAATTATGTTACAACTTTTTTAAATCCACTAATAAATCAGATTTTGCTGCTACGCAATAAATGCAGACCTCTTCCTTTTTTTTTTTTTATTCTTTTTTTTTTTTTTTTTTAATATACAGGCAGTACTGGACGGCTTCAAATGTAAATTTCACGGACACATTGTTTTTGAAAAAGTTGCGCAATTGGAAAGAGCACTCTATTAGTTTCCATGGTGACTGTTCTTCTTTCAGGACTTTACCTCAATGTTTTTGTCATCAATTGTTACATTTTTTTTAAAGAGTTTTGGCAAATTTGAGGACATTTTTTATTCTTTTATTTTTTTATGCCTTAAGGACTATCTGGAAAAGGGAGCCAGTGTTTGGAATGCCTGGTGGTGGGGAGAATCCTCTCCGAGTGAGCAAAGCACTGTACTAGACAGGGAGCATATTTTTATTTTGTTTTGCATAGAACCATGTATTTATATCCATTCTTACAAACGTGTGGCTCAAACATATGTAGAGTAGGCAATATTCTACCACACAATAAAAACAGACACCAATTATTAACGTTTAAACAGATTAAGCTGTGGTGTTTAATGCTTAAGTGGCCTACAACCATAAATCTCAAACGTTTAAAACCTATAACTTTAACCCTTTACATAGCTTCATTTTGTTAAACACCACCAAATTGCCAGTGAGTCTTGGACGACCTGACCACCTTTTATTTAACCCCTTAAGGACACGACATGTGTGACATGTCATGATTCACTTTTATTCCAGAAGTTTGGTCCTTAAGGAGTTAAAACCATTTACCACTATATACTTTCTCAGAACTTGACCCTGAGGCGGCCTTTCTGCCGCATTGCTTCCATAACGACAAATACAAATAAGTCAATACAATGGGAGTGAGGCAGGAAGTGTTATATTCTCTCCACCCTCCTCTCCCCCCCCCCCCAAATTCAGTTTGTGACTATCACCTAATTCCAGTTAAAGGAACAGAGCACTAGCAAACACAAATCCAGCTTTTACATTTAACAAGGTTACTTTATATCACATATCTTCGCTAACAAATATGGGGATTCAGTGTCAGAGGCATTTATTTTGTCCGTTTGTACGTCCTGCTGTAATTTGGGAGAGATTTTGTTTGCCGGCAGTCTTGTTCTTGATGCCTTCAATAAAATCCAAGTTTTGTTTGAGGATTCGTTTTGATATATTGGTCTCATCCTGAGGATGCTTGATTGGAAGGAATGCAGAGCGTTTGCAGAGATATCGCTCTGTATGTAAAATCCTCCAGACTCCTGTTTCATGGCCCATTAATCACCCAATTGCTGTTATTGTCTATTTAATGACACGGAGAATGGTTTTACTGATTGTGTTTGATTAGATGTACGCACTTTGCTCAATCAGCAGGTTACTTATTAAACTCCAGCAAACTTGTAAATGGTTCCAAAGTATTTGTGTCATTTAAACTAGACTTGTCTTGGCTCGCCTTTCTGGACCCCCTAAAGATGCCATTTTATCCAATTCTGTGTATTAAAGGAAGGTTTTCATTACTGTATAATCTGAGCAATGGTGACTGTCACAAACGCACCCTACTCCAAGAGTGTGTGTGACGTAGTTGTGGTGGTGAAAGGGTTAAAGTTCACTATTTGTCCGGAAATAATGACAAAATCCCCCTTTTTAACACCACCCACACTTAAACATAATAATAAAACTATTACTATTTTAATGCTGCCACCACCAAGACAATTTATAAATGGAGTGCCTTGGTCCCCCAGGTAAATCAACAATAAAACCCACCAAATATTACTTAGTACAAAATTTAAGGAATTACAAAAATACTAACTAGTCTCTTCAGGTAACGTGATTCTTAACTAGACAAAGGCAGAACGTAATAAATGAATGTTTATTATGAGCACAAAATAGTCACAGTGCATATAAAAATATATGATAAACAAATTATGTACACCAACAACAGATAAAAACAAAAAGGATAAAATACACTCACTAAGTTTTCAAAGTACAACTTCTGTCCTGGGGGTCTCTGGCAAGGAAAGATGGTGACTCACTTAGAATTAGATTCTGGCCCCCAAGCAAGTACACTAGCACCCTTCAGGATCATTAGAGATATACCCTGTGGATTACCACACCTCACCCAGAGGTGGAGTTAAGGGGTATCTACAGAAAAAATAAGTGACCACCCCCTTGTGTCCAGACCCAGTTTGAAGAATCACCCTCCATTCATTCAATACTTTCCCTCCCTGCTACTTTATTCATGGATTTATTACTGTGACGAAGTGCCCTTCGCCACTTGTGCCTGGAGAGGACTGCTTGCCCGCCTCTTGCCCTGTGACTATGGACCCTGGGAGATTTGGCCCGTTCAATTCAGTATGATAGGAGTTATGTATTTTTGTATCCTTTTGTGTTTTACTGGGAACATGTGCTCAATGGAGTCTGCCTCTATCCCTGGGATATAATTGGATTATTTTCCCCATTGTCTCCAGGATAGAGGGCTCTGTAAAAAATGGTTTGGGCCAGATAGCCATGCTGCCAGCCAGGCCCCAAAAGATACTTTACTAACTTCTGAACCCCTAGTCTGATTCATGTCATTTTTTGATATGTTGTTTCCCTGAATGGATTGATTGTAAATATATAATTTTTATGTGAATGTGATGTATATTTTAGAAGTTATGCTGTTATGCTGTAAAAACTGTATTTTTCCTACCTGTGATAATTGCATCTTCTATTGTATAAGATAATTGAATCACAGGCAGAGGGGAGGATTTTGTGTGGGCTGTAACCTCTGTTTTATTGGCTACTGTAGATAACGTGTGTGTCCCTCCCCTGCATGGGAGCAGGGCATAAAAGAAACTGTAGCTTGAATACCTGTTGTTACTTCCAATAAAGTCTTGTTCCAGCATTAAGCCTTGGCTCATGTTTGGGGGATTGCTATAATAACTTACTCCCCAGAGTAAACTCTTGCAATAGCTTGATTTGTTCCTGCTACACTCTCTGGATTTAGGAGAGGTTCACCCACTGGGAGCTGGATCCTGGTCGTGGATCCAGGGTGGGTGGAGACTGCGAGACCCCGGCGCAGCTGTATCGCTGGAAGTGGGGTCTGCAGTGCTTCTGGTGTCGGTTGGAGTGCTTGGAGTCCTCAGCGAGCACTAGGCGCATCGATTGGCGGAGGTACTCAGTCGGAGTGCCAGCGTTCCGTCACACCCAGATCAATCCATATGGAAACATCTTCTCTTATGTACCCGCCACAGAAATAATAATTGCTTCTATGAATTTATTATTTTCCCATTCTATACATATGTTGCACGCCAACCTTATGATCCGATAGGATGGACACCACAATTCCTTCCCCTATGGGCAAGTTAGGCCACTCATGTTTGGACCTGGTTAGAAGATGGTGCTTGTCACATTCCCAAATAAAACAAAAATGAGGCTTTATTATTATTCTGTGGGGGTAAATATGAATACTTTAGTCCTTCCTTTGGATATGATATTGGAACAAGGCTGATGGCATTTACATATCAAAGAGATTGGCTCATCCCTTACAAGGTACATGCCAAATGGATGAAGAGACTTCAGACTTTTTCCAAGTGTAGAACCTCACACCTTGCAGAGCCTTGATTACTTCACATCCATATAGTAAAATCCTTTTCACATTGCTATGCCATTCATACTACCCCTTCTGTCATCTTACCTCTGTGGGGGTCCCAGCTTCAAAAGATGTAACTCCTTTTGACCTCAACAATACCATCTCTGTAATTTGTGCCATTTACTACACAAATTACATTAAAGGATAATATTCCATAGTGTAATAATAAATTATGCACCCTTGCCGTGACAGTGACTGTTTAACCCTCTAGCTGCTAGGCACTGCAATATGTTCATTGTGTGTGACACCACTACACACTGCCTGGCATTATAATGAGAAGCAATTATTCCATCCCGTCATTCCATCCCGTCATTATATTTTAGGGAAGCAGAAATACAGGTGTGTGCCATCCTCTGCATTCCAGGAGAAGTACTGACAACACGTCATCATACACAGTGGCCGGATGTTTCACAATGAGAATTGTACTTGCGTACAAGAAATGCGCAGTGTTGCACTCTTTTGTCTTTTTAATTTTGGTAAATCTTTTTCCTACCAAAATGTCATATTCAGTCCGTTCCTGATTTTTATATTTTACATTTTTATTTTTCTAAGACTGTATTTTTAAAGAACCCAGTTTTCCTTGGGCAGAAGACGAAGAAGATGTTGTTTTGGGAGTTCTTAGCAAGATTAAAAATATTTTACAGTGTTGTTTTTGTTTTCATGCTTCTTATTGATGACCTTTCTCAACCTCTACTATAATTGATGTAGATGGCACAGTTGCCCCTTTATTTTCTCTGGTACTTAGTGCCAAAGGGCTTGAGTTCTCTCAATCCCTTTTTTCGGAGTATGGACAATTATTACCATTGAGTTTGTGCACCACTTGACATTGTACTTTGTATGGATTGGGGGGACATTCGATATACACTGGTATTACCTTGTATTTTATATTGCAGCCTCGAGCTTATATATACTCCAGTAATAAAAGAGCACAATACTCAGTTTCATAAGCACCATAGCACTAATGTATGTTGAAATGGTTATAGTGCTTGGAGGCTGTAAGTACCATCCTGCCGTTCTGTGAAACCATTTTTGAGCAGCTTGACACAAACCAAGGGTTCCCCAGGTGCCTGTGTCCTTTCTCCATTCTTGCCAAAATGCTGATACATAGTTCCACTTCCACATTAGCGATGTTAGTTTTCATCCAAATTTGACAGAATGAGCTGACATGCTCAGTGGGTCAGTGCTGTCCAACATTGGATGAAACAGTCAATGCAGAATTGGAACCTCTGCATTAAAAATCCAGTGAGAAAGGGGCTGGAGGGACCCTTGATTTAAGTTAAACTGTTAAAGGGACACTATAGTCACCTGAACAACTTTAGCTCAATGAAGCAGTTTTGGTGTATAGAACATGCCTCTGCAGCCTCACTGCTCGATCCTCTGCCATTTAGGAGTTAATTCCCTTTGTTTATGAACCCTAGTCACACCTCCCTGCATGTGACTTGCACAGCCTTCCATAAACACTTCCTGTAAAGAGAGCCTTATGTAGGCTTTCTTTATTGCAAGTTCTGTTTAATGAAGATTTTCTTATCCCCTGCTATGTTAATAGCTTGCTAGACCCTGCAAGAGCCTCCTGTATGTGATTAAAGTTCAATTTGGAGATTGAGATACAATTATTTAAGGTAAATTACATCTGTGTGAAAGTGAAACCAGTTGTTTTTTTTCCATGCAGGCTCTGTCAATCATAGCCAGGGGAGGTGTGGCTAGGGCTGCATAAACAGAAACAAAGTGATTTAACTCCTAAATGACAGTGAATTGAGCAGTGAAATTGCTGGGGAATGATCTATACACTAAAACTGCTTTATTTAGCTAAAGTAATTTAGGTGACTATAGTGTTCCTTTAAAGTTCTTTGATAAAAAAAACTGGGATTATGCTTGCTGCGTCTTAGCACCATGATCACTATAACTTGCCCTGTAAAAATGCATCAGACATACAGCTTGCCTTTGCTGACATTACTGTGCAACATTAAAATTAAAAAAGAAAATTCTTACATTTTTATGATAAAATCTAGTCTTCTAGAAAAGTTGTTTTAAGCTGTATTAATTTATATATTATTTTTTCAACACTTAAATATCTTGATAAACCCATGTTTCCCGAGAAGCTTAGATTGTAATTTTATATTGTTTTATTTCCACAGGATCAGTGATGTACGGGATTTTCTCGAGAGACTTCCCCGTAAGCCCGGGAACACGGCTTTCACGCTGGCAACCTCCTTCCCTTTACGTGAGCTGTCGGATGAGGCCATGACTCTCCAGGAAGCATGCCTGCACAACAGCGTTCTGGTGCAGAAATTACAAAATAACACAGAGCCTTTCAGGGACTCCTAGCTTTTTGCAAAATGCTGAACTTGAAACCATGTAGCAGACGGCGATTTGAGCCTTGGAGTTCCAGTATTTGTTGCGCTTATTTAATTTTGTCAATATGAAAAAGCACTGTGAATGGACTTGTAGTATCCCATTAGATTAGTAGCACGCCTTCTTTGTGTTTTTGGAGGCATGTGTGAAGGGATTGAAACTTGCAATACTGCCAAAACTTTTTTTTGCTGCATTAGATAAACTCTGAGAGTTCTGGTGAGTGCAGTGGGTTGCATTCCTAAGACATTGTAACAGCCAATTAAATTGCCTCTTAGAGATTTTGCTCAGGACCCCTTTTTCTTTTCTAAATGAGTTTTTTTTTTTTTTTTAAGCCCCCTTTTCTAGCCTTTCTGACTATTGCTGTTTGCAGTGATGTCTGGGTATTTTATGGCACTGACTACTTACTTCTGTAGTTTTTTACGTTTTTTTCCCACTTGTTTTACTAGTGGGAAGAAAATAAGAAAGAGGTTCCTTTATATCTCCCTGTATCTTGTCTTTCCTCTACTCCTCCCACTCCCTTAAAAAAAGTTGTTTGTTTGCAAAGTCTGTTTTTGTTTGTTTGTTTTATGTGTTATATAATCCAGTGTGTTGTTTCTATAGAATACTGTCACTGTTATTGGTATACATTAAGGGCTTTTAGAATCCCTTAGAAGCCTAAAGGAAAACTGAAATTGTATTTATTTTAAAGTAACACTCCGGGTGCCAAAACAACTTCCTTTGTCAAGCCGTTTTGGGAATGGGGAGCCGCTGCTCGTCTGAGAGCATCAATTGATGCTTTCGGACAATCGATTGTGCCCAGTCCGAAGCTTCCTGTTTCAATCATCGAACTCCGCTAAGCTGAACAGCACTATAGACGGTTGAACCTTCTTAATTCTGATGAAGTTGTTATAGTGCTCAGAGAATTCCTTTAAAATATGTTAAAGGGACAGGCTAAGCACCAAACCAACTACAGTTTGGTGTAATAATTATGTTGCCTAGACTCATTAGGTGCTGTCCCACAGATTTTTGTCAAACCATTTTGGAGCAGTTTGACAAAACCTAGGGCTCTTTTTGACACCCATAAGCCACCTCTCTTCAGCCACATAAATAATACATAATTGACACTACTAAATTACTAATATCCATTTTATTCAACTTAAAGTCCAGCGATGACCTGTGAGCACAGGGGACTGGAGAGCCCAGTGATCCAAAATGGTTAGTAGAATGGCATAGCCTATTTATGCACCATACCCACCAAAACTTAGTATAGGAAGTATGGTGCATACTGTCCCATTAGGCAATCAGAATGGGGAGATTTTTATCAGCCCATTAAATTACTTACATTTAAGTAATTTGACATAAGAATAGTGCATTTTATACCAGAATGGCCGGTTCCAACTCTATTTTTCCAGCGCATTTAAAATGTACAATCGCCTTGTCAGTTCTACAAAATCTCCAGTTTAGTGAATACGCCTTTAAGTGGAAGTTTAATTAAGACATATCATGATGCAAGCGTTACTGCACTTTTGTTTTTTAAAGTATTGTTATATAAAGGAACACTATAATTATAGGAATACAAGCATGTGTGGATATTTAGGTGAACGTCCCCCTCTCTGCTCAGTGAAAAAGTATTAAACTTTTTCTCCCATGCCGCAGCAATCTTACCGAAGCTAACCCCGCCTCAATGGCTGAGATCATCAATCTTGATGATCTCTGCCAATCCAATACTTTCCCATAGGAAAGCATTGTGGGCTTATGGTGCATGCGTGGCAAAATGCCGCTCTGCGTAAATCTTCATCTCGTGGGGATGCATTGAATTAATGCATCTCTATAGGGCGCGATCAGCGTCTCCATGTTGAGCGTGGAACATAGATAAGGAAGCACTTCTAGTGGCCGTCTGAGTGACAGTCACTAGAGTTTTTTCCATGCAGCAATTCTCTGAAAAGGCAGTGTTTTCATTGCTGAGCGTGTAGGGCTGGCATTAAGCTGTAGTGGTTCTAGTGAATATAGTGTCCCTTTAAATCAGGGCATTTTGAGTTTTCATGAAAAGACGAAGCAACTTATTCCCACGAATTTGCACAAAGTTTTGTGTTGGTGCTTTAGCCCCTGCCAAAGTCATTAAAAGTTCATCTCCCTGGACTGGTTGTTTTATTACAATGGCTTTTTTTATAGATCAGCCCATATTTGCATGATATCTTACAGTATGTTTTGCAAAACTGAAATCTCTTTGGTTTCATTTTTATATATATATATATATATATTAAAAGCAATTTTACGTTTTTGGTCTCTGGCGTCATTTTAACCCCTTAAGGACACAGCTTCAGAAGTTCACAAGCAATTTTTGCATTTTTTTGTTGTTTGTGTTCAACCACAATTTGCATCTCTCTCATTTATTGCACCAACACATATTATATACCATTTTTAGAGGACAAAGGGGGATTTAATTTAAGGTCACATATATACATACATACATATATATATATATATTTTTTTTTTATTTTTTATACATAATATGTATAGGATTTCAGCCTATTTTGAAAGTCACAGGTCATGCAAGGACTAAAATAAAATTTCAGTGGGAAACAATTTTAGAAGTTGGTATGTTTGTCTTGTAAGTTTAGTAGCCATCACAAAAAAACAAAATTGACACACAAAAGTATATATTTATATAAAGTAGACATCACAGGCTGTTTACCTAAGGTCACTATTCTGTGAAGCTACAATGCCATAAAAGGCTATTTCAATTTCTATAGTTAGAATTTTCATAGATTGATTTGATGGGCCTATGTCTCTTTTTGTGGCATTATAGCAGTTTAAATATTATAATAAACCTACAAAAGGCTTCCATTTGTGAAAGCAGACACCACATGGTATCTTATGTGGTGTATATTGTGCCTTAAAGGACCACTCTAGGCACCCAGACCACTTCAGCTTAATGAAGTGGTCTGGGTGCCAGGTCCAGCTAGGTTTAACCCATTTTTTCATAAACATAGCAGTTTCAGAGAAACTGCTATGTTTATCAATGGGTTAAGCCTTCCCCTATTTCCTCTAGTGGCTGTCTCATTGACAGCCACTAGAGGCGCTTGCGTGCTTCTCACTGTGATTTTCACAGTGAGAGCACGCCAGCGTCCATAGGAAAGCATTATGAATGCTTTCCTATGTGACCAGCTGAATGCGCGCGCAGCTCTTGCCGCGCGTGCGCATTCAGCCGACGGGGAGGAGAGAAGGAGGATCGGAGGAGGAGAGCTCTCCGCCCAGCGCTGGAAAAAGGTAAGTTTTTACCCCTTTCCCCTTCCAGAGCCGGGCGGGAGGGGGACCCTGAGGGTGGGGGCACCCTCAGGGCACTATAGTGCCAGGAAAACGAGTATGTTTTCCTGGCACTATAGTGGTCCTTTAATTTGTCACCATTTTATCACCAATTTATGTCAATGTTTGTGGTGAGGAAAAAAATTACATACATGTTGCATTTTTGCTGAGTATTTCTTACACTTGATATGTGCCACTGTCCTAAAATCCCCCAAATAATGCTCAGTTACATCTTCTGAGTAAAAAAATATGCCCAATGTCTGACCTAGACACTATTTTGTGAAGTTACAGTGCTGTAAAAGAGACGTGACAAGTTCAGATTTTTAAGTGTGAATTATCATAGATGGTTTTGATGGCTCCGTGTTCCATGCTGGAGCATTTCAGCAAGTGATATATTCAAATTACACCATAAAGGCATACCATTTCTTAAAGAAGACATCCCAGGGTATTTTAAAAGGCATCTTTTGAACCTTAGTATGGGACCATTTTTCCACTTGCTTGTACCAAGTGTAGTGGTAATAAGCATTTATTTTGCCTTTTTGACACACACCGTGAGTTTGCACAGTATATTTTGCAAACCTTATGCGTGCTACGGTTGTATAATACTTCATATGTTGCTCAGCTATGTCGTCTGAGTACAATACCCCTGTATGTACCGTTGCCAGGTATATGTGGATGCTGAAGGGGCACATTTGAGACGCAGCCATTCAGGGTTTTTTTCTAACTTTGAAGTTTTATGTTGTGTCCATGTTTCGTTTCGGAGTAGTTTAGCTGGTTGGTTATTCAAACTTCCCCACAAACACATACTATTTATTAAAGAATACACCCCGGGGTAGTTCAAAAGGCATATTTTGAACCTTAGCGTGGGGTCATTTTTTCGCTAGTTCCTGGCGTAGTGGTAATGCGCATATTTTAATGTTTGTTTTTGTTACTTTTTAAAACTTGTTTTTAAACCTTTTTGTTTACTTATTACATTTTTGAAACATTCTTTAAAACTTTTTTTTTACACTTTTAAAATGGTTAACTTTTTTTTACCATTAACCCCTTACCAGCAGTACAAAGCACTAACAGTAAATCTCCCAATTTCCCATAACTCCCACCCACCCCAGCTAGCAAAATATATAATTTTAAAATATTTAAATAAATTAAACCCCTGAGGGTTAAAAAAATAATAATAAAATGTAACCCTCAGAGGGTTAAAAAAATCAGATCAAAATACAGATCACCGTATTCTACTGTGATCACTGTAAGCAGTGATCAACTGCCAGGGAAGGGGTTAAGTTTTATTAGGACTGGGCAAAGGGGGGGGAGGGTAGGGATATTTTTTTTTTTTTTTTTTAAACGTTATTAAAACTTTTTTTTTTTCCAATATAGTTTCTTGGTCTTTAGCATTCAATAACATCTCGGCATTGACATGAGAAATGAATTTTAACATAAGAAAAAGGGAAGGCAATACAGGCAGTTCAGCGAGGTAACATGACATAGGATACATGGTTGTTGTACGGTGACATTCGTCTCAGACATGTTAATACACTCTATTGTTTGTTACATAATACTAATATAATACCCATACAATACCAATAATAGGACCTGCTATGAAATAAACGTTCAGAAACGCATTGTGTGATATCCCATCGGTTAAAGGGGGGTCACAGGATTGTGAGAGTGCTTTTCGGTGGGTTACAACCCTCTCCGTCTTCTGTTTTGAAGGTAAAGGTTTTGGGTCTTTTAATTGTGTGTGGCAGGTACGTGCTCTTTTTAGTGCTTTATTCGTATGTTGTGGTGTGGCAGTCAATACAGACATGGGGTGGACATGTGGGTATGAGGTTATGGCTATAACAGTGTCACATTTTTATTGTTTATTTGCATTTAACCTGACCCATTGGGACCAAGTTGTGTGGAATACTTGTGTCTCTTTGTTGTCGGATAGGGCCATACGTTCGAAAGTGTAAAATTGTTGTATTTTGTCCCATAGTTGGGATCTAGTTGGGCTTAGAGTGGATTTCCAGTTGAAAGCTAGTAGGTTGCGGGCTGCTAGTATGGTTATTGTGCTTAGTTGTTTGTATACTTTGTCAAATAGTGGTGGGAAACGCATGAGTTGATAAATCTCTGGAGTTTTTGAGACGTCAGGTACTTGTAGGGTATGGAGCGTGTGTTGTACGTCCCTCCATAGGGGCTGGATGGCAGGACACCTCCACCATATATGCATCAGTGTACCCTCTGCTGCATTGGATCTCCAACATAGTGGGGACGTGTTTGAGTATATTTTGTGAAGCTTGTTTGGGGTCAAGTACCACCTGTATAGCAGCTTTCTGTGTGCTTCTATGTGTGTATAACTGTGTCCATTTGGATAGGTCATTGAGTGCATGAATCCAATCCTCATCTGTGAGTTGTATGGCGCAGTCATTCTCCCTTAGGTTTCTTTGCAGTGTGGTGCAACCGGGGTTAGGGTGGCCTCCCACGCTTTATAGCAAAGGGAGATAGCCTTTGGCTTCATGGGGTTACCCCAACAACGTTCTATTATTGCGTTTGGTGGGAGGGATATCGGGTTGGGAGTAGAGTGGTCGTTTTACGTGAATACGTAAATATGGCGCTGGTAGGGAAGTTCCATATTTTTTGAATGGGGTTGGAGTAGGTGGTGGATGTGTGTAATTCCTGCCTGTAACCAGGTTAAGGCTGTTATTGGTGCTTTAGTGTGGAACATGTGCTTATTTCCTAGGGACTCCAAGAAGGTTGTCCAAATTTGGAGTGTAAGTTTTGTGGTGGGGAGTAGATCAACTTTGGGTGACCTACGTTTTCTTGGGGTCCACATATAGTCTAGTGCTGTGTTTTCTCGAAATTGAGCTTTCTCCATATCGACCCATTGGATAATCCCCTCAGGGGCATACAACAGTATCCCTGCTGTTAAGATGGAGGCTCTGTAGTAGAGACCTATGTTTGGTAATCCAACACCTCCTTGTTTAGTGTGTTTCTGTAACACTGTGCGTGATATGCGTGGTCTTTTATTACCCCAAATAAACTTAGGGAGGCGGTCCAGGAGTCTCGGCAGCACATGTGCTCGCTCTGATAGCCTGTCAGCGCTGTCCCTGCAGCTGTGATTGCTCTATCAGGTGCCCCGGTTCTGCCTCGAATACTGAGGTAGACCAGAAGAGCGTTAATCCCGTAATCGCCACAATTTGCACGACCAAGCCCCAGTATAATAGGGCACCTCCCTATGACCATCCTCTTTCCTGAAGATGCGACACACCATAACAGAAAGTATGCAAAACAGGAAACCAGCAGATATAATCAGTCAGGAAATGAAACCTAGAAGTCCATAACCATTAACACTGGACCATAGAACCAATAACAGGAAACAAATCCGGGACAGCTCCAACCAAGAAGACATTCCTGTAAGGCAGATAAAAGAACATCAAACAGGTCGGGATCAGGCTTTGAAAACTTAAAAAAACAGGAGCCCAAGGGTTAAATTGGTACTATATACCAACATCAAGGCCAGGTAACTTACAGGCATTAATCTACCTCCCAAAATGATCAACAGTCAAATTCCAAAAGGCCAAACCCCCATAAATACAACCCCCCACTTACCATACCATTGCATCCAATCACATACAACGAGCAACATGGGTGGGGGAAAAAAACATAGAAATACAAGCTGACAACATTTACATATCGGGTGGGGCAATACTCGCCTCTGTGTCTTTAATAAAATCATGACTTTTCATCATGTAATGGCAAAATCATGTAATTTTATTGCAAGTTTAAAGCTGACCAACTACCACAGAAAACACATGATTAACAGGTCTAAAATAAAATTCATGAAATGTTGATTCCCGCGACCAGTCGACCATCCTCATAAGATCTTCCAAACGTGCACCCGATGCCATAATCGAAGAGGCAGAATCACCCTTAACAAATGAGCGCCAAAAACAGGTGTCGATACCAGCCTGACCCAATTTCCACTTCAACCAGCGGAACAACGTGGCGCTCACTACCGGAGCAAAGGGTGGATGAGAAAAGTTTGGGTGTAGCCATGGAACGATGCGGTCTGGTACGCTCCTCATATTCGCATAAGCAGGCCACTAGACAGAAGTCGTATCCAGCATTCTCTTCGACACCAGCTTTAATAGAAGTCTTCGTACTCCTGGAAATATTGAAAGTCACACACTCCGGGGTGTAGCACTTGGCATCAAAATCCAAATCACTGACATCTGACACCCTCTTGCAAGAGCAAAAAAGACAAATAAATTTAGCCGACAACTGGCGTAACGAGAGATCCGGGTTAGAAGGCCAGGCAGTGATAAAAGACAGAACAACAGACATCCCAAGTAGATGAATAACAAGGCCTAGGAGGACGAGAGAGAGACGGGAACTTCATAGAAAGCAACACACCACAGTATGTCGGCCTGCGGGACAACCATCAAAACCATGATGGGTCGAAGATATCCCCGACCTGTACAGATTGATAGTCCAGTAAACCCTGCTGGCTTCAAATAGAGAAGTCAGGAATTGCAGAATCGCTGTCACAGGTGCTGAAATGGGATCCATGTCCCTAGCCAGGCACCAGCCAGCCCAAAATCGCCAAGTTGACCCATGTGTTCGTCTAGTGCCGGGAGTCTCCGAAACTACCTGGACCTCCCAGGGTACCCTGAAATCCTCCATGCCATGACAAGGAGGGGAGCTTCCACCAATAGAGGGTGACAACTTCCCCACAGATTGCGAAGCAGACCTGGGAAAGATGGTAACAGTCTGGGCCAATCCACCGACATTTCCAGAAGTTGAGGGAATCACGATTGCATCCCCCAAAAGTGAGCCACGAGGACAAGTTCGGCTTGATGGCGGTGAACCTAAATGAGCATGCAGGAAATCATGGAGAACAGGGGGAATGCGTACAGGATGTCCCAATGCCAGTCCTGCAGGAAAGTGTCCATGGCCTCCGCTGTCTGGCCTGGAATTCAGCTGAAAAAACGCAGAAGTTGGGTGTTGAGCCGCAATGCGAATAGTTTGATAACAAAAGGACCCCAGTGACGACACAGCTGAGAACACCCCGCGTCCAATTTCCAGTCGCTGCTGTCCGAGAGATACTGTGAACTCCAATCTGCCTGGACGTTGTGCAGACCTGGTAGATATACCGCCTGGACCACCAAGTTCAGACAAAACTCCCAAAATTTGTTCACCAATATGGCTAGGACCGGCGACAGGGTGCCACCCATATGGTTGACGTACCTCACCGCTGAGATGTTGTCCATGCGGAGGCAAATGCACGTATGTGCGTGTTCCCTCGCAAAACTCCAGATTGCAAAGGAACTCGCCAGGAGTTCCAACGCATTGATGTGGAGCCGGGATTCGGATTCCGACCAACGATCTCCTGTCGACACACCTTCGCAGTGGGCACCCCAGCCATGGAGGCTCATGTCCAAGTCTATGGTGAACTTCGGTTGCAAACCAAAAATCGCCCTGCCATCCCATGCAGACAGATTTAGGATCCACCATTGCAGTTTGTACCTCATTTCGCCATCCAGAGTAACCAGGTCCACATAAGATGTGCCCTCTCGAAGGTGAGTTATCTGCAATCGCTGAATGGCCCTGTAATGGAGAGGGGCCGGAAACACCGCCTGGATAGATGGGGCCAGTAGCCCAATGAGCCACGCCAAATTACATAGAGTGATCTGCAGATGGAATGCGCCCCTGAGAAGTTCCTTGCAAAACGTCCGTATCTTGGCGGACGGAAGGCTCAACGATTCCTCCTCTGAATCCACGAGGAAAACCCAGAAATTCCATGCGCCTGAATGGAGTCAGGCAGGACTTCTCCGAGTTGATGAATCCCAATCGTGAGAGTAGATCTACGGTCCATTGTAGGTGTTGCATAAGGATGGAGTGCTCCTGAGCCATGATTAGTATGTCATCCAGGTAATCGATCAGGCATATGGCCCGACTGCGTAGCCAAGGCATCACCGGGTGCACCTGCTTTGTGAAGCACCAGGGCGCCAAGTAGAGACCAAAAGGAAGACATGTAAAACTACAAATTTCGTCCAACGGAAGCGAAGGAGATCTCGAGAAGGTTCCGCCACCGGAACCATCATATACACGTCCTTCAAATCCAGTTTCGCCAACCAATGCCCGTGTAGGAGGAGGTCCCTCAGAAGATGAATTCGCTCCATCTTGAAATGACAGTAGCGTTACACCCATTGAGTGGGTGTAAGTTGATGACCGGGCGCATCTGTCCACCTTTCTTTTCCACAAGTTCTATATTGCTTATGACCCCGAGGGACCAATTTGATTGCCTCCTTGCCGAGGAGGGCGGACAATTCCTCGTCGATCAACCGGCGGTACCGGAGGGAGAAGCAGATGAGTTGAGGAGACGGAATGTTGTAGGGCGTCCCCACGAGTTCTATATGAAAGCCTCGAACGTGTCGAGTAGCCATGTGTCTGAGGTTATCACTGACCAAGCTGGAAAAAAATTACAGAATCTGCCTCCTACGCAAACATGAGAAAAAACTTGGTGTATGTAAACACACCGTATGGGCGGAGCCAGAATTTCATCGCCATGGTCGTCTCCGGGATGGGAAAAAATTGCCTCCTGGTAATTGGAGCAATGCTGGAAGGAGCCTCGTCCCGAGCCATGCGATTGGGAGTAATTGCGGCCAGCCAGACGGCCCCTGGATCTGCCGTCCCTGGAAGATCCTCCTCATGGAGAACTGGGCCTTATCAAGGGTAGTAAAAGCCCCCACTAAACGTCCCAGATCCTTAATAAAGAAATCGCCAAATAATAAGCCCTGGGTGTCCTTACCAGCCTCAGTGAGGGCAAGATTGGCCAATTTGGGCTCTATCTTAAAAAGAATGGCTTTACGCCTTTCCACGGAAAGGGAGGCGTTAACACTCCCAACGATGCAAATTGCTCTCTGGACCTAACCACAGAGCTCCTCTGGGTCAACCATACAACTCTCAGCTCTGGGATCTTCTGGTGTTTATCTTGGCACAATTCTAAGTGCCGAGTGCAGCCCTTTGTGTGGGTTTGAACCCAATTTAGCCAGAAACTGGCCCATCTTAGGGTCTACATCTGGGGTGTTACACACTTTATTAGACACCACATCCGGGTCGAACAAGGGCTCACTGAACGGAACCATGAGGGCAGTCCCCGCGTCCGCCGGAGAAGCAGCGCCAAGATCGCCTCCGGACATCTCCAGAGCAGGGGAAAAGAGGTAAAGGCCCAGAGTCACTATCAGATTCAACACAAGCCTCCTCACTAGACCTGATTTCTGAGTAGGAGTCGCTCTCTCGCTGTGCTCTCACACATTTCCATCACCGCACCCATTCTGCCTGCCGCAGAAAGGCTCTCTTGCGTGGTTGGGACACGCTTTCTGGGGCGACCAACGGTACGCCAGTCATAGGGTTTCTGGAGGCAGAGGGGGAGGTATGTTTGGACTTATGCTGAGCCTTCCTGGGTGCCTCACCTAAAGTACCTAAGCCTTCCTGGGTACCTTACCTAATAGGTCCACAGCAGGATGCGAGTGGAGCGTTGTGGATCCATCAAATTGCGCATCCAAAGACGTGTGAGCAGGGCCTTGGAGATAGTCTGAGACAGGGCCGATGACATGTAACCCATAGCAGCCATAATGGTACCTGTCACTGAGCGCTGAAGCCTCAGCACCCTCAGTGTGGCCAGATAGGTCCACCAACTGGGGCAGGGAGCCCGAGGTAGCTTGGGTCTCCTCCAGTGCAAGTGGAGTATCCATCCCCCCAGGGGTAGGGTGGATCAGGTAGGCACCTTAGGTTTAGGCATGATAGAATGACCCACCCTATGCAGCAAAACAATGAAAATGCTATAGGAACTAACACCTAAATAGCTGCAAAGCAAAACAGAATAGTAAGGGTTAATCACCCAAACTAAACAATCCAGGGAAGTGTAAATAGGAAAAGATCTCACCAGGGCCCAGACCAGCAGTAGCTACACGAGGCAGGAAATGCAAAGACAAAGGAGGAGTAAAACTTTCAGTTCGTGAATGAATCGTGTTCGCAGACCGAACGCGGCCAGTGTGGCAAAACATGCGAACAGACCAAAAAGAATTTTCAAATGCAGTTACAAACCAAGTGTCTCTGGCATTCGCGCAAGGTAACTGCTGATCGCCTGTCCTGAAATGACCGGAAATAAACAAACAGCAGTACGAAAAATGCGCCAAATGGCATCAACAGTCAGGGACCAGAGGGAGCCGCAAAAATGGAGGGAAACGGGGAAGACAGTAGAAATAACAAAGAAAAGTGATAGAGAACAGATCCAGTTAGAACGGAACAGAACAAAAGACGTGCAAGCAGGGACAAAACACAGAGAAATGTGGAAAAGGACAGGGCGTGAAACAAAAAAAAAACATTACAGGGGAGAGAGACCTTTATCTGGTCTGGGACTCTGAGGCTATCATAAACACTAGCAAACAACAATCATTACATGCAAAATAGCAAACCACTCATAATAAATCTAAAACCTACAGAGCATAGAAAATAGGTGCTTATCTCACTGTGGAGCAGTTCAGAAAGAGGAAGGTCCTAGGGAGGTGCCTGCTATAATACTGGGACTTGGTCTGGGAGTGGCCTATGTTATTACAAATGCATTATTTTTTCATTATGTTTTGTATTCTTTGCTGCTATTGGTGGAAAGTAAAGAAAGGAATAAGCAATATGAACCTTTGTGTATTTCAATAAAATCATTCCCTTCAGGCTTTTTGCAGTAAACCCTGTTTTTCAGAGAAAATGAATTGTTTACATTACAGCTTAGGGATACCCCAACTGGCCACTCCCCAGATGGCTACTAGAGGTGATTCCTGGGGCAGTGCTATGCACTGTACATCACCAGAGTCTATGCAGTGTCTATGCAGAAAGTAAACTTTCCTCATAGATAGGCATTGATTCAGTGCATTTTTTTTTAATTTTTTTTATTCTTTATTTTTGATGTGCATGGTATAACAATAGGCTTGTTCAGCCACAATAGCAGTCACAAGCAGTAATGTAACGAACAGTTGAAACATAACATGGCATAAGAGTATACAGCACATTTTTAGTTTTGTAAGAGAAAATATAAACAGAACAGCATTCCTCGAGCACATTTTTAAGTGTAACAATTGAAGCAGTAGGATTGTCGGCACATTTTTATACGTTAAGTAATGTAGATTGTCAGGTTGTTAATTAAAGTGATACAAAATAGCAAAAATCTTGAGTACAATGAGCGAATTGACATGACTGGTAACATGCTGGGTTGGTATGTCTTCCTATCAAATTGACAGGCTAGGAGGGTACATTTTTCACGATTTATATAGCAAGCTATACCAGATAGTTATGTTGTCAGAGTGTATTTATACAGTCGATGTCTAACAATGGTAGGATACGTTTGCTAGGGTATCTGTTATAAGAGGCAAGTGCTTATTTACAAAGGCATAGTACTTATGCTAAACAGTGGGTCTAGGCGTATATTCTAAGGCTACATCAATACGTGGGAAGATGCCTAGGGTTGCAGTGTGGCTGACTTACCATTACACATTTAAGCAAGACAGTAGAGGGTTGCTGGCATACTGCACAGCACATAGGATGCAACAGGGGGGGCGATCACTGAGTTCTATATGCGCTGTTTGGCTCTCAGTGTCCAGTCCAACCGGCGGCCCTCCGCCCCAAGTAAGCAGTCCGGTGTTTGCTTTAGCCGATGCCTATTTCAGGTATGCTTTTGCTGCGGGCTTTTGGTTTCTCCAGGGTCGAGGTGCGGTAAGGGCAGCATTCACCCTCTTGTTGACTTCGGGCCGGGTCAAGGACTAACGACTTCGGGCTCCAGGCCCTATGTCTCAGAAGGTCCAAGTCCTGTTTGCCACATGGGTGGTGGAGGGTCCTGTTGCATGTTTGTCGCTTGCGGTGGATTTTTTTTCGCCCTCGTGGTGTTCGCTGCGGGTTATGCACCCCTGTTGTCCTCGGCTTGCGTGGGCCGGTCCTGGACTTGGTGGTTTGCAGGGTAGGTTTTGCGCCCGTTTGATAACATTCAGTGTTAGGGCTTGGGCCCCTCTGGGTTCCCCCTTGACTTGGTAGCTGTGTGGGTTGCGCTTGCTTCTCCAGCTGGGCCCAGAATCGGTCAAATAGCTTGTCAATGCGTTGGAGTGTTCGCTCCACTTGGCTCGTTGCTGTGTGCGAGGCATGTGTTTCCGCCATCTTGGGCACCCCAGGGGATCTTGGCTGCTGATGGTCTGAGTCAGCCTGTTGTTCCATGCAGTAGGTGTCCGCCGCCTGCGTACTCTGCACTTGCCGGATAGGACCGGGATGACCTCCACCGGTCCAAGGGGGTGGGGGGGGACCTCTTTAGTCGAGTGTCACCTCCAGTTAGGGCTGTGGGAGAGCGGCCGTCTCTCCCTGGTCCAGTTACTGGTAGGCCGCAAAGCCTCGAGTTGGATTTGCTAGCGGAGGAGAGGCACGCCAGAGGTATCCCCGAGACCGCCGGCATGTCAGGAACAAGCTGGGTAAGGTTTTGCAGCTCTGCAGGTTTTTAATTTGGTTTTGCCGTCGAGTTTGATGTGCCAGACACAGGAGCACATGCAGCACAGGTCTGGTCTGCTCTGTAGTCAGGCTCCGCCCCCCGATTCAGTGCATTTTTATGATGAGATGCTGATTAGCCAGGGCTGGGTTTGACTTGTGCTTGCTCTGCCCTTGATACTTGACAAGCTCAGCCAATCCAATGCTTTCCTATGTGAAAGCATTGTGATTGGCTCAGAACATAACTTCTGATGATGTCAGCCAAGCAGGCAGATCAGGAGCAGAGCCAGCAGCAGCAGACTGTAATTAAAGTAAGATTTTACTATATTTGAGGGGCAGGGGGGCTAGATGGTAGTTTTTAACACGATAGGGTTTCTGACCCTATAGTGTACCTTTGAAAGAACGGGTGAGACAAGTGTGTGTGTATAGGGTTACAAGCAAAAGTATCTTTCTTCTTCAACAGTGGATATTTTAATTGTATTGTTTGCTGGAATGGTTTGTACAATCCATTTAAAAGGAACAAACAAGTGGTAGTGAGTGACGGTAGTGTTATGTGGATCGGCTACTGGAAACTCTTGTTAAGTTGGAAGAAGTAATTGATGAGATAGATGGTTTTCAGGTCCTAAGAAGAACACATAAGTGGCCACATGCTTTGGTAATCTCGGATTAGCTATAAAAAGGAATTGTATGTCATAGCAATAATTTACCTTTTTATTCTTGTCGGGTAAGCAGAACTGGAAATAGATATGGACTGTTTTAGTTCAAATCAGTAAGAGTTCTAGGTGTCGTAGTTCTGATGTTGGCTTTCTACAGTAGAAAGTTGAAGACCATTCCAGCTCATGACCTCATGTACAGCAGCACTGCTGCAGCCAAAATACATTACAGGATGGAAGGTAAAACAATGGAGCAAACTGAATAGTTTATTTTTTTTAACATAGCTAACTGAAACACAATGCACCAAAAGTATTGGGCAAGGGTGTCAAACATGAAAGTTTATTCAGTAACCAGATAAACAATCAGGTCACATTGGTGAATTTAGAAAATGTCCACATGGTTTGACTTTAGTCTGAATTCTGCAATTTTGGTGCTCCTTTCATGTGGAGTTGTATTAACATTTTAGTGCGGTTTCAAAGCTTACCTGGGTCCGCAGGGCACTGCTACCAGGGCTGCGCCAGAAATTTAGGGCCCCTGATGCAGCCCAAGGTCTGGGCCCCCGGGGCCTGCTCCCGAGTCCGCCCACATGGCCCATCCTGAGTCTTCCACAAGGATGAAGTGTGTGTGTACTGAATTTGGTGTGTTTAGCGTATGTAGAATGTGTGTAGTGGATGTAAAGTGGATGCAGATTGTATGTATGTGTAGTGGATAGAGTGACTATTTGTGTAGTGAATGCAGTGTGTTGATGTAGTGTTTGTGTGTATTGTGAATGCAGAGTTTGCAATAAATGTAGAGTGTGTGTTTGTGTAGTGGAATTAGTGTGTACTTAGTGACTGCAGATTGTGTGTGTAGTGGATGTAGTGTGTGTATAGTAAATGCAGAGTGTGTGTTTATGTGGTGATGCATTTTGTGTAGTGGATGCATTTTGTCTGTTTTCATGATATATGGCGGATGCTGTGTGTGTGTCGTGGATGATGTGTGTGTTTATGTGGTGGATGCAGTTTGTGTATTGTATGCATTTTGTCTGTTGATGTGTGTGTGTGTAGTGGATGCATTTTGTCTGTTTGATGGTGTGTGTGTGTGTGCTTGGGGGTATTTTTTTGCTGTTAAATTTTTATAAAATTTTTTTTTTTAAATGTTTCCCCCCCTTCCTGCCTCTTACCTTTAGTCAGGGAAGGGGGGCACTGTTTTCCCTGTTGATCGGGTGGCTCAGCTGGGCTGGTTATGCCAGCAAAGAGGGGTTCAGCAGTCTGTACTTCTGTAGCGAGCCCGGCATGCATTGCGTGTCGTGGGCGTTGTCACGGCAACCCGCAGCAATGCTTTACAGCCGCAGCTCGCGAGAGTGTCGGAGAGGGAGATCAGTATATCCTGGGCCCTGCTTGGAAGTCAGCAGGGCCCACAGGGGCATATATGTATAGCGGTACTAGCTATGTATAGATGCACATTGGAGGGTGGGGGGCCCGGACACGCAGAGGATTACAAGTGCAGTCCGAGCCCCCCAGGACCACCGGGCCCGTGACAACCGTCATGGTTGTCACCCCCTGATGGCGGCCCTAACTGCTACTGCACAAGGGCACTCCTAGCACTACATACGTTTTCAGTGGTTATGGTGCTTGGAGTCTTCAGGCACCAAGTTTAAGTGTTCAGGTATGTTTTAACCCCTTAAGGACACAGCTTTTGAAATAAAAGGGAATCATGACAGAATATCTCTGTTGTGTGTCCTTAAGGGGTTAATAGCTTTCTTTTACTAACTTAAAGGAGAAATGATACAAATAGTGTTGTGCTATGGTATTATAGTGTGTCGCTCCTATATTTGGCTCCCAGCTTTGGTTATTATTATTATTATTGGTATTTATATAGCGCCATCTAATTCCGCAGCGCTTACTCTTGAATTTAGCTCTTGTTTACCAACTGCTTGAAAGACAGTTTAAAATGTATTCTTATTTATTATAAATTACATTTCTGGAGATCAGAATATGTATTTATTTGACTTTCAAGACTTTTTTTTTTTTTTTCTTGGAAATATTTTGATGCAAAAAATAAATAAATACAATTTGTCATCGCTAATCTTTTTTTTAAAATCATTGAAGGGACACTCCCAACAAATGAGAAAATGGGTCAGATAAGTGATTGAATTAACAGTGTATTCACTTGTGAAGAGGTCATGTTCCAGGAAAAGGCCTGTGATGGTTACCATGGTAATAAAATTGTCATTTAAAATGTTATGGCAAGCACTTTATATACAAGCAGTGTATTCATACAAAAATACATCAACGTGCACACATTTATATACAGATATTAAATCAGGGCTGAAAATGTCCAGATGTCACTAGCCATAGGTAAGTTGTAATTTACCCCTGGTGAGTATGCTAAACCTTGCAGTGACAACGTTTAGGACTTCAAATTAAAAGAAAAAAAAAATATCAAAGTTTGAGTGGCACCAACGAGCATGTTTATGATACAGGTGTGAAGAAATCCCCCTTTTGTTACGCTATTTCTGTCCATTGCATTCCCTTTTGTTACACTATTTCTGCCCATTGCATTCCCTTTTGTTACACTATTTCTGCCCATTGCATTCGGTAGATGTAACTACCGAACAAAGACCACCCCTCTGGCTCGTTAAACATCAAAGACTGATTCAATTGCTACCTCTGTCTGTGCGGCCAGCGTTCGTACAGCCGAACGCCACGTGGCAGAGAAAACCGCGGCCATCTTTGTTCATGCGAACAAAGGCAGCGGGACTTGGTCGTCGAGTGTATGGAACTGAAAACGGACACTCGACTTCCTGAACACCGGTCTCAAACAGACGAACGCTGGAACTCAACTTACCGAATAGCTAGAAGAGCGCTATTCGGTACTTTGGTGCATTCGACAGAGGGGCACGAACGCTGCTAGGAGCCAGAGGGATCCATTCGGTACTTTGTTCGCTTTTCTGATATTTCTAAAGTGACCGGAAAAACCCACAAAACTCATGGAACTGTTTTGGGCATACAGCCAAGGGTGAGCCGGTCACAGAAGACATCCATAGATTTTGCAAACCCCTGAACCGATCTGGGTGAAATTCGAATATGTTGGTCACCCAGATCAGGGCTATCAGGGGACATGTTATTTGTGGGGATACCCCAAGTATAAAGGGGTGATCCAGTTATTGGGGGAAAAAAGGGATTTTTCAGCCTGAAGATTATTAAGTTATTCTTTTATCATACTTAATTATCTCCATGGCTAAGGGAGGGAACTGTGGGTGGGTGTTAAAGTTTTACAGTATATGATTGGTGAATATTTGTCCCTTACTGAGGGATGTCCCCTTGCATGAGGACTTGCATAAAAGCTGTGTGTATCCATTAAAAGTTAGTTCATCTTGTACCCTTCTTCTTGACTTCAGCTGATGTTTGGGGATTTGTGTGTTTCACTAAGGGAATCATCTTGTGAAGCTATTGGGATTACTATATGGTTCGTCTATTCTATCTACTGAACGGAGGGCTATAATCACTAAGGCTCTGGCGGTTTGGGGGGAAACTACCGAATGAGGTTTAAATATACTTGGTTTCCTTACAACAGGTATTATGGAGAAATCCTCAATCTCCAAGGGATAAAACTCAAAAATAAATATAAATACCATATTCCCAAAAAGTTTTATTTTATAGAGTAAAAATATTAAATCAGCACATAGGTAAAATACAGACTAAAAACCCAGATCGCTTACGGCATAAGCCCACCATGCAAAATATCTGTCAGCCACAGAGATTGGATAATCAGTATATACCCAGTGTGTAATACAAAGCAAAGTCCCTTGTTTTTACTTTGTAAAAGGAATACTATAGTGTCACAAATACAAACTTGTTTTCCTGACACTATAGTGCTGTGTGGCCATTTAAGTCTCTTCCACCCCTCTCCCCCCTTAGATCACTCTAAAAAGGTGAATTTACTCCTCTTTTTTTTCTTTTCTTTTTTTTTTACACTGCGGTTGGTTCCGCCTCTGTTGCTCAGGTCCTCAGTGTGGCAAACATTCCTTTTCCCGTATGTTTGCCACAAGCTCCTGGAGGAGCCTGCTGGCCAGCCTCCTGCCCAGTGACTATGGGCCATGTAAAAGACAATGCTAGGTTACTGCGGTGTAGCCTGGCCCTTCAACCAATACAACTTTTCCATTCATTATAGACCCGGTAAAAAAAATGGGAATGCCAACGGGTTATCACGACAGACAGAACTGGAAAAGTGATCTGTGAGTTCTTCCCCGGACATCTTCAAGCTGATCCATTGGGATCAGACAGTGTATGCCGGCTTGTGGTTAAGAGGAGCTGTGTGGCAGAACTACTACTCCTTTGTATGTTTTTCCCCTTGTTTGCAAATCACGTTTGGGCTTGATTAGAAGATTGTGCTTGTCCCATTATGAATGTAATAGAAATAAGGCAGCGTAGTTATTAATCTGTGGGTAAGTGTTAGTGTCTCTTTTGGATATGATACTGGAGCCAAGGCCGACCTTAGGCTTGTAGGCGCCCTGTGCTAAAAATCTTCACAGCGCCTAATGTTGTCTGTGTATATGATAGTTGTGATGACTGTGTGTGATATGTATGCTATGTGTTGGATGTGTGTGATACTTGTAATGGGTGTATTAACAGTGTGTGATATGCATGTATTAATTGTATGTGATATTTGTGCTGGGTTTATTGCCTGTGTGTGATGGTTATTTAATTCAGATAAAAACATGCATTTAGACCTGTGTGTAAGAGTTGCAGAGTTATGTGCACACAGTTATACATATACACTGTCAAATCCACCGCATGCACATAGTCGCAGGCAGATAGTCACATCCACAGGATCAGGCAGTAACACACACAGTTACAGGTAGATAAACACACACAATTACAGGCAGACAACCACACACACACAGCCACACACACACACACACACACACAAACACACACACAGAGGCAGATAGCCAGAGCCACACATACAGTTTTACACACACACACACACACACACACAAACACACAGCCACACATACAGTCTTACACACACATACTTACTTGCAGACAGTCACACACACACAGGCAGACAGCCACACGCGCGTGCACACACACACAGGCAGACAGCCACACGCGCGTGCACACACACACACACACACACACACACAGGCAGACAGTCATACACACAGACACACACACAGGCAGACAGTCATACACACACACACAGGCAGACAGTCATACACACAGACACACACACACACAGTCACACTCACACTCACACTGACAATCACACATAGATACCTCTGTTCATTGTGGAGGCAGACAGGCAATGCAGCTCCTGGAGACTGTTTGTTGGGGAAGCAGGGACCCCTTCCTGCTTCCCCTGCAGCAGGGCACCTTTAGCTCCGCCCCGTCACACGGAAGTTCCCCCTACCGCACGGGAGGCTCAGCCCCCTGCCACAAATTTTATTTTTTTATTTTTAAATTCCGGCCAGCCATGTGTGAGCTGTGTCGGCTGTCAGGCCGCCCCCTGCTCCATGGCGCCCTGTGCGGCCGCACAGCTCGCACACCCCTAAGACTGGCTCTGACTGGAGCACAGGGGTTTTTCTTGAGGGCCAATGACTATTCATATCAAAGGACACCTTATCTAGGAGGAAATAAGGACATATGGCAAGTGAGAAACTTAGTTTATAATTGAGCCAAACTTCCAGGCCACTTGTGTGTGACTTCTCAAACCTTGCAGAATGGCTCAGTTGGAGTCCCAACTTCAAAGAGGAATTTAGATTGAAAGCTCTGACCTCCTATGCAATCATGTATTTTTGGAGGGTTTTAGAATATTGTATATTTTTCTGTAGAGGATCCTGGGAGGAAATGCCCTGTATTATTGTATGGGAGACCCCATGTAGGGGTCTGTGCATAAAAGCCTTCAGTTGAGTCCCAGGACTATGTTTCATGTAGTTACTGGGGGAATGGGTATTTACTTGTTCCATAGTGGCTGAAGGAAGGTAATAGCGGACGTAACCAGTCGGGTTACCCGTGGTCTGCTACACTCAGGTTTGATAATCTCAGCCAATCCAATGCTTTCCCATAGCTCCTCATAGTGATACATTGAATCAGTGCATGTCTATGGAGAGCATTCAGCCTCTCCATGCAGAGAGTGAAGACGCTGAATGACAGTGCTGCAGCTCTGACACAGGAAGCACCTTTAGTAGCCATCTAGAGGTTTGACTAGGCACCAATGTAAAGTGTTTACATTGAAAAGCCTGCAGGGACAGTGTAGCGGAGCGGCAATATTAAATTCCACGATCTTCGCTGGTATAGAAGGTAATCCACAGTCAAGCGCTGAAAAGTAAGGCAATATCCCAGATCCCCCAGTAACAGGACGAAACACAGTTCTGGGAGTCAACTGAGGTTTTTATTCACAGCTCCAGGATTTATGCAAGTCCCCATGCAAGGGGTTTCCCTACTGACATAGCAGGGGTAATACAGTAGGGGACTACATGGGGGACTTAACACTCTGGGCATTTCTCCCATCAGGCACTGCTGGACGAGAGGGATACTCCCACTGGAATACACTGTTAAGTGGATTATCCCTCTGTGCAGCAGAACCGGCATTTAACATTTAAATACATAACTTTTACAATATTCAGTTTATTTAAATGAATGGACGTTATAGCTGGGGTCTGAGCGCACATTTTGTGGGAATACCGCTCAGATCCCAGCTAAAACAACCGAACGCCGCACGAAATACACTTTGCTATCGAGTTCGCCTAAAAGTACCGAACACCGATGGGGAACCACAATAACGAAAGACCGGAGCTCCCGAACGGCCTGGAAGTCCAGCGGTGTTCGCGCCGTCGAGTAGCCGTTTTCAGTTTCGCACGGTTCGCGCGGACTCCAGTCAGCTGACACATTCCAGCCAATCAGCAGTAGACCCTCCCTCCCAGACCCTCCCACCTCCTGGACAGCTCACTAAGAATGCAGCTTCAAAATGGATGCTGTCCAGGAGGAGGGAGGGTCTGCTGCTGATTGGCTGGAATGTGTCAACTGACTGGAGTCCGCAGCGAACCATTCGTGGCGAACAGTTCAGCGAACAGTTCGGGACATCACTAGTTACTCATATAGTACAGCGGTTATTACAGACAACCTTTTTATACATATAGTCCAGCATCCTACAAGTGGCTAAGTTTGCCACAGACAGGCTCTAAATACCAGAACCACTTCATAACGTTGTAGTAGTTCTGGTGACTATAGTGTCCCTTCACATAACTCACCTGGTTAGTTAGGAATAGTGATATCTTATATTGTTGCAAAAAAAAAAGACAAAACAAAAACGACTGGTACAAAATATAGATTAGATGGATCTATGTCATCTGCGTCAAGTAGAGTCCGTCACGCAGACAGAGCAGGCATGTTGTCTTACCTGAATTAAAGTATGGCATTATGTCAACCATTATTGAGAGTTGGCATATCACATTCTGTCTGTGGGACAGATTCTACTTTCAAAACTGTTAATCCACGTTGCATAGACTACTTAGTGGTGAGATCCACTTAATATATATTGTGCAAACCTACTTCTTGCCTTTCTTTTCTCCTTTTTATTGGCATTTTGTTTTGGAACTATAGTGTTTTTTAATGGGCTTTTTTATTTATGTGAAATCTTATTTCTAAGTCTGCAGACTTACAAAAAAATAATAATGTGGATGAAACGTGCTTGAAAAGAAACAGATGACTGGTTGAAAATCTGGGAGGCCGTAGCCTCTTTCACCATTTGTGTAACTCATGAGGAACAGACTTTTAAAATGCTCTTTCATTGGTATCAAAAGCTGTTCAGATTTGCTCAACTGCAATGCATCGAAATAACCTCTGCTGGAAATGGCCAGGGACCTTTCTATACTGCTGGTGGTCCTATACTAGCATTATACCATTGTGGAAGCAAGTCATTTCTCTACTTACTCAAGTCCTGGGAAAACCCTATCCAATGGACCCATGGCCATTGTTTTTGTGTAACCCCTTGACTTCTTTACTAAGGGCAGAGAACAAACTAGGAGAGAGACGCACTATCAGTATGTAAGACCATTGGAGAATTATGGGCAAAGACGACATTCCAAGTATGAACATGGTCACACGCGAATAAACGAGGCTATAGGGATGGATAGACTCTGCTCAATTACATGACACACCCAAACCCTTCCACAAAATTTGGGAGCCTTGGCTGTATGGAGACTCCTTTACCCCTTGTTAGCATCACTTCTATAGGGATGACACTCACTCTTTTCTAATTCCATGACGCACAGGAGCACTCATTTCTTCTCCGCTTTTCTCTTCTCTCCCTTCTCCACCACTCAATTATTCCGACACACGTCTATCATCCAGTTTTTACTGTCTATCTACCCCAGAAAATCGTACACGTTCAGCCTTTCTTGTCCCTTCATCTGTCCCCACAGACTTAAGTATAGCCCTTTCCCCATTTTTTTTCTTGTCTCTCTCTTCCTCGCCCCCCTACATTATCTATTCCACATCAGCCACGTCAAAGTACATAACTGCATAGCAGTTAGAAATATAAACTTTAGAATTGTGCACAGCAAAAAAAACGTTGTTTCATCCGAATTGATTTGTCCTCTCCTCTAAAAAATAGAAATTGGTTCAGATGAACCAAGTTTCATCTGTGTGGTGTTTCGAATATAAAACCAAACAAAAAAACATACAGAAAAGTAGAAAATCTCCTCTGCACTCAGCCTTAATGTCGCAACTCCAGCTTCACCACAATTCCAAAAAAGAACCACACTTTGTAATCAGTAAGATCCAAATCATTCCCCAAGGTGGAGCCTTAAAAAGTACTTCATTTATTGAAAAACATGCAAAATGGTACAGAAAACACTCACAGACCTCATAAGTAACATGTGATCTAGATAAAATCCTAAATAAGTTAATACAAAGTACAAAGAAAGTTCAAAAAATTCAAGGTCTTAGATCCAAGTCCCTGTTAGAATGGTGGGAAAAAAACTGCCCTAAGCTTCTGTGGCAAACCCTGCCACTTGAACTAACTATTCTGTGCGAATGGGTGCTAAAACAAGTGAATAAATGCACGAACAGACTTTAATGCTATTTTGCTGTCTTTTATGCGAATGCCCCGAAACTACCAAACGGGAGACCACCCGGGGTGGTCGTGTGTTTCCAATTACCTGAAAGCTACAATGTTGCAAAGGGAATTAAGTACCTGTATGTGTGGCCGCCATTTCGCCCACTGAACACGTGGTGGCGGCCATCTTACGCACGAACAGCGGTACTTGGTCGTCGAACGCCTGGAACTCAAACCGGGCATTCGACTAACCAAGTACCGCTAAGACCTCCAGCATGCTCCGACAGCATGAACTAAACACACGAACGCCCCGGCGTTCGGTAGATAGAATACCCTAAACGAGGGGATTCATACGAATGGTATCAGTCGCCTGGATGGCTGAGCTGTTCGGGACTTTGCGTTCACTAAAAAAGACCAACCGCAGGGCCAGAACTCATGGAACTGTTTTCGGCTACTTTTGCGTTCACTAAAAAAGACCGACCGCAGGGCCAGAACTCATGGAACTGTTTTCGGCTACTGAGCCCCTGCGGTCAGTCAAATCTTTAAATGCCTTTAACTCCAGAACCCCTGGTCCGATCTGGGTGAATTTTGAGTATGTTGCTCACCCAGATCAGACCTACCAGGGGACCCCTTATTTAGGGGACATGCAGAAAGTGGGGAAAACTCTGTCCCCATTAATCTGTTTAAGTGCTAATCTAAGGGGAGGAGAGGGATGGGAGGTGACTGTGTTATGATTGGCTACTGTAATAATTATGAAAGTTACCTCCCTTGCATGGGAGAAATGCATAAAAGCAGACATGTGAATAAAGCTGACAGTTGACTCCCAGACTATGTGTCGTCTAGTCCTTGGGGAGGTGGATTATGCTGTGTTCCTGTGATTTTGTATGCTGAATCTTTGTTCCCAGCGGAGAGCTATTGGATTAAACCCTGCTCCTCCACTACAGCTTCCTACTTTGTGTTAACTTATTTAAGATTTCATCTAGATCATGTTACACTGTGATAGTAAATACACTGTGATAGTGAATAATGCATGTAACACTGTGATAGTGAATACTGTGTTACACTATGATAGTGACTATTATGACATGTTACACTGTGATAGTGAATAATGTATATTACACTATGATTGTGAATAATGTATGTTACACTATGTTAGTGATTATTATTACATGTTACACTGTGATTGTGAATAATGTATGTTACACTATGATAGAAAATATTATTACATGTTACACTGTGATAGTAAATAATGTATGTTACACTATGATAGTGAATATTATTACATGTAACACTGTGATAGTGAATACTGTATGTTACAATATGATAGTGAATATTATTACATGTTATACTGTGATAGTAAATAATGTATGTTACACTATGATAGTGAATATTATTATATGTCGCACTGTCATAGTGAATAATATATGTTGCACTGTGATAGTGAATAATACATGTTACAATGTGATAGTGAATAATAAATGTTACACTGTGATAGTGAATACACTGTGATAGTGAATTAACATGTCACACTGTGATAGTGAATCATACATGTTACACTGGGAGAGTTAATACAATGTCATAGTGAATAATATATGTCGCACTGTGATAGTGAATAATACATGTTACAATGAGATAGTGAATGATAAATGTTACACTGTGATAGTGAATACTCTGATAGTGAATAATACATGTTACACTGTGATAATGAATAATACATGTTACACTGTGATTGTGAACAATACGTGTCACACTGTGATAGTGAATAATAAATGTTACACTGTGGTAGTGAATACACTGTGATAGTGAACAATACATGTTACACTGTGATATTGAATAATACTTGTTACACTGTGATAGTGAATAGTAAATGTCACATTGTGATAGTGATACATGTTACACTATGGTGGTGAATTTTGTTACGTTACACTGTGATAGTGAATAATACATGTTACACTATGATAGTGAATATTATTAGTTACACTGTGATAGTGATACATGTTACACTGTGATAGTGAATAATACTTGTTACACTATGATAGTGAATGTTATTACAGTACACTGTAATAGTGATACATGTTACACTGTGATAGTGAATAATACTTGTTACACTGTGATAGTGAATAATACTTGTTACACTATGATAGTGAATTGTATTACGTTACACTATGATAGTGAATAATACGTGTTACACTATGACAGTGAATATTATTACGTTACACTGTGATAGTGATACATGTTACACTGTGATAGTAATTATTATTACATGTTAGACTGTTATAGGGACACTGTGGTCAGTATAGCTTTGCTGGTGGCCCTCCTGTGCCACCAAGGCCACCCTCCCGCCCTCCCCAGCCCCGCCCCCGTGGTGGCAGCCCTGCCGGCTGGCCGCTCCCCGCACACACTGCCCCTGACATGGATCAGACAGTCCAGCTGAGCACAGTGACCGCCAACACCAAGAGGCAGCCTCAGCACACGGTGCAGCAGGTAAGGAATGCCACTCTCAGCACTCACAGCACACACCCCATCATTACACCCGGATCACTTACTGTTTACGGATGGCTTTTAATACTGAGGACTACAACTCCCATTATTATTAGATCTCTTAGACTGGCTGACTGATGGGGGATGCAGTTCGAAGCAACCTGCTCCTTACAACTATAGCAAACTCCAACACAGCTATAAACCCCCATTATATACATAGTATCTATCCATTCACATATAAAGGGACCCCTAGCACAGCTATAAACCCCCATTATATACATAGTATCTATCCATTCACATATAAAGGGACCCCTAGCACAGCTATAAACCCCCATTATATACATAGTATCTATCCATTCACATATAAAGGGACCCCTAGCACAGCTATAAACCCCCATTATATACATAGTATCTATCCATTCACATATAAAGGGACCCCTAGCACAGCTATAAACCCCCATTATATACATAGTATCTATCCATTCACATATAAAGGGACCCCTAACACAGCTATAAACCCCCATTATATACATAGTATCTATCCATTCACATATAAAGGGACCCCTAGCACAGCTATAAACCCCCATTATATACATAGTATCTATCCATTCACATATAAAGGGACCCCTAGCACAGCTATAAACCCCCATTATATACATAGTATCTATCCATTCACATATAAAGGGACCCCTAGCACAGCTATAAACCCCCATTATATACATAGTATCTATCCATTCACATATAAAGGGACCCCTAGCACAGCTATAAACCCCCATTATATACATAGTATCTATCCATTCACATATAAAGGAACCCCTAGCACAGCTATAAACCCCCATTATATACATAGTATCTATCCATTCACATATAAAGGGACCCCTAGCACAGCTATAAACCCCCATTATATACATAGTATCTATCCATTCACATATAAAGGAACCCCTAACACAGCTATAAACCCCCATTATATACATAGTATCTATCCATTCACATATAAAGGGACCCCTAGCACAGCTATAAACCCCCATTATATACATAGTATCTATCCATTCACATATAAAGGGACCCCTAGCACAGCTATAAACCCCCATTATATACATAGTATCTATCCATTCACATATAAAGGAACCCCTAGCACAGCTATAAACCCCCATTATATACATAGTATCTATCCATTCAGATATAAGGGGATAATATTTATTATATAAAGCCATATCTCCGGTGACAATGTTACAGTAAGATATTCTGTCCCATGTTAGATCCCTCTTGCTACATGTATCATATGATAATGGTTACAGAGTGACTTTCACTTTCTACCATAAAATGTTACTATGTCCTGGACGAACACTCCATTAATTAGACAGAATCATTCATTAGTTTACTTCTGGGAAGAGAAGCTTGTCACCCTGTGTTATATGTGTGACTCTATGTGACATGTGTCACCTTGTGTTACGTGACTGTGTGATGTTTGTGATCCTGTGTGACATGTGAAGTCTGTGTGATATGTATGGCTGTGTCGTGTGTGACTTTGTGTGATGTGTCGTGTGTCCCTTTTTGATGAGTGTGTCCCCCCCATGTGTGCTGTCTGTAACCCTGTGTAATGTGGGTTACTCTGTGTGATTTATGACGATGTGTCCCCCGTGTAATGTGTGACGGTGTGTGAAATGCCTCCCGTGTGATGTGTGACTGTGTGATCTGTCCTCCCTTGTGTGATGTGTGACTGTGTGTGATGTCCCTCCTGTGTGATGTGTGACTGTGTGATCTGTCCTCCCTTGTGTGATGTGTGACTTTGTGTGATGTCCCCCCTGTGTGATGTGTGACTGTGTGTGATGTCCCCCCTGTGTGATGTGTTCCCCCTTGTGTGATGTCCCCTCTTGTTGTGTGATGTGTGACTGTGTGTGATGTCCCCCTGTGTGATGTGTGACTGTGTGTGATGTCTGTCACTCTGTGTGTGATGTGTTCCCCTGTGTGATGTCTGTCACTCTGTGTGTGATGTGTGACTGTGTGATGTGTCCCCCTGTGGGATGTCTGTCACTCTGTGTGTGATGTGTGACTGTGTGTGATGTGTCCCCCTGTGTGATGTCTGTCACTCTGTGTGTGATGTGTGACTGTGTGATGTGTCCCCCTGTGGGATGTCTGTCACTCTGTGTGTGATGTGTGACTGTGTGTGATGTGTTCCCCTGTGTGATGTCTGTCACCCTGCGTGATGTCTGTCACTCTGTGTGTGATGTGTGACTGTGTGTGATGTCTATCACTCTGTGTGTGATGTGTCCCCCTGTGTGATGTCTGTCACTCTGTGTGTGATGTGTGACTGTGTGTGATGTCCCTGTGTGTGATGTGTGACTTTGTGTGATGTGTCCCCGTGTGATGTCTGTCACTCTGTGTGTGATGTGTGACTGTGTGATGTGTCCCCCTGTGTGATGTCTGTCACTCTGTGTGTGATTTGTCCCCCTGTGTGATGTCTGTCACTCTGTGTGTGATGTGTGACTGTGTGACGTGTCCCCCTGTGTGATGTCTGTCACTCTGTGTGTGATGTGTGACGTGTGTGATGTGTCCCCCCTTGTGTGATGTCCCCTCTTGTTGTGTGATGTGTGACTGTGTGTTATGTGTCCCCCTGTGTGATGGCTGTCACTCTGTGTGTGATGTGTCACCCTGCGTGATGTCTGTCACTCTGTGTGTGATGTGTGACTGTGTGTGATGTCCCTGTGTGTGATGTGTCCCCGTGTGATGTCTGTCACTCTGTGTGTGATGTGTGACTGTGTGATGTGTCCCCCTGTGTGATGTCTGTCACTCTGTGTGTGATGTGTGACGTGTCCCCCTGTGTGATGTCTGTCACTCTGTGTGTGATGTGTGACTGTGTGTGATGTGTTCCCCCTTGTGTGATGTCCCCTCTTGTTGTGTGATGTGTGACTGTGTGTTATGTGTCCCCCTGTGTGATGGCTGTCACTCTGTGTGTGACGTGTCCCCCTGTGTGATGTCTGTCACTCTGTGTGTGATGTGTGACTGTGTGTGATGTGTCCCTGTGTGATGTCTGTCACTCTGTGTGTGATGTGTGACTGTGTGTGATGTGTTCCCCCTTGTGTGATGTCCCCTCTTGTTGTGTGATGTGTGACTGTGTGTTATGTGTCCCCCTGTGTGATGGCTGTCACTCTGTGTGTGATGTGTGACTGTGTGATGTGTGACTGTGTGTTATGTGTCCCCCTGTGTGATGGCTGTCACTCTGTGTGTGATGTGTGACTGTGTGATGTGTCCCCCTGTGTGATGTCTGTCACTCTGTGTGTGATGTGTGACTGTGTGCGATGTGTCCCCCTGTGTGATGGCTGTCACTCTGTGTGTGATGTGTCCCCCCGTGTGATGTGTACTCAGGTAGTGAGTGAGGTCTGATAGTACTGTTTGTTCAGGTGAGTTTGTATTAGAGGATAGTGTTGTCTCAGCCATAGACATGGGTACCATACAGTTACAACACACAGCTCACATGGTGGGAATGTAATGGATCTATTCTCAGTGTGAAATTAATAAAGTAATACAATGTTTTAGTTATTTTAATTCATTGGTTGATTGTAAGATGAGGGGTCTTATTACTGTTGGAGTGATTTAATATTTTTAGTCCATTAATGATTAAAACATTCAGCAGTCCATGGATAAAATATTGAAGGTTTAACCAACCATGATCCATGTAGATACAAACACACACACCTCTGTTCCACAGTCAGTTTTTATTTATTGATTTAGCCTCTGTTTATACAGATATTAAAATGATTATGGCCAACACAGCATGTTATAGTAATCCATCCACCCCTCCCCCTCCTTTACAGGTGTGCCTATATGGTATGATGTAATGTAATGATGATGTCATGGGTACAGCAGAATTTTCTGTATTTGTAACATTCCACAGGCTGGTCAGAGTTTTTAACCCATTCTTTACAGACCTCCAACAGTTCAAACTTTTTTCCTCTTTGGCATAAACGTGGATCTGTTGTTGAATCCCATAAATCCTGGTCAATTATTGATTATGAAGAAATAGTTTGAAAAACAGACTTTTATTGTATATGTGTCAATAGCTCACACACTATGCACAGTCACTTGGATTATATCAGCTCTCCACCTGCCAATAGTTTTCTAGTCAAACATTCCTCCATTGAGATTTTGGCTTTACTTAAAAACTATATAGTTAAAAAGGTGGATATAACATATAACAGGAGAGAGAGAGAGAAATATTGGTGCAAGGTTCTGAAAGTGGAGTGGTTACCATGGAAACCATGGAATGTTCCTGCTGATTGATCTACTTTTAGAATGTTGACTCAGAATGGCTTTTAATACAGATTGATATAGATATGGTGATTCGCCAATGCGTGAATTGCTAAGAATGCAGATTAAATTCAAAGTGAATTTCAAATTATAGACTAAAATTCCTGAATCTGAAAGATTGTTTTCATGTTTTCAGTGTGGCTATATTTCCTAAAATGTAAAAAAGCTCTTCATATTCGCTTTGAAATAATAACAATTAACACTTTGGGATTCATTCATTTAACCCTAAATTGTAAAGAGGTGAAAATTAATGACTTTAACCCCTTAAGGACACATGACATGTGTGACATGTCATCATTCCCTTTTATTCCAGAAGTTTGGTCCTTAAGGGGTTAAAGATAATGCTCTCAAGTCATTTCATTTCCAAACTGGTTTTCAGTTCCATTTTCCAGTTTCATTTTACTAAACTAAGAAATGTTGTGAATCCATCGTAAATTCTAAGTGAACTTCCAATTTAAGGCCAAACTAGCTGCTGACTAGGACAATTGCTTTCGGTCAGCTATTTTTGCCTTAAATTTTAAATTCTCTTTGACTTTGAATTCCTGATAATTCTCACTTTAGTGGATAAGCCCGGTTGGTCTTTAGTGATAATAAGTCACTTGCCTTTAAAATGACACAATTACTCTAATGTTTATGTAGTGACACATCCATGTATATCCCACCCCTGTCACCCCAGGCTTACTGAGAACCAGTGTGGAAAGATGGCGTGTAATAATGGGAGATAAGAGAAGTGGGTTCTTATCTCTTAGATGCAGCTTCCCATTCCCTGACACAGGGAGAAAGTCCTCTCAATTAATAGAACATCCCTTTATGTGACTGACAGATAAAGCTGTCAGTCTTTCAAAAAGCACTGAACTGAGCTGGTTTGTTAGAATTTGGAAGTTCTAGCAGAATCGAGATGAGTTATATAACCTGGTGCATGCTCTACTCAAACCTCACGCATTGCAGCCATTTAAGATGGGATGGGGGTGTTGTGCTTTAAAAGGACACTAAGAACCATTACATTACGGCTGTTTCGCACTACCTGCATGGTCCTAGTGCCCGCTGCAAGGAGCGAGCATGTCTAATGATACACTCACACTGTGCTGCCCATGAACAGTTCACTTTTTTTTAATTAAACGCATATTTCTTTGAGGGTAGTGGGGCCAGGTGGGTCAGGATTCAAGCTTCTGTCTCTCTGTGAATCCCTGTGTATACTCCAGGAGCAAATAATATATCACATCACATTCTCCCTGCGGGAGCAGAAGGGGTGTTTCAATTTAGTCAGGGACCTGCTTCGTTGCGATTGGTAATTGTCCAGTTTAGGGAGCACATAGCTAATAGACCTGCGGCTTGAGGCTAAATTAACTCACTTCTTTAGGAAAGCATATACATTAATCTGTTAATAGCTTTTCCTCCCCACACCTTGCTTCCTCTCCTGCAACTGTGTAATCCAAAAAAAAACAAGTCTTCATTGTTAACTATACCAGTAAGCTACTTTATCCCGTACATGAAATACATCTTACCCTTACATTTTGTGCCACTTTACCCCACTCCCCCTAGAATGTAAGCTCATTAGAGCAGGGCCCTCAACACCCTCTATTCCTGTGCGTCCAACTCATCTTGATACAAATATGTGTCTGTTACTCCTATTGTACAGTGCCATGGAATTTGTTGGTGCTTTATAAATAAATAATAACTCCAAATAGTAGTTGTGACGGAGCTCCCGTACTCTGACCATGTACCTTTGCCCAGTCCTTTTCCTAGGCGCTTTCAGGGACCCTGGAACACTCCAGCCCCAGTAGCGGAAGCTTGACCAGGTTCTCTTAGGAAAACTTCCAGGACCAGGCTGCAGCTTCCAGGAAGGTATTGTCCCCACTGCCTTTGCCTCTACTTCCTTTCCCAGGCAGGTATCCGCACCTGTGCCTGTACTGTGATCAGCTCCTGCCTTTACAAAGGCACTTGTGGCTCTCAAGCCTTACTCTTTTGAATTGACCAATCAGCCATCCGACAGGTCCGACGACTGTGTTACTGGGATCCCTAAATAAATCAACCAGGACACACAGTTCCAAAAGGAACTAACACACACAGCTTTATTTTTTTTTACTCAGGACTAGCCCATATACACATTATAAGAAACTTACTGTGAAAACTTCAATATAATATAAATAACCAAATAATATGGGGAAACATGCAGGAACTCATAACAACACACTGAAATATTTATAAAGGGTTTTTGTATCCAATAACTAACAAGAAATATCTCCCCTTCTTGCAGAATTCATCATATGCAAATCTGGAAAATGCTAATTAACAAACCTAGCTATTCAGGTAGTGCATATAGCTGTTTCAGGATCCTTACAACCAACAAATGGCACTGTATTGGCTTCATAGTAAAATCCACCTAGTTGGTTGAAAGCAACATCAGGAGAAGAGAGTGAGGTTGGAGGAGGAGCGAGGGTGGGGACAACGGAATTATCACTAGAGCAGATAGGCAGGTGGAGGGCTTTAATCAGTGTGGGAGGGAGAGAAGGCGGCCGAGCGCTTCCCCATGCAAGCTCAGCCTACTAGGGAGGAGCTCTTACATCTGTCGGCAGTGGTGTGGTGAGTGCTGACAACAGACGTGTTTTATGTACAGAATTTATATTAGGTAGTCCGGACACAATTGAAAATATCTCAGGATGTGTAGTGTTTCAAACTGAAACACTGCACATACATGCTCCTACCACCATAACAACTTCAAAAAGCTGAAGTGGTTGTGCTGGTTGGAGTAACCCTTTAAAGGACCACTATAGTGCCAGAAAACATACTCGTTTTCCTGTCACTATAGTGCTCTGAGGGTGCCCCCACCCTCAGGGACCCCTCCAGCTGGGCTTTGGGGGGGAGGAAGGGGTTAAACGTACCTCTTTCTTACCTCTTTCTCCAGTGCCGGGCGGGGAGCTCTCCTCCTCCTCTCCTCCCTCTTCTTCCGTCACCGGCTGAATGCACATGCGCGGCAAGAGCCGCGCGCGCATTCAGCCAGTCCATAGGAAAGCATTCACAATGCTTTCCTATGGACGCTGGCGTCTTCTCACAGTGAAAATCCCAGTGAGAAGCGAGGAAGCCCTCTAGCGGCTGTCAATGAGACAGCCACTAGAGGCTGGATTAACCCTATTATAAACATAGCAGTTTCTCTGAAACTGCTATGTTTATAAAAAAAAAAGGGTTAAACCTAGCTGGACCTGGCACCCAGACCACTTCATTAAGCTGAAGTGGTCTGGGTGCCTATAGTGGTCTTTTAATTTGCAGTTTAGTGAATGACCCTGATGGTGCACTCTGATTCAGCCACTGTCGGTCAATCTGCAATGAAAACCCCCCGGAAATACTGGCTTGTAATTTGTTGTAGGTAGGTGAGTTTTCCACACTGGTTCGGACTTACAGGATACATAGTCACTAGACAAATAACACAGACTTCAGATATCTAGAAGCTAAAACGGACGGTAAACAGGAATAAGGCTTAAAGGTAATGCAGGGTTTAGGACTCAGAATCAGTGGCGGATCTAGAGCCTGATCTCGGGAGGGGCACTTGTAGATTATTTAAAGAAATAATCCAGACACAATAACTACTACAGCTCAGTGTAGTGGTTATGGTGTCAATAGTGCCGGGACCCCCTCCTAGAGTAAGTAGTCAAACCGTTTAAGAACAGTTTGACAACTTACCTGAGGTCTGCTGGGAAATGGGGCGGTAGTAGGGCATAGGAGCAGTGGTGTGTGTGAGTGGTGCAATGTGTAAGGGGTGCAGTGTGTGTGTGTGTGAGGGGGACAGTGTGTGAGCAGTGTGTGTGTGTGTGTGTGTGTGTGAAGGTTGTAGTGTGGGACAGTATGTGTGTGTAACAGTTGCAGTGTGTGTGTGAATGTGGGCAATGTGTGTGTATGGGGCGGCAGTGTATGGGGCAGTGTGTGTGTATGGGGGGCAGTATGTGTGTATGAGGGCAGTATGTGTGCATGGGGCAGTATGTGTGCATGGGGGGCAGTATGTGTGTATGGGGGGCAGTGTATGGTATGGGGGCAGTATGTGTGGGGGCATGGGGGCAGTATGTGTGTATAGGGGCAGTATGTGTGTGGGGGGCAGCATGGGGGTAGTATGTGTGTATGGGGGGGCAGTATGTGTGTATGGGGGGTCAGCAAGTATGGGGGCTGTGTGTGTGTGTGTGTGTGTGTGTGTTAAGGGTGGGGGGGGGGCTTTTTTTTATAATATATATCTTTATTTAATTTAAAAAAACAAATATTCTATGTCCCCCCTCCCTTCTTACCTTTATTGAGGAGGAGGGGGGACATATTTTCATCCCTGGTGGTCCCAGTGGTGATTCCCTGGTGGTCCCAGTGGTTACAGTGAACTCTAGCCCGCGCTCCCGGGCTAGAGTTCACTCTCGCGAGATTTGGAGCGTTGCCGCGGTAACCGGCAACGCTCCAAATCTCGCGAGAGGAGGACCCGGAGGAGCTGCAGACTGAGCTCCCGGGTCCTCCCTCTCCCTCCCCTGCCGGCTGTCAGCACAGTGCCTGCGGACTGGGGAGGGAGATCTCTGATCTCCCCTCCGGTCCGCAGGCACATTGCAGGGCTAGCACCTGCATGTGCTGGCAGGGGAGGGAGACCGGTGGATTTCTCGGGGGGGGGGGGGCAATTGCCCCGTTGCCCCCCCCCTGGATCCGCCAGTGCTCAGAATCCAGCAATTAAATTAGAATCAGGTTACAGGAAATCAGGTTTACAGTCAACAGGTGGTTAGATAGGTGATTCTTTTACATAGGACCAAGGAGAACAGACCAGTTTGTAACTGGACCAGCTGCAGGAGTAATAAGGAATAAAGCAAAGTGTCTCAGAGCAGCCAGCAAACAACAGAAACGTGACTAAGACATGGAATCCAGGAGCTTGTCCATGAAACTCCCTCTGCTGGATTCCATTCTATCTGGAACACAGTGGTTGTAGTCGTATTCTACAGAATAGAATGCAATGGAAAGGTATCAAGGCCATAATAAGGATTGGAAATAAGACCGTGTAAACTGCAAAGACTGACCCTGATTTAATAAGCTTCCCAAATGATTCAACAATGTTAGAAAAACTTTAGAAATGGTTTATCTAACAGTATTAAATCATTTGGAAACATTAATAAATTGATGCTATAGCAAGTAAAATAAAAATCACTGTTTAGGAATATACCCCTAATGAAAACATGCATGTATTTAATCCAGCATTTTCCATTGTATATCTAAATATAGTTTGCAAAAGCTGCAGATCTCTTGTCTGCAGCCTTTGCAATCCTTCCCCTTATCACCCCACACAGACTTTCAGTGACTGTCCAATCATTGACTTTCCAATGCAGCTCAATGAGAAGTCTTTTAAAGGCAGGTGCTCTGAGCATTTTCCTACCTCTTGTGTTTAGAAGAATTCACACAAAAAAATCTCACAAAAAACTGGTGGACTCACAAGACATAAATCTGATCCATGTGTTGGCCCCACCTGAACCTTTATTAAGATCTTGAACATTCCTTGACTTAATCAATAATGCGCTCATTTTCTCCAAATTTAATAAGAACATTTCCAACTTAGGGTCATTAATGTCATATTTGTGTAAATATCCATTAGACTTCTAGAATCATGTGCTCTCTGTCTCATCATCTCCAATGATATTTCCAGACATAAACTCTCAGAATCAGTTAATCAAACTAGTTATTGACTGATCTGAGCATCAGGCCAACTTTCCTAAGAACAAAAGTAAAGCAAAATAAATAAAAATAAAAGATGAATATTTTTCTCTTTAAATATGATCCCTAATACAGTAATACTCTCTATTGTTAAAGGACCACTCTAGGCACCCAGACCACTTCAGCTTAATGAAGTGGTCTGGGTGCCAGGTCCAGCTAGGGTTAACCCATTTTTTTTATAAACAAAGCAGTTTTAGAGAAACTGCTATGTTTATGAATGGGTTAAGCCTTCCCCCAAATCCTCTAGTGGCTGTCTCATTGACAGCCGCTAGAGGCGCTTGCGTGATTCTCACTATGAAAATCACAGTGAGAGCACGCAAGCGTCCATAGGAAAGCAATGTAAATGCTTTCCTATGCGACCGGCTGAATGCACGCGCAGCTCTTGCCGCGCGTGCGCATTCAACCGACGGGGAGGAGAGGAGGAGGATCGGAGGAGGATCGAAGGAGGATAGCTCCCCGCCCAACGATGGAAAAAGGTAAGTTTTAACCCCTTTCCCCTTTCCAGAGCCAGACGGGAGGGGGTCCCTGAGGGTGGGGGCACCCTCCGGGCACTATAGTGCCAGGAAAACAAGTATGTTTTCCTGGCACTATAGTGGTCCTTTAAGTAAATTCTAAATAACTTGGGTTGTCACTGGTATGACCAGATTTGTCTCCTACCTCTAGGCCCAAATATTTTGGGCACTTCTTTAATTAATTAATGGGTTAGTCATATGGACAGAGGAAAGATATGGGGGAGCCAAGGCAAAACATGTTCGCATTAATTGTGTTCTTTCATGGCAGGACCTCCTAAGGGTTGTCCAAGCCCCTAGGCAGGATGTCATCTTGAGGCTCCTCCTGGAGCCCTGGGCTCTGTTCTGTGTTGTGTGTGGTGGCTGAGTGTTGTATGTGCTTGAGGAAGATTGTGTGTGTGAGAGTGTATGAGTGTGTGTTGTGTGCGTATAGGAGGCTGAGAGCTGTATGAGGTTGTTTTTCTTTTGCCCCACTGCTTGTTACATTTTTTTGCAGGAAGGAGACGTTATCCCTAGTGGTCCAGTTGAGGCCATTCTAGACAGGATCCCTGGTGGTCCATAGGTGAGCGTTGTGGTCTGAACCAATATCAGGTGCAGGTCATTTTAAGGGCTCCCTTGTGATCCGGAGCTCAGTCAGCACTGGCTGTGACACTGTCTGAGTCATTGAGAAGAGCCTAGGGACCCTTTATAGCCAGAACTGGAGCTACAGGCTCAGACAGAAGTCCATTGGGCCTCCTTTTGAGCTCTGGCCCTAAGCGGCTGCCTTTGCAACCTTGTAGTCAATCTGTTCCATGGCCATACCTGAGTCATCTTCTTGTGCATTACAACAAGCCATACACCATTGGTACATTGCACTAACTAATGTGTTATTATTGTATGGGTTTACTTGTGCAAAGCATGCATTTAGAAATGTTTGATTACTGAGATAACTAGAATGGGAGCTGGGGCACGTCACAGTATTTTGTTGGCAAATACAGCTGGAATAGAGGGGCTGTTTAAGCATCGTCCAAACAGCAGAGACTGCAAAAATCCCCAAGGCTGCTCAGGTGCAGGTCAGTCTCAGGACAGCAGTTACTAATAGGTATATTGTCTGTTTCAAAGTAAAATATTTGAGCAGTGCTTTCAGTGGGGAGCAGGGGATTCAGCTGGGCACAGGATGGAATTGATGACAGTAAGATAAGACTGGCTAAGGAGTGCAACTGCTACGTGGAGCGGTAGACAGTACAGGAGTTCCGCTCAGTCGCTCTGCAATGTCAGAATGTTTAGTGAAAAATTCCTCATTTTTACAATATACAGGACAAGACTGAAAACAAGAGAAATCTTAATGTATTCTTTCTTGCAATATATTTTGTAAATAAATAAAGTAAATGCATTTCTTTCTTTCCCAAATGGCACTAAATGAAATTTGTTCGGTGTTCGATTTGACTATTTGACCAATAATCATTTTCAATCGAAATTAACAAACACCTCAATTCTAGTAAATATTTTGCTTCTTCTAAAAACAAATGAATAAGTTCATTTCCAGATCATACAAGACACAGTATAGTGGCGGGGCTTTTGGTACGTTGAGCTCATTGTTTCTTTATCAAATCATTTGAAAATGGTTCTTGCACCATAACCAATGCAACGTCTTCTAGAGATTAGAGCCTCACTGAAATGTTATGTACTTACGTCGGGTAGCATTTGGAAAATGTTCAACACCTCTCTCTCTGTCTACAAAAAAGCTAAATACAATATCGGGATAGAAACTAGGACGGGAAACTCCTTTTAGTACTCTTGTAACTATGCTCTGTTTAGTACACATTTATGTATGGAATGTATATATCCTTGTAATTCAAACTATAAGAACTGTCAAACATGTCATTATTTTTTTTTAATATTTATAACCTTTTTTAATATATTACTATATTTGTTAATTCCATTGGGAATTGTGAGAAATTGGCTGGATAGCATAATTTGAAAACAAAGAATTTTCCATTCAACATATTTATCCTAAACTATTTGAGTCACTTGCACACGAATAAAACCTTCAGTATATTATTGCCTGTAAACACACTATGTCAATAAATTGTGTGCAGTGGTTTAAGAGCAATTCTTCTCAGCCAGTGAGCTGTACACAGGCTTTTGGAGGGGGGTAGGTAGATATTTTTAAAATACTTTTTAAAAATTGATTGGGCCTATATCCGTGTAATTTCTCTAAATTATTCTCAAACCTTCCTAAGCTAAGCAATAATCACTGTTCCCCAAGTGCTCAATTACTTCCATGTTTAAGATAAAACCTAGGTCAGGGGTGGACAAAAGTTAGATTAGAGTTGCTGCAGAAATGCAACAGTTAAGGTTGGCAAAGCACTATGGGAATTTTCTTTCAATACAATATACACAACAAAATTGATAGTATCAATAGTAACAGTATCCTCAGACACTCACAGGGTTGTTAGTTAAAGGAACACTATAGTGTCAGGAATACAAGCATGAATTCCCGACACTATAGTTCTAATATCACTATTTAGCCACCTGGACCCCTGTCAGCAAAGTATAAGGTGTAAAACTCGCCTTTATTCCAGCACGCGAGAGTCTGGTCGGCCTACTTGGCTGAGGTTATCAAATTTGACAATCTCAGCCAACCCAATTTCCCATAGGAAAGCATTAGAGGCTATTGCACATCTTCTCAAAGAGATGCATTAAATCAATGTATCTCTATGGGGAGCATTTAGTGTCATGGTGAACGTCAGTGCTGCACATTGTGCAGCACTGAGCCAGGAAGCACCTTTAGTGGCTGTCTGAGTTACTGCCACTACAGATGTTCCTAGGCAGTAATATAAACGCTGCCTTTTTTTCTGATTATACAGTGTTTACATTAAAAAGCTTGCAAGACGGTCAGTAGACACTAGAACAACTACATAGAGCTGCAGTTGTTCTGGCGACCATAGTGTCCCTTTAACTATAACATTTTGATTCTGACCATGATGGATTGCTTCCAATAAGGAAATAAATGGAAAGCACACAGTATAATTGAAGAAATTCAGACTTCAGTCTTTAGGTTTTCTCATTAAAAAAATCCTTTTATTATCACTCTTCTTAAAACCACATATAAAAATTTACCAAAAAAAAAAATTGGAAAAATGGGAAGTAAAGAGAGCACCACATTTCAGGCATGTTACACGAACTTCATCGAGATCTAGCCTCATGGGAGTTGTAGTCCTGGAACACCTTTGGTTTTCTTATCTAATAGGTGTATCTGTCTGCTGAGGAACAGAATTGCCATAAAGCAAGCTCTCTCCGTTTCCAAATATGTGATCCTAATTTCTTGCAAAATTCAAAATAATAATAAAAAAAACAATATGTAAATAGTAACATATTTTGTTTGTCTTTCAGGTGAACAATCACAAGCTTTCAGTGTTCAGCAAGGTGTGTTATGCCATTGGTGGAGCCCCCAATCAGGTGGCTGGGAGTGCATCCGCATTCTTTCTGCAGATCTATTTGTTAGATGTGGCGCAGGTAAATGACATCATCACGCTCATGCATATACTTCAAGATATTTTAAAGGCATATCAAATAAAATGTTATGTAGTTCCTATGAAAGAGACAGCTATTATATCCCACTACAACAGTACTCTAAGCAGCTTTCCAATAATATATCTAGGGCCTTCATTCACGTCATGTCCTTGACAGCCTTGAAATTATGCTGATCAGCTATTTTGATTAACAATTATTTTCTGACAGCAATGTAATATATCTCCAAGTGTGGACCTGAACCATTGCCTATGGGCCTGCCCAGAGCTGCTGCTTTTCTAGGAAGTTTGGTGAGCTACAATTTTGGGATTCTAAATCCTACTGGAGACAATCTTCATGTACTGGAGGTGAAAAAAACAAAAGTCATGACCGGTTTACTTTAACAGAATTCTCCCCAGCCCCATAGCCAGTCTGTATATCTACCATAGAGATAAATTATATAGTTAATCAAAAATGTTGAGATATTAACTTACCTCCTCTCTGATCCAACTTCACCATACCTGCTTGGACCTCCAGTTCACTTGCCCTTTGCCCATTCATTGATTTGATCTTACTTGCTTGGGAACATTCCCACAGGTAGGACAAACTTCCTACATAATGCTGACATGCTGGTTTTGTAGCCAAAATGCTGGTGTCTGAATGGAGTGACATAAGTCTTCTCCATTTCTACACTCAGTAGCTAGCACTAAAAGTATTGACTATGGAGTAACCATAGCAATGAGAGAACATGTGCTTTGGTTGCTAAGATTTCTGTGCAGGAGAACCACATGTGGGTCTCTACTGCTCACCCTGTCACTCAGTTCTTCAGCACAGAGTCTATATGCTAAAGAATTGATTGACAGTTGGGAGAAATACTTGTTTTCAAACTGCTTTCTCTCCCAATCTATAGTGCATGTACAATGCACAGATCACATTTTATGCTCCTTAAAATGAGCATCACAGGTAAGGTTTATTTGTGTTTGCTTACAGGTTCTACATACATTAATGCAGGGGCTTTGCTAGATGGCCCCCTCTCTCACATACATTGACTTTTCTAAAAACCGGCCTTATACCCAGCCCTAGTTCCAGCCCTAAGCCATATCATGTTCTCTAAGTTTTTGTATTAACCCCAAGACATGCTATATATACCCCTCAGCCCAGCAGTTCCACGACACTGTGCTGTATAATTAACTCCAATTATGGTGCATTGTCACAAATTATGTAATTAGAGAACATATTTCTCACTTATTACAGGAGACTAACAGTGACATGATGCCAAAATTAGAACTGGGGCCTTTCAGGATCCCACTCTGGGCTTTAGCCTCTGCCACAAGTTTGTTTTATTGTAATGTAATTCATTTTTAATTGATCTTTTTTTTGTGTGTCTTCCCCCAGATCACGCCATTTGAAGCCTCTCTTGTGCTGTCCATCGGCAAGACTTGGGGTGGAATTACAGATCCTCTTATTGGATTTTTCATTAACAAAAGTAGATGGACGGGGATCGGCCGGTTAATGCCATGGTAAAATGCATATCATTATATTTCATGATGTAATTATTTTTTATAATACTTTTTTTTTACCAGAATGATCAGTGATATTATCACATATTATTATGTATTTGTTCAGCTGTTCATTCCCTCTTTCTCATATAGTGAGCTCACCGTTATGATATCTTATACCTCCTGACGTTTCATATAGGTACAGAGGAATATTTTAGTTTTATTGGTATGGCTGGAGATAGGGGAAACGGGTGAAGCTATTCTGGAACATTTTCAAAGAATTTATAACCTACTAATTTGAAACTGAGAACGAACTGAAATGAACCATACTTCATATTAATGGTTTTTTAATGGATTGCTCTATTTAAAATATATATATATATATATATGTATTAAATATTTAATAAGTTAATTTTTTACATGAGTTGCTCCATTCAAAAATAATAATATTAATGTTTTGGTAAATGGCAATTGTAATCCAGTTCAAACAAGGCAAAGACAGGGCAAATATAGCAAATATAGTTAAAAAATAATAATTATAAGAAGAAAAATACAAATCTTCGATTTCTCCTCTTTTTGTATATTTTCTCTGCACTGACTACCAGATGAAGGAGCTAAGATGGAGTCACTCAGTTTTAGGATAAATACGTGTAGATTTCTACATTTATTTTTTTACACCTCACAAATGCAGATGCAAAAAGCACAATAACTGCTACCCTTTCCTGTAGGATATGAGGTATGGGTATAAAAGAATTTGCCCCTCCTGAATATTGAAATTGGTATTGGGAGGTACGATGTACTGTTTTGCAAATAATTTGATTGTGAATTGAAAATATTTTCATTTGACTTTTTTTTTATACAATTTCCCCCTCAGTCCCAATTGCATGCCATTAATTATTCACCTCAAATAAATCCTATATACAGCACTGCATACACCATGGGTCTATATAATTCTCTGCAATTTTATATACAGTTGTGCTCAAAAGTTTGCATACTCTGGCAGGACAGGAATTGGGAAATTTTGGCATTGATTTTAAAAATATGACTGATCATGCAAAAACATTTTTGGGATTGAATGATAGTGATCAAATGAAGCCCTTTATTATCACATAGTTGTTTGGCTCCTTTTTAAATAATAACGATAACAGAAATCTCCCAAATGGCCCGGATCAAAAGTTTACATACCCTTGAATGTTTGACCTTGTTACAGACACACAAGGGGACACACACAGGTTAAAATGGCAAGTAAAGGTAAACCTGTGGCTTGTTAAATTGCAATTAGTGTCTGTGTATAAATGGGCAATGAGTTTCTTAGCTCTGCACTGAGCAGGCTAGATACTGAGCCATGGGAAGCAGAAAATAACTGTCAAAAGACCTGCGTGACAAGGTAATGGAACTTTATAAAGATGGAAAAGGATATAAAAAGATATCTAAAGCCTTGAAAATGCCAGTCGGTACTGTTCAATCACTTATTAAGAAGTGGAAAATTCAGGGATCTTTTGATACCAAGCCAAGGTCAGGTAGACCAAGAAAGATTTCAGCCACAACTGCCGGAAAAATTGTTCCGAATACAAAGAAAAACCCGCAGGTAACCTCAGTGGAAATACAGGCTGCTCTGGAAAAAGACGGTGTGGTTGTTTCAAGAAGCACTATACGACGATACTTGAACAAAAATGAGCTGCATGGTCGTGTTGCCAGAAAGAAGCCTTTACTGCGCCAATGCCACAAAAAAGCCTTGTTACAATATGCCCAACAACACCTTGGCACGCCTCATAGCTTCTGGTACACTGTAATTTGGAGTGACGAGACCAAAACAGAGCTTTATGGTCACAACCATAAGCGCTATGCCCTCTCCAAGCATAGCGCTTATGGTTGTGACCACAAGGCCTATAGTGAAAAGAATACCAGCCCCACTGTGAAACATGGTGGTGGCTCACTCTGGGATCTCAAACATGCGGTTCATGCAAGACGGCCAAAGACTTTGCATGACCTGGAGGCATTTTTCCAAGACGAATGGGCAGCTATACCACCTGCAAGAATTAGGGGTCTCATAGACAACTATTACAAAAGACTGCGCGCTGTCATTGATGCTAAATGGGGCAATACACAATGTTAAAAACTAAGGGTATGCAGACTTTTGTGCAGGCATCATTTCATTTTTTCTTTGTTGCCATGTTTGATTTTATAGCCTACAGTTAAATATGAATCCCATAAGAAATATAAGAAATGTGTTTTGCCTGCTCACTCATGTTTTCTTTAAAAATGGTCCATATATTACCAATTCTCCAAGGGTATGCAAACTTTTGAGCACAACTGTACATCACAGTATACAAACTGTCTGCTTCAAGTCCATCTAAACATAGCACTGCATATCTCCCTGTGATAATCTGTCTATACACAGCACTACATACAGTGGAGACCTGGAGACATGATTTAATTGTACATTGTATATGATGCATACATGGTGCATGTTTATCTAATTAATTGCATACATAGTGCTGCGTACACTGGAGCTATAACATATAACTAAATACACTGGAGATGTACCAAAATACTTATTATATGCAGCACTGCATGTTGCCAAAATGCTTTTTATATATATAGCACTGGATACAATACAGGTGTACCAGTCCAGAATACATTTTATACACTGCAAGGAATACTCCTCGGGTGGCCCAGAACACCGCTTGTACACAACACTACATATACTGTAGGTGTACCAGAATATGTTGCTCCACACTTTACATGTTTACAATAAGGAAATAAAAGAAGTAACAAAAAAATATTTATATAAAAATTTATATAAACAGTCAGAGAGGTGTAGAGGAGCCCTCCTCATTTGCTCTGTAATCCTCCCACTTAGGAGAGGTGAAAAGTTATAGCAGATTACATGAGCAGTACGCAAGTAGAGTCGCGAGGATAGCTAAGAATTAGAGTGCAAGCTTTCAAGACGACTTGTAACATTTCTAAAAAAAATTTATCTCATTGAATCTGTTTACCTCGTCACGCACGAAACACGCCAGCAATAATGTAATTGAATCACTCTTCTCTAATATATTATAATTATTATTCTCTATTGTAATAATTATATTATTATTTTTTAAAACATTTTTCACAAAGCTATTCACAAAATAGGTGGAATAACAAACGAATCATTGTAACAAGACAAGTTAGACATAGAGGGACAGGATTATTTGTGAATACATTAACGTTCCCCTCCAGACACACACTGTATTTGTAGAATTTCCATGTTGCGTAATACTGCTATTATTCCAAACCAGGAAGTTACAGAGCACCTTGTCTGGGGCAGGCCGAGCTCAGGCAGACCTTGCTAGAACCGTCTGTTTCACTATCACTGCAGAATTAGTCGATGTAAACATCACAACATTGTCCATTATCCTGTTGAGTAACAAAGAACTGCACGAAAAGGTTCCAATTGTTCAATGGACCTATTGACCTACATTGTTCTTTTGTCATTTAAAGAGGATTTTTTATTTTATTTTATTCAGATCACTATATCCAAAATAATCAGCTGCTCCAAGTAATTACAACACACAAAAAAAGGGATTTATTATGGCTTTTAGACACCAATTAATGTTTGTTTTATTTGTGAGTAAAACCAAAGTTCATTTCTAGGCTACAAAATAGCAACGTTTTGTCTGTTGAAATAGGGGATGTGGTTGAGAGTTTGAGGGTTCCGTGTTAAAGGGACACTCTGTATCTAAGCCCCAAACCCTTGCCACCTACTGAGATAATGCAAGAGTTTCAGTATTAGATTTGGACCAGAATTGCATGCCGACTGTGAGTTTAGGGTTTCCTTTTCTACTTTAACACATTAAAATTGTCATATTTGTTTTTGCAGTTGCCTTAAAAGCTTGAGATTGGATGTTAGTGATCATTTTGAAGTGTAGACTCACAGTTTAGCTGTCCAAAGATAATTTTACTCCCTATTTAATCTTTAGTATATTCTTTATAAACAAGACAACATGACACGGAGAGCAACATGGAGCCGCTGTAAGTAGGGAAAAAGTTCCTTAACGTCAATCAATGAGTTTATTTAATAAACTTTGGAGTATGAAAAAATGCCAATTTGTACCAAAGGAAAATCGCATACTCAAAAAATGTAAATGCCATTATTAATTCTTCAAAATTACTACATTGTTAATAAATCCCATGGATATGTTTATAAGCCGAGACACAACCTCCTGAAGAAAACTATTGGGTGAAATAAAGCCCATTTCGCAATCTTTAATGAAACTTTTCAAGATAGCCTTCTAAATGTATTTATTGGCATACAGTTTAGTAGTGTGATAGACAGACAGACAGACAGACAGATAATATATAGATGGATAGATAGACAGACAGACAGACAGATTAACACTTTAATGGATGGACAGATAAGTAAAAAGGCATACAGATGGATGTTAGATGGATGAATAGACTGACAGATGCTTTAGAATGATGGATGGACAGACGGATGGATGGATGAAATGATTAATGGACAGATGGATGGATGGATGTAAGGAATCATGGATGGACAGATGGATGGATGGAATGATGGATGGACAGACGGATGGATAGATGGAATGATGGATGGACAGACGGATGGATGGATGGAATGATGGATGGATGTAAGGAATAATGGATGAAATGATGGATGGATTGGTGCAGACTAAAAGGGGCGAATGGTTCTTATCTGCCATCACTTTCTATGTTTCGATATTTCTATGTTTTCGATGTTTCTATGTAAGGAAGTCTGTGCTGTACACTACACATTACAATAAGACATAGAGTTTGGATTAAATAACCAGCATTGTGGCCCTTCTGATACTGAGAGTGCGGCTTCAGATACATTTTACTGACAGCAATGAACATATTTTGGAATCCAGACATATGAATCGTTGATGATACATGATTATTTCCGCTCTCTTTCCAGGATGCTGGGCAGCACTCCTTTCCTGATATTATCTTATTTCTTCTTATGGTTCGTCCCTCCATTCTTGACTGGAAGAGTCGTCTGGTACCTGGTGTTTTACTGTTCCTTCCAAGCGCTGAGTACAGTAAGTTTATTCGTTATTATATAAATTACCCGATCTGTTATTTTGTTATTTTACAAAATTACTTTAAAATTGCTCAAATTGTTAAAAACAACAGCATGTACTTTTTAAGATATAAAGAAAAAACGTTACCTGCGCTCTGGCCTAAATCCCCATGTGCATTTAAACAAAAATGGAGGCTCTAGTTTTATTCTAATGGCCATTTGAATATATAAGCTCACCAGCCACGTCAAGGCAAGCCTCAATAGGTGAGTTCTTACACTAGCCATTAGATATGCTGATATCAGCCAAGAGTCTCCAATGAGACAGGAAGGGGTATTTTAAAAAACCCTTTAACATTTAACCCTTTATAGGGCTTCTACACATTCAATAAACTTTGCTGGTATCAGACAAAGTATAGACGTCTCTAATGAGACATTAAAGGGTGTTTTATAAACCCCTACATACTTTACCCTGAATAGGGCTATAACATACAAATCACCTTGCTGGTATCAGCTAAAAGGCAAATTTCTCTGATGAGACAGGAAGGGGTGCTGCCCCTACATACTTATAAAGTCTTAATAAGACAAACGTGGGGAGGCTGGCAGCAATGGAACATAGCTGAGTGATACAAAATTCATATACAAACACAAAGATAAAGCACCGCGCTTACAGCAGCAGTGGTTTAGTATCCAACAGCTTAAAATACATAGTAAAAACAAAGAAAACGTTACCTGCGCTCTGGCCTAAATCCCCATGTGCATTTAAACAAAAATGGAGGCTCTTTAGTTTTATTCTAATGGCCATTTGAATATATAAGCTCACCAGCCACGTCAAGGCAAGCCTCAATAGGTGAGTTCCTACACTAGCCATTAGATATGCTGATATCAGCCAAGAGTCTCCAGTGAGACAGGAAGGGGTATTTTATAAACCCTTTAACATTTAACCCTTTATAGGGCTTCTGCACAACTTTTTAAGATATGTTCAATATTTTACTATTCTGTACCATTTTCTATCCAATGAATAGCTGTGATTATTTGGAAAATAAAGATTCACTCTCTGATCGATCATGTTAAGCGTAATGTTATCTCATTATTATAAAGTGACCTCGGATTAGTTCTGCCAGTAAGAGTGTATTGCAGGATACGAGCAGCAAGCTTTGTGAATTACTAAGTTTTATTGCCACCTAGTGGTGAATTAGCAGTACAGCTCATTGCGTACAGGTGTGTAAACTGTACATACCACTTTCTACCATTTTTGTTTACCAATTTCTGTATGTAAAACAAGTATAACCAAGGGCACAGCAAAAGACTTGGTGGCAGTGTACATTTTTTGGGATTCTCATATTTTGCTGTATTCCTGTGTGTGCACCCATTATCCACCTTCAGTGTGAATGGTAGTAGCAGGGACCTATTCATAGCAATTGGGACCTGGAGAGGAATCAGGAAGTCTGTGTCCCATCAGGTATATATTCCATGTCCCCCCTTATATTTTCCTTCCTTGTATTAGAGGGTTCTGTTACATGACATTAAATACAGCATTGCATCATATGACGGTGCTTTACAATGACATAAAGAGTAGTAAACACTGAAGGAGATACAGGTATCACACTCACACTCACCCAATAGATCTCCAAGACTGGAAATTTGTAGAACTCATGGGATGGATCAATATATATATATATATATATTTTTTTTTTTTACCATGTGAGAAAAACCAGTATATGAAGTAATGATGCCTAATTCTAACAGGAAACACTTTAGTTACACTACTGGGTATAACGCACAAGGCGAGCACTGTTATAACACATGACAACTAGGAAAGCAGGTCCAGCTGACTAACACAAAATAATAGTTTTAGTTAAAACCTGAAATGACAAAAGATGGAATATCGAAAACAAAACATTAATATTAAAGGCCTGGTGTTAGGGGTTTGCGATTGCACAGTACATACACAGAGAGGGGGTTCTCCTGCCCTCCCTCGGGCAGAGATAGGCAGGTGGGAGAGTTAAGAGCTCAGCCTAACCAGCCTACAAGGAATATAGGGGACAGGTACATCCACCAATTTCTGTTTGTATAGCGTGGCTTTATCCTCCAGTTCAGTCTCCACTAGGGCACTAGAGCCCTACAGAGAGGACCGTCGGGCAGCCACTAGAGGAACTTCCTGGGAAATTCCTGGGTTCAGCATTGAAATATTGCTGGATTGACCTTCAGTGTCTCCACCCTCTGTATGGAGATACCGAACGCGCTCTATAGAGATGCAGTGACTCAATGCATCTCTATGTGGAAATGCTGATTTTCACAGCACAGCAAAACTTCCCAATGCTTCCCTGTGTGAAAGCATTGGATTGGCTGAGATCATCAGGATTGATGATCTCAGATGAGGAGGTGGAGGTGGAGCGACCACGTGGAGGCCTGTTTGACGGGGAAATTAAGGTGAAGTAGATCTTTTTTTTTCATTTCATTTGGATGGGCAGCCATCTAATTATTTACTAGGGCACTTTAGCATTATGAATACATTGCTATTCCCAAAACCACTTGAGAAACTTACCTATTTCTGATTCAAGCCTCATACAGAATTGAAAAGAGATGAATCGAGCTAAAGAGCACTGGAGTCAACACTTTGGAGGTTAAACCATTAGCCCCTAAAGGTAAGCTGTCACCAGGGACCTCCTGGTACCATAACAACTAAATTCCAATGAAGTTGATATGATGCCCGGATTGTTTCTTTAATGCAGGGGTACCCAACCCAGTCCTCAATTACCCCCTACCAGTCCAGGATTAAGGGATTACTCTGTTGTGTCTAAAGTGTTTTCTAACTAACAACACCATAGACACAACTTGGTAATCCCTAAATCTTGGATTGGTAGGGGGTACTAGATAATGCGGCTTCTTCATTACATCCAACGTGAAATTAAAAACGTATTATTGATTTTTTTTAATGATGTCTAACATAAAATGTAATAAGTGGTAAATAATAACATAATTTCTTGATTATCCCATAGGTATACCACGTCCCATACACGACCCTGACCATGTTCCTTAGTACAGACCAGATGGAGAGGGATTCAGCCACCGCGTACCGTAAGTAGGTCGGGACCTTTTGGTATTATTTATTGCATTAGTGGAGTTATTTACCAAACTGGGAATTATGGGGAGTTGACAATGGAATTTCCAATTTTAGGCCAACTTTTTTTTTTTTTTCAATTTGGCTATTTTGGCTTCAAATTCATTTTATTTTGTCAGTTCTCTACAATTCCCAGTTTAGTAAATAACCCTAAAAGGCAGAGAGACACTATCCAGAAAACATGTGAACATTTGCTTATTGGCTTATTTTTGATCATATCTAATTAAAAAAAATAACTTATTCGTAATAAGGCTATTTACAGGAAGCATTTATGGTGGTGAGAGGCTCTTCAAATTCCTCAGCAAGAAATCTTTTATGGCTGAGTGCCATTGCTGCCCTTCGGGCTGTTTTGATGTGAGAAATATGGTTTACCAGAATCTGTTTTTCTCTTTACTTGCAATTTCAGATATGTCCACAAGGGGCATCTAACATAATTTTGGTAGAATCCAGTATTTCTAACCCAGCTAGATAATGTTGTTTGCACTGTCCCTAAGGTGCCTATCCACTAAACAGCAAATTGCTGTAACTCGAGAACCAACCTGGTTGAGGACTTCTATTATTTACAACTCTGTAGTTAAAATCTTGCTCCTGTTTTTTTCTTTGAAGAGCCATGTAGACAGAGTTGTCTGTAATATTATAATTATAATAATGGCTTCAATGTTCATTGTTCTGCACTGGTGTTGAAGCGTCTGAGTGTTAGCCTTTGTGTCCACGTAGGAATGACAATGGAAGTCTTAGGGACCCTTATTGGAGCAGCATTGCAGGGACAGATTGTAGCAAGCGCTCACACCGGCCGCCACTGTATGGCGAATGAGACTTTGAACCTTACAGTCAATGCCACAGACTCCATAACAAACACCACCTTCCTGCCAGGAACACCAGATCTTCTTCATGCGGTAAGTACAGGTGGTCAATCACCTTATGTCCATGAACGTATATATCTTTCCTTTTTTGTTTTATTTTTCATTCTTTATTTAAAGATTTTAGTGTAAAAAAAAGAATACATTGTAATTTCAATAACAAACCTAGACATAAAGTGAGGCACAACAAAAGCCCCATAAAATAATACAAAAAATCTACAAAGTCTATAAAATATAAAACGAGAGTACATGACAAGAAAACACACAAAAATAAAGAACATGACAATGTCACAGTGTGCCGGTTTAGTTCTCAAAGTTGTATTTGTTTAGTTGATTATAAGTTCCATTATTGCCTTGTATAATAAAATAAAATTGTCAGAGCTTTGCATGCGGCCGACAAGCGGGGTGCATTTTGGTAACTTAATGGAACTGGGGCATATCTGGAAAATACATAGTAATAACCTGTTAAGTGTTTTCTGCACACTCAGTCCACATAGGATAGGTAGGATTTATAATCCAATTAAGGGACGTGAACAGAAGTGGTGGGGATAGGAAGGAGCGGGTGGGAATTAAGTAAGCAAGAAAGAAGAAGAAGAAGAAGAGCCCCCAGGCCCAGTGACCTTTGGGAACTTTGCAAGCCAAGGGTTCCATACTTTGTGGAAAAGGTTTGTGGTAACGTGGACTAAGGCTGACAATCTATCCATTTCCATGACGTTTCCCACCGGACACAACACCTCTGTTAAAGTAGAAATGTTAATGCTCCTCCAGTGTCCTGCTATAGCTCTTCTGGTAGCCAATGCTATATTAGCTATGAGTTTGTTCTGAGCCCTAGTTATGTCACTGTGGGGTTTGGACAACAGCCAGATCAAGGGAATCATGAGTAGTTCAATATGCAAAATTCTGGAGGTGAGCTGAGAACCACTATGCCAGAGTTGGGAAATTGAGGCACATTCCCTCCAAAGGTGAAGATGTCTACCTTTATCCCCACCCTTCTTCAAGTATAGGTCTGAGTCTGCTTGGCCCATTTGTTTTAGCCTGAGCGAGGTGAGACGCCAGCGTAGCATAATCTTATATGCTTGTTCTTTGTGGTTCACGCATATGTTGACCAACACCGTGGTATCTCATATATCCTCCCAGCCCAAAGGGTCCTCTGGGGGACCAAGGTCCCTCTCGCAAGCCAACACAGAAGAAAAAGCATGTGCAGGGGAGGTGGTGTTCATAAGGGAATAAATATGTTTCTATGCACATTTTCTCAAAGATGGTGTGGGTGGCTAGACCTCATCTGTTAATATATTTATAAATATTAAATTTTTCGCGAATAAAATTATATGTTCAACAAATGCAAGTTTGTGTTCAAATGTAATTGTTTTAAAAAGAGAGAAGATAACCAAATGTAACATATTTTGTTCTTTACATCTGCAACAAACAGTAAAACGTATGATTTTAATTCTACATCATCACAGCTAGAGGGATTTGTCCTACCTCCTCCCTGTTTCCTACACCCATGGTTAAAACCTCTCCATAACCGTTGACTTGTTAAGGCAGCCACGTTGAAAGGATATTTGTCTAACCTCTTGGAATGAAAACACTTATATAAACTGGTTCTGCACAACAGGCCCATTTTAAGTGAGCGCATTACATTATCAGAGACGTGAAAAGGTAGAGAGTGCAACTGTTATCTATAATAAAGATGATCACAAGAGACTGTTAAGCAGGACACCTGTGTGGAATTTATCTAACATTCCGACATTCTTACAGAATATACTGGTAACTCCAATTCACTTCCCGGATAATACATAATGATATGTGTAGTGCATTAGCTCAAAACACATCATTTATAATATATTACAATACATACATTGCATGAGAGAGAGAGCATAGCGACTTATATATAAAACATTGTATTACAGCAATATTCATATTATATACATTTATCAAAATCCCATGGTTCATGAAATATTTGTAACTAATTGTACTATTTAAATTGATAGTAGTAGAAACAGAATGCACTGTGGAAGAAGTGAGACCTTTAGTCTTATGTAACGAATAGACATACAGAGCTAATAATAAACAATTTGTAGAAAATCACAGATAATTATCAGTTGACATTTTTATATGATATGAAGAATATTCGCTAAACATGATGTTTATTGCCACAATAACTGAACAACCAAACTTTTAGCTTGGTTTATCACTATTTTATTTTTAAAGTCAGCTGTTATTTTACTAACAAATGAGGGAAAATGTTCTATTTGTATTGTATACAAAAAATATGGGTAACCGTTGTCATAGCCTATAAAGAAATAAACAATACATAGTGTGAAACCATATAAGGCATATACGTAGACACATTTTTGGAAGCATTCACAGTGTGGAGTAAATCAAAGCGCCTTGATGGTGCCACCCCTGCAGAGGGGGCTTAGTATCCCAATCCACCTTTAGCTCCTTCCTGGTTCAGGAAACAGGAGAAAGCAGGAATCAAGGTAAAAAAGGTAATTTATTATTAAAAAGCCTCTGGTCGGGGGGGGCGGAGCCTGACCGCTGAACAGATCAGACGTGTCCTGTCTGAGCTCTGGCACCTGGGCCAGAAATTCGGAGCTAACTCCGTGCCATCAGTAGCCACAGTCCCAAACTGACACCCAATCTACTCACAAGATGAGGGCGCACACGATGATACCGCTTCTGACTCGATACGGCACTGGAGTAACCCGACCGAGACCTGGGACCTACCTAAGTTTGAGCCGGGGTGAGACGGCCGCTCCCCCGGTTCTCCGAACGGCGTCCCGCTGTCCCCCCCCCCTTTGGACCGGCGCGGGTTATCCCGGTCCCCACGGGCAACCAACACTGACAACTACCTGGCCCAAGTTCAAATTAAGCTGCAGAATTCAACCCAGATGGCATGCTCCAAAATGGCGGATATCCCGCAGCCACATGGGCAGGCAGAGAGCGAACCACTAAAGAGCACAAGCACACCCAAACGGCAGAACCTACTTGCGCACCCCGCATGCCCCAGGGGAAGCCAGCTACCCACTCCAAGCACCTACAAGCTCCGGCAATGAAACGCAAGCGGAGAGACAAAGAGCGGGAAACGAGGGGGTACCCCCTGGGCACTCCCAACACACAGAACACAAAACCTTACAAGATGAGCCCACTCAGGTGGAAAACAACCAGGGGATTACCCCCGGAACATCAGGTGCGGAGGATCCGACGCCACAGAAGGAGACTCTACACCAGGACCTTCAACAGCCCCTACACAGGGAAGAACGCGGCCCTCTCCAGGAGTAAACAAACTCGTGGTCCACAAATGCAGGTCCCCAGGACAGTCCAGAATCCTGAGGAGGGCTAACCAGAACTCTGCCATCAGACCGCCTGCAGCCCCCTTCGCTCACCACCAAGCCTAGGCATTGGCTAACTCTGGACTCTGTGCCCGGTGCTTGAAAAGCTGTTCCATCCCTGCAAGCACAGAAACCACAGACTGTACCCGCAGCCCCACATACCCCTTAACTTACCTGACAACCATGCAGCACCACCAGTATCCAGAGCACACCTAACGCACACACCATGACACCGCATTTGACGGACACACAATGCCGCAGATAATCCTACTATACGCAGGCCCTGACAACAACCCCCACAACCAACGATATAGACCTCAGACCCGTCTAGGGGAGCATTGGTAGGCCAGACATATGAAATTCTACACACTACAAGTCGGTACCCGTGGCAGACCAAGCTAGAGTACAACTGTACAGCCCAAACGACACAATAGCGACCAGACATTCACGCGATTATAGCTTGTAAACACTTAACACTATGTTGTACAAACTACAGTGAAGCTACTTATAATTCCAAACTATGCTTGTTATTTACTGCTCCTATTGCTAGACCTGACAAAACACTCGGTGAAGAATATTGGAGCTCCACATACTTAGACATTATAATATAAAATTGTGCAGATCCTCTATATGCCATGTTTGACCATGTATGATGTTATTATGCTCGTGACTGCTATTGTGGCAACACGGCCAGCTTGTAATACCTTGCACACAAAAATAAAGAATTAAAAAAAAAAAAAGCCTCTGGTCCTATGTGTTTCGTTCTGTTCAAACAGAACTTCCACAGGGACCTCACAATTAAAATACAATTTACAATTTTATATGACAGCGGTTTCCCATATTTTTTTGTATACATCTGTCTTGTTCGGGCATCCAAGTGGGAAGGCTGCCAAGGGAAGCTGTCACTAAGCTAAGTTTGATTATTTATTTTTTGTACACAAATTATTGTATATTTGTGTCTTTTGATACCACGTTCTATTTGTATTGTCTGGTCTAAGAAGGTACTGAGTCATGGGGAGAAGGAGGGAACCATGCATTCTATTTGTATTGTCTGGTCTAAGAAGGTACTGAGTCATGTGGAGAAGGAGGGAACCATGCATTCTATTTGTATTGTCTGGTCTAAGAAGGTACTGAGTCATGGGGAGAAGGAGGGAACCATGCATTCTATTTGTATAGTCTGGTCTAAGAGTTATCTGAATCCTGGAGTGAGTGACAGAGCCATGTGTTCCATTTTTTCCAGTTATATATTTTTTTTAATCTCCTGCATTGCTGGGATTTTGCCGATATGTTATTTACATGTTATCAATAAATTAGCTGAATGAAATCTGTGAGAAACAAAGTAGTTTTCTTGCTGTACTGATGTAAAAGGGTTGTTCTTTAACTCTTAGGGACCAATGGTAAAATTTGCTGACATGGCAGTTTGTTTTCACACATGTCATGTGTCCTTAAGGGGTTAAATTTGAGTTTTCTGTTTAGTTGATTGATTGGAGATATTTATTAAAATCATTGGTCTAAAAGAGTCCAGTACAGAATATGCTGGTATTTCAAATTCACTTCAGGGATAGCACATGATATGTGTAATGCATTAGCTCATAGCACTTCATTTATAATATATTACAATACATACATTGCATGAAAGGAAAGAGCATAGTGACCCATACATAAAACATTGTATTACATCAATATGCATTTTATATACATTTATCAAAATCCCGTGATTCATGAATAATTTGAAAATAATTGTACAGTGTGAATTGATGGTTGTAACAGAAGACGCTGTAGATGAAGAAGGACCTTTAGTCTTATGTAAAGAATAGATATTCAAAGCAAATAATAAGCAGTTTGTAGAACATCACAGATAATTATTAGTTGACATATTTATGAAGATTAACTGATTGGAGATATTTATAAAAATTATTGGTCTAGACTGCTTTTTTTTTGTTGAAAAGGCAATTTTTATTGTTAATGCAAAATACAATTGACTTGTTGGGTAAGGCAGTGACCGAGTGACAGGCAACAGAGGGTTGTAGTCAATGGAATATATTCGAAGCTTGGACTTGTCACCAGTGGGGTACCTCAGGGTTCTGTACTTGGACCCATTCTCTTTAATATTTTTATTAGTGATATTGCAGAAGGTCTTGATAGTAAGGTATGTCTTTTTACTGATGATACTAAGATATGTAACAGGGCTGATGTTCCAGGAGGGATAAGCCAAATGACAAATGATTTAGGTAAACTAGAAAAATGGTCAGAATTGTGGCAACTGACATTTAATGTGGATAAGTGCAAGATAATGCATCTTGGACGTAAAAACCCAAGGGCAGAGTACAGAATATTTGATAGAGTCCTAACCTCAACATATGAGGAAAGGGATTTAGGGGTGATTATTTCTGATGACTTAAAGGTAGGCAGACAATGTAATAGAGCAGCAGAAAATGCTAGCAGAATGCTTGGTTGTATAGGGAGAGGTATTAGCAGTAGAAAGAGGGAAGTGCTCATGCCATTGTACAGAACACTGGTGAGACCTCACTTGGAGTATTGTACACAGTACTGGAGACCGTATCTTCAGAAGGATATTGATACCTTAGAGAGGGTTCAGAGAAGGGCTACTAAACTGGTCCATGGATTGCGGGATAAAACTTACCAGGAAAGGTTAAAGGATCTTAACATGTATAGCTTGGAGGAAAGACGAGACAGGGGGGATATGATAGAAACATTTAAACATATAAAGGGAATCAACACAGTAAAGGAGGAGACTATATTTAAAAGAAGAAAAACTACCACAACAAGAGGACATAGTCTTAAATTAGAGGGACAAAGGTTTAAAAATAATATCAGGAAGTATTACTTTACTGAGAGGGTAGTGGATGCATGGAATAGCCTTCCAGCTGAAGTGGTAGAGGTTAACACAGTAAAGGAGTTTAAGCATGCGTGGGATAGGCATAAGGCTATCCTAACTATAAGATAAGGCCAGGGACTAATGAAAGTATTTAGAAAATTGGGCAGACTAGATGGGCCGAATGGTTCTTATCTGCCGTCACATTCTATGTTTCTATGTTTCTAGACTGCTTTTAACTAATAAAACACTGCCACTAAACCCTCTGTCAAACATCTCAGCAATGCCCAATTCAATAAATTTAGGGTAGGTTTTCCAAACTTGCAGTACAGTTGCTTAGGAGATCTGTTCTCTACATATACTGTTCACCCTGTTTTGGCCATGTACCAAGATGATGGAGGACATGTGTTTTTTTAAATTTTATAATAATTTTTTATTAAGGTTTGGTCCCACAGTAGACAGAGTCCTGTTGTAACCCCAGGGTTGGTACAAGATTCGAGGCACCCTGCATATCTAGGATCCTGAATGATGTGTCGTTGTGGTGGATTAAGGACACCCGAGGCTGCCTCCACTGGTATTTTTTGTGTGCAGGTGGAGGAGAGCCGTGAAGGGTTTCTTCAAGGGGCGCCAGGCCAGGGTCACCCCTGATAACTCAGCGTAGAAGGAGAGCTGCATACTCTCAAACATGTATGGTGTTTTGGTTCTTGTCGCTTGAAGGACCGCTGATCTGTCCTCATGGCTCAGGAAGTGCACCAGGAGGTCTCTCGGTGCTGTGGCTGGGGGTTTTGCTGATCATGGGAGGCAGAACATCCCCCCCAGGGTTGTTTGTTTGGTCTGTCTAGGGGGCAGGAGAGCGGACAGCAGGTGTTGTATGAATTGCGGTACCTCCGCCTCCGGTAACTCTTCACCGATGCCCCTGATCTTGAGGTTCAGGCCTCGTCTCTGATCCTCCAGGTCTGTGAACCGCTGGTCCATTATGCGGTTCTCCTGTTGCAGGTCATGTATTTATTTTTGCAGCTGCGCTCTGTCTTGCGTGTTTCAGAGGGAGTCGGCTTCCAGCGCGCCCAGGACCGTGCAGGTCTCCGCAGATCTGGGCCATGTCAGCTTGTATGGTGAGCTGAAGCCCCGCTAGCAGTTCCTTCATCCGCTATGGTCACCGGAGAGGCATCTGCTTGTGGGTGAGTCTGGGGAGGAGTTGTCAAGACAGGTGAGTGTGTATTTCAGCCCCGCTTGTAAAGTCGTCTGATATATCCGAGCAGTCGTCGGCATAGTCGGCCATGTTTGTGCCCATGTTGTTGTGGGCCTGCCGCCATAGATCTCCAATATTGACGTTTAGCCGAGGTTTATCGGACTTGGCCTTTTAAGTTTTCTGGCACATTGCAGAAATTGCAGCTCGGGGTCAGTTTGGTACCTTTTGCATGTAATTTCGGTCGCGTTAGAGGGTCCAGAGTCACCACTTTTGTTTTTGCCCTCATTTCTCATGAGCTGAACTTAAAGATCTAAGACTTTTTCTATGTACACAAAAGGCCTATTTCTCTCAAATATTGTTCACAAATCTGTCTAAATCTGTGTTAGTGAGCACTTCTCCTTTGCCGAGATAATCCATCCACTACACACAGGTGGGGCATATCAAGATGCTGATTAGACAGCATGATTATTGCAAAGGTGTGCCTTAGGCTGGCCGCAATAAAAGGCCACTCTAAAATGTGCAGTTTTATCACAAGCATTGCCTCCATATTTCACTAATAAAAGAATTGGTCAGGTCCAACCTGAAATATCTCATTAATTGTTTGTATTGTCAACAAACTAGTCCAGTGTTTTGCTCCAGTTCCATGTTCTGAATTTGATTAGTGTCTGACCTACTCTACTGCTCTTGGAAAAGGGAAGTAGTTCAATGTTCTGCTCTTGATAAATTAACTTAAATAGAAGTGGACAGATTCAGTTAATTTATCTGCATGTATTTCTCCAAAGCAGAGAAGGATTAGGATCCCGCAGGACCCCTAGACCATTGACCATAGGGTTGATTAATATAACAAGTATAGCCAGGTATCTTCATGGACCCTAGGCTTATGTTGAATTGTGGTTACTGCAATTCTGTTTTTAGCAAGGTGCAGACAGACAATCTCAGTGTAGGGGTAGTTAGTTAAATACCATATTCACAGCTGTTAACGGACTGTAACTCCCATAAACCTTTCTAGGCACTTGCTGTGTTTTGGACTGGCTTAGGGTCAGATATAAGCAATTCAAAAAATATAGAAACCCCCATTAAATTAGACGGTGAGCTGCGAGTATAGTGTAATATTTAACTAGAATTAAAAAAATAACACATTTCAAAACCCAAGGCCGAATACCATTCTTATCAGGTTACAATGCTACAGGGACACTCTATGTATCAAAACAGCTACAGCTTCATGTTGTAGTTTTGGTGCAAATATGCTATGCAGAATAGAAGGAAAAGCTTCTAGGAACCACTTAAAAGGATCACAGGTAATCTAACTCTAAAAAGTAATTCAGCACATTAATGTATGTCCTTTTGGATACATCATCTATAACACGTGTCTGATTCTTTATTTTTCTGTCTTTAGAGGAACGTTTACATGATTGCAGCGGGAGTAATAGGCTGTGTGTATCTGCTGTGCACAGTTATCCTATTCATCGGCGTTAAAGAACGACATGGTGAGAAGTTGTTATGTACATATCCAGATAATTAAAGTTAAACATACCTAAAAAAAAATCATCAGCTATCTGTTTACATCACGAATAACCAGGGTTAACCTCTGTGATTATGGTTGGGAGGTACCTGTTGTGCTCCCAGATTTTCTGAAAATTAGTTTTTGGTCTTACAAAACAGTGTCTCAAGAAAGGTAAGTAAGTTTGAGTAGGCATGTTCATTTTTGCCTATACCTGTTCATGGTCCATGCTCCAGCACCACTCGGCACTTGGTCTGAGGTCTTTCTCATTTTCCACCCACGTACAATTTCACCATTGAGGACAGATGAGAATACTCACTGTATAAAGATCAACCAGACCTTCTTCCACACTGACCACTTACCTTTTTTTCACTCTCATTGCTAGTATTAGAGAAATGGTTTCGTTCGCAAATCTCAAGGTTAAAGGGTTACTCCAAGCACCATGACATCTTCACTTGAAGTGGTCATGATGTCTGGGGTCTGTAAGTGCAGCGTTTAACTTTGAAACCCTGCACATACTTATCTGAGGTGTCATCAACCATTGAGGTGTTATCAGCAAGCCCGTAACTACAGTTCCCATCTGGCTACTGTCGATTCTGTGTAACCTTTGAGTCCTTGGCTCAACCAGAGTGTTCCTTTATTTCCAGGAGTATAAACCGTATTACTCCAAGGATGGAATTACTGTGCACTGGAAGTACTAACATGTACTGTTATCTATTCCTTTCATTGGCAGACCCGTTTTACTTTTCGGGGAAGGTGATTCCATTTTTACAAGGGTTCAAACTCTCTATGCAGCATGGACCATACCTAAATCTGATAGCATCGTTCCTGCTTATCTCAGCTGCTGTTCAGGTAAGTGATAGATCATAGCTTGTTTGGAATAAAATAGGTTACTAGGGCCTTGTGGATTTTATATATTCAATATAGTTCCTGTCTTGAGAGAAGCTGAACTCCCAAAATAAAAGCTTATTTATAACAGTTGAAAGAGAAGAAAAATTATTTTTATAAAACAAAATGTACACATATGTACATATATTCTAAATCATGAAGAAATGTTTTTATTCTCTTTCAGTAAATATTATACTGTTTATTGGTGACTTTACAAGCTTACTAAGACTCGGAAGGGATTCTTAATTTATTTGCAATTTGTTTCATGGATTAGGCAAACAATCACTACAATACGAGCATGTTGACTTCTAATATTTTTCATGTTGTCACATTTCCGGTTGAAATGTATATTTTCTTTAGAGCTCAGTGCATTATTCGGAAAATGTATTTTGTTCGCTGTATCACAGATGGCACACCAACAGGTCATTTTATTAAACTAGATGAAAGCAACAAGACATTATATAAATGATTATCATCACACATTTCATAAGAAATGGGAAAGTTGGTAAAACGACATAATGTTGAAATTCACCAGTCTCCAATGTTATGGGTAGTGCTTTATTTAGATGAATGAAGTTCCAGTCTTCTTCATTACTGTAGGTAAGGGGTTCTGGTCCTCTTTCATTCTCTGTTTCATGTGAAGTTTGTACTCTGTGCTGGTCAGTAGCCGTAGAAGATAAACCCTAGTTCTGGGTATGTTGTGTTTTTCATATTATTACTTTGTGAATGTTTGCCAGTGAAAAGCATCTAGTGTACTGTGGAGGGTCCACTAACACATTAATACAACATTAATTAACCTCTGGACCAAATGATGACACAAACTATACTAAACTACTAAAAAATGGACGAGAGTGGTGTCTCAAAAATGATGGTCAGTTTTATAGTAGGGTTGTAATCCGACAACGTTACTTGAAAAGAAATATGGCCTCAATTTCATATTTTTGGATTACTTTTCAAATTATCAAAATCTGTCATAAAAACTCTTCAAACGACCTATGTACAAAATACCCATAGACTTTAACAATGACGTCTATAGCTAAATCATTTTATTCGTTTTTCTAACAGATTGCAATAATTTGAAAAGCTTATAAAAGAGAATGCAATCAAGGCCAATGTTCTGAGAATAGAATGACGGGATGGGATCAAACTCTTTATTTGTTAATACATTAGTCTTGACATTAAGTGTATTTTCATTTTTGAAGATTGCAAATAACACCTAACAGTGACACGGTTCTTTGAGTCCGATGGTTTTTTGATTTTGATTTTGGTGGCCCATTGGGTCCAAAATCTTTTCTGGTTTTAACTACCTTCATATTTCGCTGCTATACTTATGTTGTTGAGCCTCAAGCAGATTCTTTGGGTATCAACTGATGTATGTTGTCTACAGGAAAAGTAATTTTATACAAGTATAATAGTCACTGGAAATTTAGCTTCTGTATATGTATATCCTCATTAGCCTCTCCACACTCGTTATTTAAAATATTGATTTTACTCATGATTCGTTTCAACTTATTCATGTTTATTGGATATACTTTCAATGGAGAAAAAAGTGAGGGATCTTAAGATAAGTATCAAAGAGTTTCATCTTAGCTGTAGAAAACTCATATTTACTTACAGTAGATCTCCCCAGAGAGAGTATTCATCATTGACAATAGTATAAAACTGACAGACGTGGTGTGATCCTCCAACTCGGAGGACACCATGGAATGGGTTTGGTGTTTGGTGGGAGGGCCAGAAAAAAATTCCTGTCACCAACTTCAAGGGGAAGACTGGGTCCCGTGGTCCAACACATTTATTGCCTTCAAAGTTTAATTTCTCTTTTTGGTTTAATAGTTGCAACAGAGCAATTTTGTCCTTTTTTGCACGCATGCCGCTGCTGCAGATCTCCGGGATCATTTTCAGAATCTGGTTCTGACAATTCTGGTAAGTTATTTGTTCGTCTTACATTTATTAGCCAAATCCAGTATCCATGGCCCTTTGCAGAGATTAGTCATTTTAAGTGTAACCTTTCCAATCTAAGTGTAAAATTAAACAGACACTCCATACCCCTTACACACTTTAGCTTGCAGAATTGTTTTATGTGTGAAGTGTGTCCTCTTTTTTTCATATTACAAAAAAATCCAAATTTCATGTTTTTAATAGAAATTGTCACTTTTATAAATAAACCTTGTTACACCCCCTGGGTGTCAATCAGGCAACCGGTCCTGCTACTTCCTGGTTTGGTTAGGTCAGTGGAGCTAAACTCAAGAGGCAGCAATTTCCCAGAGCATTTGCCTTGCAAACACTTCTCATTGAGCTGCATTGGGAAGTCTGTGATTGGACAGTCACAGAAAGTCTGGGCGGGGTTAGAAGGGGAGGGCTTGTAAAAGTTTCAGAAACTGCAGTTTTTGCTGTTTTTAGATATACCCCAATGAAAAATGCATAATTAAATGCACGTGTATTTTCATTGGGGGTTATATCTATTAGAAAGTGATTTTTATGTTTGTTTGATGTTTGTTTATATTTAGACAGTGAAGTGTCTCTTTAAGTGATCATATGTGCTGATATACTGCATTCACCTTAGTAGTTTTATAATTTTGCTTGTAGATGTATATGTATAGTGTATTTGAATGAATTTGAAATAAAGTATTGTTGCGTTTAATTGATGGAAGGGCAGTACATTTCTGTTAATTATTAAATTCCATGTGATTACCTGGTGTCATTTATATTTGATGCAGATATGCTTATGTATAGAGTACAAGCATGCCATAAGAAGTACTAGTTTGTAATATATATCAATGCAGACCAAATATTCAACAACACTAAAATTCATTTATATTCTTCAGGTCTCGGCGGTTCTTAGCATTCCATTTTGGCAATGGTTTTTGCAAAGATTTGGAAAGAAAATGGCTGCCTTTGGGATTTCAGTGAGTACGCACAAATTACTGAGGAGAAGATGATCTCTCCCTGTACCTAATGGTACAAGACAAAATATAGGTGCTGTCTGACAGATACATCCTTCCTTCCCTGTCTTCATCCCTCTATCCCTCCATCCCTCCCCCCCATGAGCACTCTGCCAGTCTCCCACCTGATGTCAAGGAGCCAATTTCCACAGGACCACTTGATAATCAGGGAAGATCTCACCATTGACTTTCCCCATACGCACACCTCATATTTGGAAAAATATTGGTAATATAGCGGGGTGGGTTGCATCTTGTTTGCCACATTCTATTCTTCCTAAAGACCTGTGCTACATTCATTAACAGAGCAGCAGGAGATATCTACTCCTTGTTATTTGCCTCAGTACCTAGAGGTAAAGGTCAGAGTTTGCTTGCGGGCATCAATAGGAGCAAGCCCACAGGAGCAGTGCCAGGAAGATGCCAGTTCTCTGACATTGCCTTATTCCATTAAATATATGTGTAGTTTGCCTCCCAACTATCTCAGAATGTCCGCGCTGAATTGCGTTTAGCAAATTGCTGAGCTGTAGTTTTGTAATTTAGAATAAAAAAACCCAAACCATTCTTTATAAGTTTTTAGTAAAAGAAAAAATAATTAATAGTTAGCAGTAACGAGGCTTCAATCTCTTTATGACATATATTAACTCATTATAAACGATGTACACTCCTCTGATATCGAAGGTTTAAACAGACACATGAACACTCTCTATGAGTTTACTGTCCATCTGTATTTTGCTGAGAATAGCGTGCCATGTTTTCCGGGAAGGTATAATGATTACTTAATATCCAGTGTATTAAATGGATAAATAGACTTTGGATACGTCCCAAAAAAGATTTTATATTACAAATGGGCTTTATTGTAATGATGGAACCGCTGGTCTGGGAATATGATCCATAAATACATAGCAATAGCTAAGAGATAGAAAATGTAAGACTCTGAGGGGTTTATTCTCTAAATAACAAATTGTAATGAAATGAGTGTCCATTTAATAACATAAACCCACCCAATATAACTGTAACTTACCTACACAGTGCACCTAACGTGTGTGGGAGCCTGAAGTGTCCCTTTAATAATATAAACCTACCCAGTATAACTGTAACCTAACCTACACAGTGCATCTAACGTGTGTGGGAGCCTGGAGTGTCCCTTTAATAATATGAACCCACCCAGTATAACTAACTGTAACCTAACCTACACAGTGCATCTAACATGTGTGGGAGCCCTGGAGTGTCCCTTTAATAATATAAACCCACCCACTGTAACTAACTGTAACCTAACCTACACAGTGCACCTAACGTGTGTGGGAGCCTGGAGTGTCCCTGTAATAATATAAACCCACCCAGTATAACTAACTGTAACTTAACCTACACAGTGCATCTAACGTGTGTGGGAGCCTGGAGTGTCCCTTTAATAATATAAACCCACCCAGTATGACTAACTGTAACCTAACCTACACAGTGCATCTAACGTGTGGGAGCCTGGAGTGTCCCTTTAATAATATAAACCCACCCAGTATAACTAACTGTAACCTAACCTACACAGTGCATCTAACATGTGTGGGAGCCTGGAGTGTCCCTTTAATAATATAAACCCACCCAGTATAACTGTAACCTAACCTACACAGTGCACCTAACATGTGTGGGAGCCTGGAGTGTCCCTTTAATAAAATAAACCCATCCAGTATAGCTAACTGTAGCCTAACCTACACAGTGCATCTAACGTGTGTGGGAGCCTGGAGTGTCCCTTTAATAATATAAACCCACCAAGTATAACTAACTGTAACCTAACCTACACAGTGCACCTAACGTGTGTCAGAGCCTGGAGTGTCCCTTTAATATTATAAACCCACCCAGTATAACTAACTGTAACCTAACCTACACAGTGCAACTAACGTGTGTGGGATCCTTGAGTGTCCCTTTAATAATATAAACCCACCCAGTATAACTAACTGTAACCTAACCTACACAGTGCAACTAACGTGTGTGGGATCCTTGAGTGTCCCTTTAATAATATAAACCCACCTAGTATAACTAACTGTAACTTAGCCTACACAGTGCATCTAATGTGTCTGGGATCCTGGAGTGTCCCTTTAATAAGATAAACCCACCCAGTATAACTAACTGTAACCTAGCCTACACAGTGCATCTAACGTGTGTGGGATCCTTGAGTGTCCCTTTAATAATATAAACCCACCCAGTATAACTAACTGTAACCTAACCTACACAGTGCATCTAACGTGTGTGGGAGCCTGGAGTGTCCCTTTAATAATATAAACCCACCTAGTATAACTAACTGTAACCTAACCTACACAGTGCATTTAATGTGTGTGGGAGCCTGGAGTGTCTCTTTAATAATATAAACCCACCCAGTATAACTAACTGTAACCTAGCCTACACAGTGCATCTAACGTGTGTGGGAGCCTGGAGTGTCCCTTTAATAATATAAACCCACCCGGTATAACTAACTGTAACCTAACCTACACAGTGCACCTAACGTGTGTGGGAGCCTGGAGTGTCCCTTTAATAATATAAACCCACCCAGTATAACTAAGTGTAACCTAGCCTACACAGTGCATCTAACGTGTGTGGGAGCCTGGAGTGTCCCTTTAATAATATAAACCCACCCAGTATAACTAACTGTAACCTAGCCTACACAGTGCACCTAACGTGTGTGGGATCCTGGAGTGTCCCTTTAATAATATAAACCCACCCAGTATAACTAACTGTAACCTAGCCTACACAGTGCATCTAATGTGTCTGGGATCCTGGAGTGTCCCTTTAATAATATAAACCCACCTAGTATAACTAACTGTAACCTAGCCTACACAGTGCATCTAATGTGTCTGGGATCCTGGAGTGTCCCTTTAATAAGATAAACCCACCCAGTATAACTAACTGTAACCTAGCCTACACAGTGCATCTAATGTGTGTGGGATCCTGGAGTGTCCCTTTAATGCTATAAACCCACCCAGTATAACTAACTGTAACCTAGCCTACACAGTGCATCTAATGTGTCTGGGATCCTGGAGTGTCCCTTTAATAATATAAACCCACCCAGTATAACTAACTGTAACCTAGCCTACACAGTGCATCTAATGTGTGTGGGAGCCTGGAGTGTCTCTTTAATGATATAAACCCACCCAGTATAGCTAACTGTAACCTAACCTATACAGTGCATCTAACGTGTGTGGGAGCCTGGAGTGTCCCTGTTAAAAGTATTAAATATTTTGATATATTGATTTATTTCTACATATAATACAGTTTTTGATATTTTTATATTTGAAAAAATCATTTTAAAAGCTTATCTAAAAACATTAAAATGAGACCACAATTAGAGATGTACATAATTAGAGAGATATGTCAGTTTGGCTGATATATAGAATATAAAATAAACAAGTGCTCTATAAAGTGATTGCATCTTATTTATATGTATTTGGTTTGCGATGCAGAACAGTAGCTATCAAATAATGGTGGGACTGTAATTGGTACAATATATTGACGCTTTCCCCTTTTTTTCCTTTCAGTGGATGATCCCATTTGCCATCATGTTGGTGACCATTCCTAGCCTTATTGTGGCTTACGTGGTAGCAGTAACGTCTGGGTTCAGCATAGCAGCATCCCTTCTTTTACCATGGTCAGTGCGTGTTTTTAAAAGAACAGAATTAATGGAACCATTTTTTTTTTAATAAACATAGTATTTACATATCAAATTTTCTGTTTGTACTGTGCAATCAACATTCATCTTGGAATCAGCTGGTCTTGGAACCATGTTGATTCTACGTGGTATATACACAAAGTGAAGATATCTTGGTGGGTTGAAAGGTTGCCAGGCCCACCTGTCTTTTTGTGGTTCCATAAATCAATAACACTGTTTATGTCGATGTCCTGTGAATTGTAGCATATTAATTATTAAAGCAGAGAAAATCATTTCCAGCTTTATTATAATTAGATATGTTCTATTCCTGTTACCTATTTATTATTTATGTTACCACCCATATAATGCCATCTTCATCTGTGTCTTGCTCCTGCTCCATCACCAGTTGCGTGCCCTCTTGTACTCATCTCATTCATCTACTTGATAGGTATACTACACACCAAAATGCTCCTTGATTCATATTTTCCATACAATTCCCTTAACCAAACACTGCAATTAATGCCCGATTCTCTGTTGCCATCCGTTTCATGCACCCTGCCATCCATATTATATCATCATCCTCCTTATCTGACTCATGCCCCTTCTAATCTGTCTCACACCACTGCCATCCATTCCATACCCTCTGCTGCCCATCATATTTCTCATTCTATGCCATCTATCTCATCCCTCTTGACATTCACATAATCCTCTCCCCCATTATATGCCAACCTGTCGCAATATCAAATCCATCCTGCCCATCTTTGGAGCCTTCCTACCTATCATTTAATGCCCTTCACCATCTATGTCCTTCTCAGCTGGCTCCAGCACCTCAAGCCTCCTACTGCTCAGCCATCTTTCTAAGACCCTCTAACATCCACAAAATAACAACCATTGCCAGCTGGCTCCATCGCCTCCGTTCCTCCTATCCAACCTTATCTCCCATAACCCTCTCTATCTCATGGTTCTCCTGCACTCAGACTACATGCTGTGTTGCTCTACTGGACATCAATCAGGGGAGAGCAGCTGAACAGCAATTAGCTGGCTGGGTGGAAACTGGAATAGGAGAACCTCAATCGTGTTCAGGGAAAGATGTATCTCAAAGACCTGGATTAGCTCCGAAGCCATTTGCAAGTTCTATTACAAAGGAGAGAGTTGAGACTGTGACCCATAACCTAGCAACACATTGTAAATCAAGACCTTATCGTGAATTAAGATTTAATATATGTCGACCTACGTAGCCTGTTCAACAATACATGCTGAAATATATTGAAATGCAGGCCCAATACTGCACTTTAGCAGGCATTTCTTTCCATCGGAATACTCAAACAAAAGTGTAGAAGTAGCATAAAACTCGAAGTCAGATATATGTGTATTTTCATAGGTTTTTTGTCCTCCATGTAGAAATCTATTCAGTACCTCTCAGGAAGGCTTGCATGAAAAGTTACTAATAATTAATGGTCTACACCAGATATAGGTAACCTTCGGCACCCCAGATGTTGTGGACTACATCCCCCTTAATGCTCTTACACCCATAATGATGGCAAAGCATCATGGGAGTTGTAGTCCAAAACATCTGGAGTGCTGAAGGTTGCCTATGCCTGGCCTACACTAACTCTGCAATAAACTAAGAACCAAAAGAATAGACATCTTTGTACATGCATGATTGGATTTTTGTTGTGAACCAGAAGCTTTGCTTTGTGATTGTTGATTTAATGAATTTACAGCACATATTATGCCTGCTTTCTCCTTGCGTTATAATAGGCAATGAAAGGATTATGTGCAAATCATTAACGTCAAATCATCTTGTTGTAATATTCTAATCCCTAATGGTGGAATAAATCCTGCTATTTATATATTATTATGTTTTGTATTAACCCTTTGAGTGCCCACTGATTTGCACAATCGTCTGGCACTAAGATGCGCTAACATCGGAGCTGGCTCCCAGTGATGGTAGGATAAGTGATCGATATGATCTGCATATTATTTACCCAGTATGATTTGTCTCCCTATTCAATCTCCCAAGGTCCATGCTTCCCGATGTAGTGGATAATTTCCGCTTAATGAATCCTCAAGCCACGGGACTGGAAGCAATTTTCTACTCATCGTTTGTTTTCTTCACTAAGCTGTCTGCTGGGATCGCACTCGGAATATCCACAATGAGCCTCGAGTAAGTAGAATATGTTACCATCTGTCTACCTGATAACCTGGATACATCCGTCTTGTTGTGCTCCATTCCACTTGAATTGTGCTGGCTGAGCATCCTGAGCAATGCAGTCCACATACACATGTCCACAGTGTCAAGGTTAGCCGTTAGGATTTGTGGAAACCAGGGGTTACTGGACAATTTCTGCGTTGTTCTCGGCTTTATCTATTTGTTCTTCTGCTTGTCTTGGCTGGATAAAAATCTTATTCACCGAACATTCAATTTAACAGGACACTGCACATTTTAGACAATGATAACTGAGCTGCACGTATAACCAAATCGGACAATTTTTGCAGTTTGGACATTTTGTTTAAAATGTGCACTTCCAATTTAAGACAAATGAACGGTTTTGTGGATAAACTAGATTGTCTTTTTCCGGCAGATCTGCAACCCTCTAATCATAGGATTAGTTCTCTGTTAGCTGACATTGACAGGACCCTGGCTGTTACTCTCATTAATATCTGTCATTTTACGGTCCTGCAGGTTATACATTGTTATAGACACTGTCCTTTCGGAATAAATTTTAACATATTTTCTTTTAAATAATACATTGTAACAGACACTGTTCTTTATAGAACAGATTGTACCAGGCTTTATTCTTTAAGGAATACATTGTAACAGATGCTGTCCTTTACATAATACATTGTAACAGATGCAATCCTTTCAGGAATACATTGTTACAGACACTGCCCTTTCAGGAACACATCGTTACAAACATTTGTCTTTCACAATAAGTAGGATGCATGGTGTAAATTAAACTTTATACAAAACTAAAAGTAAGGCACAAAATTGCCCCTAATGAGTGTCTTCTGGAATTAGACACACAGATACACAGACAGACACATATACAAAATATACATTTTTAGCCTACCTTTAGGGTGCAGGAGGATGGCTCACCTGGGGTCCAGCTGGCTGCCTGAGGCTGTTGGGATTCAGAGTTTATCCCAGCCCGCGCTCCCTTCACTCTGCTTCCCCCGTGCAATGCTCCGTTTTAGCTGGGAGAAAGTGAACGGACAGGGGCCTGGTCAGCGCAGACATCATCACAGGGGCCCGGTCAGCACTGGAGATATCATTCGGGCCCATTTAACACTACAGATATTACAGGAGCCCGATCAGCATTGCAGAGATCACAGGGGCCAGGTCAGCGCTGTTAAAGGTCTGCAGCTCTGACTGGGCCCCTGAAAACACATTACCATCGGGGGACCCGAACTGAATGGGTCACCCATTGCGCCCCCTCAGTGTGCTGGCCTGAACCGGCTGCACCGGTGGTAGTTCTGCTGCAGGATCATATATTGTAAGTAAACCTCCATCATTTTTGCCTAGGTTAGTTTTTTGTTTTTTTTTAACTATTACATTCTGTGAGCTTTGAAATGTTTAGTGAATCAGTGAGTGTGCTGGATATTGTATGTTGTTATGGACCCACCACTGACATGTGACAATCTCAATGCTCTTTGAAAAATCTCTGATTACTGTAACAGTTGCACTGTGGTTCATATTTGCAGTTATCAGAAGTGGCGTTAAACAGTAGAGTGGGGCACGGCCAGTTTAATCTTTCTAGTGATGGTAGAAATCTAACCATGAACCACAAGATCTTATGAAACTCAGGCACCATGCAGAGTCCTTCAAATACATACTAACTGCATACCCCAGGCAAGCTTATTAAGTCATAGGGGAGAGAGGTCATGAGTAAGTTCCTTTCTCTTACATGTAGATGTATCAAAACTCCCAGTAACAACAATTCAAATTGTAATTTAAAGACAAATTACTGCCACAGTTATTCACTGCTGAAAACACACAGGCTGCTGAATACAGACAGATTGCTAAATACTCACACAGACTGCTGAATACATACACACAGACAGACTGCTGAAAACAGTATGTGTATTTAGCAATCAGACTGCTGAATACATAGAAACATAGAATGTGACGGCAGATAAGAACCATTCGGCCCATCTAGTCTGCCCAACTTTCTAAATACTTTCATTAGTCCCTAGCCTTATCTTATAGTTAGGATAGCCTTATGCCTATCCCACGCATGCTTAAACTCCTTTACTGTGTTAACCTCATACACACTGTCAGTCTGCTGAATACACACACACAGACTTCTGAATACATACACACTGACTGCAAAATAGACACACACAGACAGCTGAATATGCACAGACTGCTAAATACACAGACGGCTGAATACACACACAGACAGACTGCTGAATACACACAGACAGACTGCTGAATACACACAGACAAACTGCTAAATATACACACAGACAGATTGCTAAATACACACACAGACTGCTGAATACATATGCACAGACTATTGGATACGTGAAGACTGATCACAACCAACTCACAGACTGCTAAATACACACACAGAGACGGCTAAATACACACAGACAATTTGCTAAATACACACAGACTGCTTAATTCATATGCCCAGACTGTTGAATACATACAGACTGTTGAAATCACACTCAGACACTGCTGAATACATACATACAGACTGCTAAATACACACAAGGACTGCTAAATACACACACATACTACTACGTACACACACAGACTGCTGAACACACGCAGACAGACTACTGAATGCACACATTGTATGGGGGGTGAAATGAAAGCAAAGCTGTGTATATATATAATTTATTTGCTTTACGTCCCCCTACAACTAATTACACACACACACAGATTGTGTGTGGGAGATGAGATGCGAGCAAATCTGTATGTATTTTTATTTGAAAAGAAAAAAAGCATTATGTTCCCCCTACCCTTCTTACCTTTTGCCAGAGTGGGAGGACATTGCACTGCCTGGTAATCTAGTGGTGTCACGTGAACTTTCGCCTGCAGCTCCTCTGGCTGCAGGCTGACTCTACTGCTCTCTCAAGGTGAGCGCTCTCAGCACGTTCCCATGGTAACGTGCCACAATGCTCCAAACTACCTGCTCGCAGGAGGAACACACAGACGGCAGATAACAAGGTTGACTTGGCATAGGTCGGCAGGGGAGATGAAAGGATGTCACCTGTCGGCCGATGGCCAATATGGTGACACCACAATGCCCATGAGGCCCTGGGTAACTGCCCAGCATGCCCATACGTGTAAACAGGGCTGCTCTAGGTGTGATGTGTATATACATATTTATTTATATATTTATTCATACCATTTCTAAATAAGAGTTGGGTTAGTAATGCATGCATTGTGCTGACATTCTCTGTAAGTTGATGATTGTAAGACTAGTCTGTACAGTCTTGTCTCCCCTCATGTATCTGACAGATTCGCTGGATATAGCAGTGCTGCGTGTAAGCAGTCCAGCCATGTGGTGGTGACACTCCAAATACTGATCGGCGCAGTGCCTGCCATCCTTATTATTATTGGGCTACTCATCCTACTCTTCTACCCAATCACGGAGGACACAAGAAAGGAAACTGAACTAGCACTTGATGTCATGAGGTACGGAGACAACAGATACCACTTATACATGGGATAGAAGATAGGTGTCAAACTCCTGACCTTAAAGGGTCACAGACAGGCTTTGGATAGAAAAAAACAATAATATGTGAGCGCTATAGAATATAACACATTCAGTATGGCAGCACTCCACCCCAGTGATACAGAAGTATACACAGAATACAGATAAATGTTTACCAAAAAGAGCGCGCTAAACCGATGAATAGAATCTGTAAATATGAAAAACACATAGAATAGTGCAGACTATCTGAACCAAAGTATGTAAATGAGGGGGGGGGGTTTGAAATGCTTGACTGGAGAGGGAAGACTCCCACACTGGTAAGACTCCAAGTAATAAGTTCACTGGAAGCTGGTAGTGCTGTGCAATATAGGACAGAGAGAGGCAGGGTCTCCAATTGAATAGTATCTCATACAATTTAATAAAAAACAAAAGTTAAAAACTCTTACTTAGCAAATGGTGGGTTATGCTTACATAGCTACCCACATAAAAGCATGTATGCAGCAAAACAGAAAGTCACTTCCGGGTTTCGTCCGTCCCGATCACGTGATCACTTCCGGATCCGCCTCTCTAGTGAGATATGTGTGACGCATTTCGTCCGCCTACTCAGGCTTACCAGTGTGGGAGTCTTCCCTCTCCAGTCAAGAATTTCAAACCCAGAGTTGATAGGGCTCTGGTAAATGTGAGTTTTTTCAGCCCTACCTCCCCTCCCTCCTCATTTACATATTTTGGTTCAGATAGTCTGCACTATTCTGTGTGTTTTTCATATTTACAGATTCTATTCATCAGTTTAGCGCGCTCTTTTTGGTAAACATTTGACAGGCTTTGAATGCAGGTGGATCAATCCAAAGTCAGTTAGTCCCACTGGACTTAAGTCATTATGTGGTTGGTACAAATACATTATTTATTACAGCCAAGATAAAATCCAGATATATTACAATCCTTTTGTTTAGTCCCGTTTATCATGTAGTCTCATGCAATTTTGCATATATATATTGCAAACCAAAATAAAAATGAGCTGGTATGCAGCCAAAACATGTTTAAAGGTACCCTATGATTAAAGGGACACTATAGTCACCAGAACAAGTACAGCTTAATGCAGTTGTTCTGGTGAGTATAGCCTCTCTTTGCAGGCTTTTTAACGTAAACACTGCCTTTTCAAAGAAAAGACAGTGTTTACATTGCTCCCTAGAACACCTCCAGTGGCAGTAACTCAAACGGACACTAGACGCGCTTCCTGGGTCAGTGCTGCTATGCTGAACATTACTCATAGAGATGCATTGATTTAATGCATCTCTATGAGGATATGCTGATTGGCGAGGATTGACCCCTAAATTCTTTCCTGCTACTACCATTGAGTACACATTATGCCATAGGTATATATTTCCAGATTTGGGAGTAATTTATAAGGTCATAATACAGACGTGCCTTAATTTTGGCATGCCTCTTTTCTTAATTCCTAGATATACTATGTGGTGGTGATCTGTGTCATCATACTGATCAGCACTTTGACACTTTTTTAAACACTCCCTTAATGCTAATGCTAACCCTAACTATACAGTTTAGTAAGCCGACCCTTAGGTTGATTGCTCAACTTGGTAGTCAATCACATAATGACATGCTTTAAGTGACAGTTAATGAAAGTCATTTCTGTGATTGGTCAGCCGGGAGGCCAGTCAGGGACTACTGTAGGGCTGCTTCGTTGTGAGGTAGCTGAGTAGTAGCCAACTGACAGCCCAGGATGTGGCACCTGCCAATCATGCCACAGGGCCACTCTGACAATCACCAATATCGCGATGTTGTAATTCGTAATGGCGGTCCTGTGCCTGATTGAGGAAGGTGGGCATTTGCACCTGCCTTGTGGGACCTCCACACAACTATTTTATTAATGCTTCACAAGTGAGACATCCAGGAATAGCAATATCTCTGCAATGGAGATATTAGGTTAATTTCTTGTATAATAAAGCAGCAGCTTTCTTCATTATAAGGAGTATATAAATTGTTAAATAATTGCCTCTATTATTTTAAACGAAATATTTATTTTGTAGGTTGCGGACCCGGCGTTCAACACTTATTGTTATCTGAGACTCCGAAAAATTCTGTTATATACTTTTTTAATGAATCTGGATGCAAACTCACACATCACTGGGAATGCTGCCCTAGCAGCCCATCCACTTCGCAGTCAGAGCGTACACAGCGCCATCTAGGAGGCAGTAATATTTATTTATATGTGGATTCCAACCTGCACTCCGAGACCTGAGTTTTGTTGGAGACAGCTTTTCTTATAGCTGTGCAGAAGATCTAATGTAAATCGATTTCAGTATTTAAGAGCATTACTTTGTTATGACATATATATATATATATATATATATATACACATTTTATTCAGATATTATACAGATTCCAGTTTGTACAATGGAGTCTTAATTTAATAAGGAGGCAAAACAGTTACAAAAACATTGTTTTAGAGGTTTGTTTGATGTTATATTTTAATATTAATAAAAAAAAGTCTCTGTTTAAAACTCAATAAATAATACTTTAGTTTTTGTAAAGTAGGAGTTAGCAACTATTCTTTCCTATTGACAACTGGTACCTTCAATGACCTGGATGGGGAGCTGTGATACAAAGCAGGGAGTTATGAGCAAGGTGCCCATCATTTACAAAGTTCACATTTTATATTTATAGATTGAAAATAAAATGTTATTTTTGTGTGGAAATCTTACCATTTTATTCACACAAAATGTTTAGCACTTTGATGGCACGGAAAATAAATTAAATGCAAAATTGAAAATTATGTTTTTTGCCCCATGAAGTCACCAGTACAACTGACTGAATGGTATTACTTTGCTATAATGAACACTTTGCAATGATGACAACCCCCGTTATATTTCTATCAATCATGGTTTATAAAGACATATGTTAAAGGGACACCATAGTCACCAGAACCACTACAACTAAATGTAGTTGTTCTGGTGAGTAGAATAATTCCCTTCAGGCTTTTTGCAGTAAACACTGTCTTTTCAAAAAACATCACCCCCTAGGGACATCTCCAATAGCCACTCCTCAGACTGGCACCAGAGGTACTTCCTGGGGCAGTGCTGCATAGTGTGAAACACTGCCGTTCAGCATCTCCATGCTCTGCAAAATCATAAATTCTGATGTCACCAAGGAGGTGGATCGGGCCAGCGCCGGCAGACGCTGGATATAAGGTAAGTTTTAACTCCTTCTAAGAAGGTTAAGGGGGGCAAGCCACCTAAATGGTGGTTTTAACACTATAGGGTCAGGAATACATGTTTGTGTTCCTGGCACTAATATGTTGCTTTCAGAGAGCCAGTTGTAACCAATACAGCAACAGCGACTCCACTAGTTCACGTTACTAAGTTATCTGCTTGGATGTTTTCAGTCACTAGAAGAAGGGTAGAGAAATGTTTGTGGGTTGATAACTTTGGAAGGTGCTTCTTTGGGAAAACAAAACATAAACAAAGAAATGACATAAAATAAATTATGCTATATTAGAGTCACTGGGGTGTTTCTGGGACAAACATATAGATTTCTGTGATTTTTTAAACTCGCCAAGATTTAACTCTACATTTCTTGTTCAATTACAATTTCCAACATTCTCAATCAGCATTGACTATAGTTGGACAGCTACTGAAGCGAGCATTGGGCACTGCAACCATTGTTGGACTGCCAATCCGTGTACCCTCCTCATGTCTGAGCATTCTATCTTTAAATCATCTACTGCCCATGACATTAATAGTGTTATTCACTAAGTGAGAATTCTAAGTGAATTTCTAATTTTAAGACAATGTAAGTCAAACTAGAAACATAGCTGACTCAGATTTGGCAATTTTGTCCTTAAATTTCAAATTTACTTTGAATTCTCACTTTTCTGAATTACCCTGTGACGACCACATAGTTGGAATGTTCCTGTATTAGAAACCTGATTGATCATTTCAATATGGAAACACCAGTTACCTCATTTGACTTTAAATAAAACCATTTTAAAACTTTTACCATTCCCTTAGTTGTCTTGTCTCAGAAAATGATAAAATTTGACTTAAAATCTAGAGACTTGCAAGAGCTTAGAATCGCCCAGTTTGATCCTTCCTGTAAAGAGGAATATATTAAAAGATTATAGACTGTTTTAATGACTGGAGACCGTGGAATGTTTAGAGTGAAGACTACATGCAAAGCTATTGCATTGATTGAGCATTGATCGTGTTGGCTTGAGACCAGTGCCAAATCTGTATAAATATTAACAACCTTATTTTTATTCACTCTTTCACACCTGTTCCCTTTTATTTTTATTTCACTACCCTTTCTCCCCAAAGCTGTTTCAATCTTCCCATATTTTTCCTGCTTTCCTTACGGCTTCTCAGTCCCTCTCCATCCATATCTATTTTATGTCCCCATGAAAGAGAGCTTTCCTCGACCCCCTCCATATTACAACCCTAATTATAGTAAATATTAGACATGTACATTTGTTTTCAGAAGAACCTCAAAATTACCAACATTTACATTTCTCCGCCATTTAGTCAGAAAAAGAAAGGAAAATTGCTGTTCTGCGAATGTCGGAATGCTTGAACGGCTCAATGACAATAGTTCAGACAACATTCGTTCACCTTTCCACATGATTTATATACAAAAATTCCCATAGACTTTAATGGTGTTCCATGAAATTATTATTCGAAGAAAAACAAAACACACACACACATGTACTTGGGTCTATTCTCAATCAAACCTGGAAATTGAACTTTTTTTATGTTTCAAAACAACTGCACTTTACTGTTCCAATTCTAGGCTCTAACATTCAAATGTTTCTCTCCATGGATCTATAGTGAGGTGGCCTGGTAATGGTTTGTCCCTTGCCAGTTCACTTTAATGGTGGGCTTCAATAAAGGTGTGTTTATCTGATAAAGATCTAAGGAAATTTCTTCCTCCTACATTTGTGATATTTTTACATCCTTGAGCTAATAACCTGGCTGCCTCATTTATATCTGGTTTATGAAGGTGTGACGTTTTAGGATTCCTCAGTAGACTTCTTCATTTACGTGATATTTGTGCCTAGCTAGGCAACATTTCCTTTGCTTTTGAAATAACCTAATATATAGTATTTAGTACACATATAAATAATGTTTTGGTGACAGCTTTACGACACATAGGCATCCCTTAATGTCAGATCATTAGTTACGAAATGGATATTATTTATATAAACATGAAAAAAATCTAGCTTATGGACAATAAGATGAATTCATCTACCTACAGGGGAAGAAACAAAAAAAATGCTAATATACAGACTATCGTATGTGCTGCCAGGTTCTGAACCTACTGAGTGATGATATAACATGAAATCTTTCCTGTACAATTTACAAGCCTAACATAGATCAGTAATAGGATTTCCCTGACCTTCTATTTTCAATCCAATTAAATGGCATCACAGGCAACCGCTGAGAAAATCAAGTATAAGGGCTCAGCGAAAGGCTCTACTTTTTAATAGAGGCTGCTATCAGTTTATACACAGCCAGGTTCACAGTTTTGGGATGCGACTTGTTGGCAGCAATTAGCTCAGACCAAGCAAGCGCACAGCTTTGGCTTGGATCTCTCTGGGGAGTCCAAGGTGTGTGTATGGAGTGCTCATGTTACCTGGACAAAACAGATTTTTGGCATTCCAAAAAGCGAGAATTGCATCTGTCTGATTACCATCTCTGAGGACCTGAGCTTACATCAAGTTCAGGATACCACATCATCATCTGTGAAGTCAAGTTATCATTTATGGTGCTTAGAGCTACCCATTAACATTTTATACTGAGTGCTTGTAAATCATTGCTGACTCCAAACTGGACACTTGGGAACTCTGAATTTGAACTAAAGACTCCACATTGGACAAATGTTTTCTGCGTAAAAGCAATCTTTTTTCTGTCAGGAGAGAAATTAGTATTTAGCTCTTACAACCCTAGTACTTTTACACCCCCTTTGAGCAAGTGCCTCTACTGTGTGGGCATGATTACCCTCTTACCAGCCAAAATAGATGCACGACCGGCAAGGTTATTTGCCAAACTGAGAATTCAATGTGAATTTAACATTTAAGGCCAAATTAGCTTAATGAAGCATAATTAACTTTCCATTTTGGCAATTTTGACCTTAAATTTGAAATCCCCCCCCCATGAATTCCAACTTCACTGAATAACCCTGTCAGTCTTTGATAAAGTCTGCTCAGACTTTCCTTCTCTCCTCTCCCTGTAACCTCTGAATCCAGATGGAGATATGTTTTTAAAAAAAATTTTAAACTCAGATTGAGGCTGGCTTTTTTGGTGTCCCTCAATTCCAACTTGTCACGAAACCTCCAGATTTTGTGTCATTGTTCCTGTAGAAACATGCAATCAAAATATAGATCCACCTAAATGCATATTTACTGTAATATGTAGCTTTCTACACACAGAGAAAAGACACAGTACTCACAAGTATCTCTATATCTCAGCATGCTGAATGACATTGTTTATTACATTTATATTATCTTTCTTTCACAAATACAATTATCACATTTACAATCAGAACAATCAGATAGGTAGCAGATCATTTTTACCCCATGAATACAGAACCGCACTTTGATTTGTACCCTCTCCCCAATAGAGCAGTGCATCAGATTCCATAAATATATTACAATATTTATTCCTTTACCACGAGAAGGAATGACATTGCACTTTATTTACACGACATTCATAAAAACGATACCATTTTCTCTCTCGAAATCTCAATTCCCTGGTTGTTCTCGTCCTGTGTTTGTCAGTTGTACTAACACTTCAGCAATCCAAGCTATCAGCTCTTCTGAATTCTCCAAGATGCCAATAACTTACAGATCACGTCCTTCCCGCAAATGCACCAGCACTTTGTCAGTTAAGTATGTAAACAGAATACCGTATTACAGATGCCTTATTTCCAGAGTTATAAAACATGCCTTAATAAACAAAGATCGTTGCATTTTGCAGAAAAAATGTAATTTGGTGCATGATGCAGCTGTCACATTAACAGGTATTAACAACAAGCCCATGCAGCATATATGCACAGACTGCCCGCCGCGTTTTACGTTACGCTATTGGAAGGCTCTGCAGGACTGATGTGGTTTGTGCTCATGGGCGAATGAGCTGCAGAAATTCTTGCATCTCTGATGTTCAGTTCCTGATTAGCAATAAATGTTAATGGAATAAATCCATCGCCGTCAACTGTCAGGATAATCCAACATGAAGGACCTGAGGGAATGAAAAGAAGGTTTAAAGTTTGAGAAATGATATAGAACATCTTTGTTTTCCAATATTATTACATACTTCCCAGCAGTGGGTATGAATACAGGACAGAATGTGAGGTAGGCACAAGTGTGTGGCCTGTGATGTGATGAAGCTGCAAACTAGGACTGTCAATGCTAACATCAGAACTGTTGGGAAGTATGGATCACTTTACACTTGAAGCTACTCAGTCATCTTCCGTGGGCTTTGCATATTTTGCAATATCTCTAAATGTAAAGATTGTGAATGCTTGCAATCTAGGCCAGTTTCAGAGCACATGCCTTGGAAAAAACTACCGTAATAACGAGGTTTGCAATTAAAACGATGGAATGGCACTAGAATTCACACTCCCTGGTTGATTCAAGCTGTAAGAAAATTCAGATCTACTGCAAACAGCAAAATAGAAAGCCATAGTTTTACTTACACAGCTGAAAATCTAGGACATGCTGTCACGCTTGGCAATCTATGCCAACCCAACGCGCTCCATGCAATGTTCTCTAAATTCACTCCCACAGTTAGAGAGTGAGCCTAAATACATAAATGAGGTCACTCGGCTAGGATCATCATTTTACTTCTACAAAAGCTCATATTACAATTATATATAACACACAAACATATCTCAGGAGGAAGCTCTTGATTTAACCCATAGCTGCTGGGTTACTCCATTGTTTCCAATAAGTGGCATCTCTGTTTAATTTATAAGCTGGACTAGGCTTCTTAAAATCTCTGCACTACAGATTCACGTATTTTCACTCCAAACTCAAGACTTAATGGGTTACTCCAAGGAGCCTAAGCACAAGCACTGAAGGGTTACTCCAAGGATCATAACCACTACACTGGCCCCATTCTCCAGTAATGAGGCAAACCGTTTTGAAAAGGTTTACCTCTTATCCGAGTCCCGCTGAGGGTTATCTATAGTTAGTAACGCGCATCCGGCAGCTTTTGTAGAAGTAAAATGATGATCCAGCAAGCTATTCATTGCCTGAAAGCATCAACGGACCACTCTCAGCCAATGAATTAATCTCTATGAATGGAAATATGCACAGATTTGACATTAGCCAACCCTGATCTCCTGTTCCGGACTGGCTAATGCCACCCCAATAACACAGCTGAAGGCGGGCTCCACTTTCAGCGACAAAGGGAAGTGTAACATTGCATATAAAGACTCCAGGCACCATGACCTTTTTTAAATCACTAAAGTGATCGTGGTGCTTGGAGTAGCCCT